AGGAAGCCATTTCCCAGTCTAGGCCATGGTCAACGGTGCTATACGCACGAATATTGACTATGTATCATAAAACTCTCTGATAACGCTAATCTAACACTAGCAAGCCTTACTTACTTTGAACGTTGAACAAGTTGCTCTCTTTGTGAACCAGTTCGATGATAACACAGTCTGGATTCACGGCAGTTACAACACATCCAAAAAGAGCGGGAGTCGACAGTGCCCTACACTCCTTGTGTCACGCGACAAAAGAGCAGTATCTCGCTATTTTTACCTTCCCCAGTGATTGGCTCCCCTCTAAGCCGGGGAGTTTTTGGGGAAGTTATTCGCCCATCTCTTTTGTTAACTATTATTTCCGGAAAACCGACAAATTAACAACGAAATTCACCCCCCCTGGGGAAAACGAAGCACTTCTCATTATGCTGTTAAAATAACGAACTGTTGTGAAAACAATATTCGTTTATTACTGATGGTAAACGATGCTCGCAAAAAAAAACTTCACACAAACCAAATATTATCGTAAGTCAGCCAGTCACGCAACGCGTGACGAGATCAAGAGACGGCTGGGGAGGAGACTACGTGAACCCTAAACCCTCAGAATGCAAATTCTCCATACTGTTCGTATACATCATCTAAGGTGAAGATAAGGAGAATCTGTTCAACCATCAAGAGCTTCTTTAGTTGGTGATCATTAATTGCCATTATTCTCGAGACATCAATGTCTGATTCAGGGTTATTATAGTGGAGAAATTAGATACTAGTCACTTTTAGGAGAGGACAAAACGATGCATCAAGCCGAATAAAAAGAAAAGAGTAAAACAGAGATAGCAGCCTAAATTGCCGTTTCTGTAGCTGTTACGATAAATAAATTAGTTTTCAATACCAACAAGAGGATCTCTTTACATTCTCTCGTATCGTTTAACCCGCTTCTGCGCAATAGACCTCTTTAGCTTGTAGAGGACTAATGCCGAGTGAAGCTATATTTTCATTGTCACACAGTGATAACAACTTTTCTGGCCAGAGACAAAATTCCTTATTGTCCTTAAGGGTTCGCCCGCCGACAAAAGACTCAGTCAAAGGTTATATACATGTAGCAGCATGAGGTCTAAGCTGAAAATTCATAACGAGGGCATTTGAGGCTGCTGGGCCGGTGGTGTAAAGCTTGCCTTAAACTTGACGAAGACTATGAACTCTTGATTTCTATCGAGTGATGATCAATGAGGGTAGAGCCCTAGAGGTAGAGCGGATAATGTACTCTTTTTAGCACAAATCAACCAGTCTTTGTAACTTTCACTAGATAGGCTCATGTTTTTATTTTATTCTAATTTTGTTTACAACTACACGCAGTAATTCTACTCTCTTCGCTCTCTATCACAGAATAGTTGGCCAGTAGGAAAGGCAATCAGACTGCTGCAATTGTGATAGAACTCAAGTATATTTATACTTAACTATTAGTTTGGCGAGATGGAAAACGTATCGGACGTTGTATTTAACAGAGAGGACAAAAGCAGAACCAAGGTCGAAGATTTCTAGTCTTCCATTTTGAAGATGGATTTTTTCGAGAAGCGACCTAGCCTTTCAGTTTGGGGTTGCACCAATAAAACAACGTGCATCTGGCATTGATGGAAATCAAGCTAGCACTCGTTCAAACTTACAGAGATTCGAGTTTGAGAGAGGATTGAATACTACTGAGACACTGGAATTCAAAGCAGTTCTTACTTTACAACCACCTGGCCCTGTTAGAGTATAAGGTACCAGCAAGTTGTACAATTGCGAATAATATTCTTGTGACTAGTGCAAACGTGTTGCATATATGCCTTGAGAATTCACAAAGTTGCTAGTAAAGTTTCAGTCAAAAAGTCAAGTTTCATGGATGACTGAAACAGAAGGACGCGTTTGAGGTTAAATAGGTATTGACACAATTTGGATATTGCTATTAACAAAAAGTGATGAACGAAATTGGTGCAACTGGAATTCGTCAAAAAGTCAACATGTTTCACACAAGCTTATAATTCACTGGCCTGTAATAAACCTGGATGCATAAAATTATCTATAAATTACTCTTAACAAATGGATGATAGGTAAAAAATACAGGTTAACAATAGACAATTTTTGATACGACCACAAAGACTAGTGGAAAGCTAAAGCGGAGTAGAAGAGCTTTAACCAGATTTGAAAACAGTCAAAGCCAAATGCAATTCGCTCTTAAAGATTCAAGGAGCGAAAAGTAAATTGTTTTCAGTGCATTTATGAAAATCAAACTTAACGTTTTTCGTTTCATCGAAAGTGACCAGAAACGTGTCGTCTGGTTTGTTAAGACATTCAAACACTTTCCTAATGTAAAAGTCCAAAATTTCTTGGAAAGGATTAAAAGACGACCTTGTTATACACAGAAGAATCCGTTGGAAAGTGGTTTTCATTCCTATCCGGCGCTTTCTTGAAACACCTTCCAGGGCCGCACTGTAAGAGAGAAAAGCCTCTTTCAGAAACAGTAATGAATTGTAATATACATTATATTAATAAAGGATTTCCGAAGCGCCATATCCATTAGCCCATGGCGCTTTACAACACTTTGCGGGGGACTTTGCCCTGGACTGTGTTGAGCAGGAAATATTGGTAGATGCTCCTAATTTTAAGACCAAGATCAGACCACAACACCACTGAAAAGCTACGTTCCCTACTCTTTGCAAGAAGTGCGTGGGTTCTTAAACATCCCCTACTAACCGCTGCCAAAAGGATGCAGAAGACGGGGCCTATGGTTCATCGTCCCCATCCACTTGTGGATGTCATAGTAAAGGCAGCATATTCTCCTCAGTTTTTTTAAAACCCTGAGTATCAGTCCGATCTTGGGCTTGAACTCTCGACCTTCTGCACGACAGGCCGGCGCACTATTACCTGAGCTACCTGGCGGTTGGTTAGACCATAACCCATGCTCTTAAAAACAGTAAATGACAGCACTTAATGTTTGCCAAGCGATACAGCTGTAACTTTAGATGGCTTTGAATTCCTTTCTTCTGAAGAGGTAAATTTTTTGGTGCAGTGGTGATACAGTGAGGGGAGTTTCTTCAATTTCTTTATTGCTATCCTCTCAGGGCTACAAACAACATTTCTCGCTTAGCCTTTACCCGTCTCGATCAACAAAGACGGGCAGTAGAACGAACGAACGGCGTTTGCCTCATGTCCTTTCTGACCAAAAATCTAGGAAAGGCTACCACTAGATGGTCTGCACATGATTCAGGATTAAATAAATCTATAACAGTGTATAATAGTAGCGATCTCCTTACCTGAATGAGACACAATCCTGATCTAGAGTTGGGATGAGTGAATGCATAAACCAGCCACGCCCCAAGAATAATCAGTGCTATTGCGCATGCAGAGATGACAGCTATAAGCCAAGGAGCGAGGCCTGAGGTCGACTCTTGCTCTCGCTCTTGCTCCTGCTTCTCCTTTTGAATGGCACAATTTTCTGCCTATGTAAAACAATAAAAGCTTATCAATACACTTTTTAAATTCATCTTTTAGAGAACAATCCCAACCGTGTAAATCAGCTCTGGATAGACTAGCTGGGTAAAGTGGGCAGGTTTTTAAACCGAAAGTACAGCGAAAGTAAAATTGATTGAGTCAAATGCATTCTCATAACACAAAGCTTCTAACTCCATCAAATCTTAGCTCTCGAATGGAGAACAGTGAAGTTCAGAAAAAATAATGGTCTCAACTGTTATTACTTGAGTAATGTCTGATTTGTTGCAGTCCGCTCCTAGCCACTCGCTGCGATAGCGATCAAAACCATCGGAGCATCTATAAAAAAAAGCAAAAAATAGAAACAGATACAGTTAAATGCAAGAAGAGCACAGGAAAACCTTTGATTCAATGTTACAGGCTTCTTAACAGGTTACAAGAGTCTCATATAAAATGAAGCGTGGTGACCTAACGATGAGCGTGATGTACAGTGAATCTATAGATCGTTCTGATTTTTACGGCTCTATCAACGGTAATGAGTTAAATTGACCTTTACCAAAGCCTTCAAATATTCTCATAGTATTTCTCCCAGGAGTAAAAACAGGGTAATGTACTAACTGTTTAAGGGTGCTACACCAGGTGCAATGGAACTCGGTGGTTTTTCTTGCTTCCATGCATTCTGCACAAGTTTTGGCACCAACACAATCTGTGGCAAAGGAGAATGTGTTTATGATCCAGAAAGTGGATGTAAAAAAAAAAAAAAAAAAAAAAAAAAATCCAAGACAATCATAATCACGCTCCTCGTTAGACTTCAAACCCGGAGACCAAAACAAAAGGATTCAGAGATTATTTTTCCAGTGTTCTTAGAAATGAAAAAAATTTACATCTATCATTACACTCACTTTTCTTGGGACGAAGAACAATGGCAGTGTTATTAGCAACAAAACTTTCGTTGATGTGCACTGCATCGTACGTGTAAAAGGTGCGAAATATTTGCCCTGAGAAAAGAAAAGAAAAAAAGAAAAGGTACCCTCATAATGAAGGTGACAAGTCTGCTTTTGAATTAGCTTACTGGACGATTGTCCAATTGCAAAGGATGATTACTTAGGATATGCATCCTTTTCAACTAAAGTTTCAAGCTCCACAATTTTACTGCTAAAATGATTTTGATGACACTGTTATATTGTCTAAGCTGCGACTATTTTGGTCAACATAGCAAGAGGCAAAAAAAGTTTGGCGACTTCACTAGCAGTAAAAATTACCAATTTGGCAACTTGTGTTCGGTGACCGTGCAGCAAGCTACATACACCTACATAAACACCTATGTCTAACAAACTCAATTTGATGTAAGGTCGCCATATGGTGCCTTTCTGATCTCCCTCTTACATTCCTTCTCATTCAGATTCTGTTTCCATCCTTCTTATTGTCAACCTCCTCTTCCTCCTCCTATCCCATGATTCCTAGCTTCCTCCCACCCCTTCTCCTTATCTTCCCTATTCTTTGATATGAATTGACTGTGGTACAAAATATGCTCCAGGAAACTTACAATTGGCACTCTGCATTATAATCATACAGCACTTACAAATGCCATAGTAGTGTCTCAGTTTGTCCACATAATAAGCATCTGATATCCCAATATTGACTGAGTGCTCAACACTGGAAATATTGGCCACTGGAATTGGAATCTAATGGTGGAAAAAAAACGACAACAACAACATACAACAGAGTGAAATCCTTCACCAATCTGTAAAGATATGATATTGTTCATATACATATGACATAGTCTCACATAGAAAGAGCAAGTGAAGTGGACTTGCAGTTCTATTTCAGCAAAGGTACATTCAGCACCCTTGAGTGGAATATATTGCCTACAATTTATAACCTTTGAATTTACAAACCTCTATTCTAAAGCCAAAGAATATAATATTATATAAAACTGTTTTGAAAAAGGGACCAGACCTTGAAATTTTGAGACTCAGGAACTTCATATCACATTACCAGCAAAACAAAAACAATAAATTTCAATATTAATTTTTGGTAAGAAAAGAAATGACACATGTTATCACCATATGCAAAAATAAGAATCTTAAATCAGGGCACTTGTTGCCCTCGCTAAATTGATTGTTATAATTGGCAATAAAGTATACATGATTAACTTTAAAACATGTAGCTCATTACTTTGTGATAGGAAAAAACAATTTCACCAGTCCTATTAAGCATGCACTGAAATGTGAAGCCCCCAGCTATAACAAAAAGAAAAAGAAAAAAGTTAACAACATAGAGATATTTTAATCTTTTTTCATTCAAAGGTTTCATTTATTGTTTAGTGACACTTGAACATTCAGTGAGCAGTTAAAAGAATTGATTCTGCTCAAGAGGGAAGATAAGCTCATCACCAGTTACCCTTCAAGGTTCTTCACTTCACATTTGTACTCCTGGGCAGAGAGAGGTACATGTATGATGATGTAGGAGAGAGTTTGCTGAATAAAATATAAGCATGACCCTACCAAGGGCTCAAATCTAGACATTTTGATCCAGAGCCCAATAAACTATTCAACACCATGCACCTGTTGGTTGCAAATACAGCTGTAAACAGCAGGGATGAAATTGGTCAAAGGATTGTAATTCATTCAATTATTACCTTCAGGATTGTCATGAAGGAATACATTAGACCATTGTACAATGAATTCATTTCCTGAGGGACAAAAAAATAAAGATGTGTAGTTAGATTTCAAAGGAAAGCAATCTCTCTCTGATAGGTAACCCCATAAAGATACAACTGAAATTAGCCTAAAAAGCAAACAAGTTGCAAACATAAACCAAAAAACAAACTCGATTTGGAGTTTTGAAAGTAAAAGAAAAAAACAATGGTTCACAAATTGCATTCTACAATTAGCACTCTGCTGGCCAAGAAATACAGATACTATTAATTCTAATGAACTTCAGGCTGTGCACAGCCTTATTCCATGTAATAGCTGTAAGTTCACAGTAAATAAACATGTAATGATGACAATAATAACAATTATAATAATAACAGTGCAAATGATAACAAAATTCCAGGAGGGAACTCACTTGCCAACCTGGTCACCATTGCAGTATATTCAAATAAGATGTATGTATCAAATAAACCCCTTAATATGTTTCCCTACATACTGTACATGATACATTTTATGTTACCATTTTTTTTACTCTTTTTTTCAATACAATCTATAATTATAAATACAGAAAGAAAGACCCACAAGAAGTTGATTGAAATAAAATGCACATATGACAGTTTCCAAATAAAATCAACAGGGTTGTTTCTTGCTGCAAAGTCAACACAAGGCAACAAAAAACATCTATACATCTGTACATTCTACATGTTCAAATTACACGTATTTGTATCACAAAGTTAATGATGTTATCCCACAAATCTACATGTTCAAATTACATGTATTTACAAAAATACATGTATTTGCATCACAAATTTAATGACGTTATTCCACAATATCTACAGATTTGGCAAAGAATAATAAGGATCAGGCATTGATTGCAAAGTCATATTTAGTCCCCTCAATAGCCTTGGAATAAAGACTTCTTACCATTTCTTTTTTAACATGACTTGTATAGAATCAAATGATTTGTATCCTACAATACATTAGTTCTAATGATATTGACATTGTTTGCAATGGTCATAAAATGGAACAATCATCTAAAAGAGAAAAAATAAAGCTTTAGGAGCACAAAATTATAATGCAATACTTTAAGTGCCTAAAAGTATTTACAAGACTACTCACCATTATCAAAATGATAAACATGGCTTGTGTTTTTGAGGGAAGGATCAAAGAATGCCATGAGTGGAGCAACATATTGGAAGTTGGCTATTTGACGACTGTTTGATGTACCCAGATTAATAAAGCCTGGAACAAATGAAAACACATTGAATTTAAAGCTTACATTAACATTTGCTAGTTAGAGAAAGGATAAAACTTCATGCTTTTGTCAAAATAAAGTGACTGCACAATGAATGAAACTTTTGAAACAAATGGTTTCAACCTACCTCCTGTGGTTAAAATTACATCTGTCACAATATGACCATAGTATGGAAACTCAAAGGAGAGTTCTATGTTCTTGACAGCCAGTCCGTTGCCTGACAAATATTCATCCAGAACAGTTTCTGCCCTCTCACTGAGATCAGACCACAAGTGCCGTCCCTCATGCAGGATCTCAACAGCATAGTAAGCGTGATGGTCCTAAGTATGGTGTACATTGGAATAATAAAAGTTCCATTTAATAGAATAGCACTCAAGTTGCAAGACTCGCTAATTATTGTGGTTACTAAATGTCAAGAATTTAAGCTGTAGAGTAGTGCTAGTACTCTCTGTTTAAGGTCACTTAATTGCACTATTGTTTCATTCCTTTAGGTCTTCCTCCAACACTTAGGCATTATGCTTTTGGCAGTTCTACATGGCCCCCAAAGTGAATACCCAAAGGAGTAAATCAAGCCTTCTATGCACAAAATCCTGTGGTAACATCCATTTCTGAATGACACACTTAAATCATTGTGAAGTTGTAGTGAGGGATCAAAAATAGTTGGAAATATAACAACCTTTTTTCTCATACACTTTACTTGGGTAGCAACTAAGAGATTTCCCTGGTTTCTTTGGAAGCTTTTACATATCACTTTAATTGGTTGTTAACTAAGAGAAGACAACCACATAGGCAATGATGAGTGAATGCCTCACTTGATATCCCACATCTTTCTAGTTCAAAACTCTACCAAGATCTCCTCTAACAAAGGAGCAGATTACTTCAAGTACCTGTATTGTTGTGTTTGAGACTACATTTATCTCTCGTTTCTCACGAGTCTTTATGAAGTCTTTTATTTTTCTGGGCAGAGTACTTCTAGTCAAACTACTGTCCTCTTGATTGTTATCAACTGGAAATCCTGCTATAAAAGGAAAACCCACTGATAGTCTCTACTATGTTTATTTCTAACTCAAGTATTCCAATCGTACTCCTAATAAAATTTTGTGATGGAGGCTGCAAGGAGTTGTGATGCAGAGGATACGGAAAAACAAATTAACTTTAATTTAGTTACAGGTGTACATGTACATCACAAATTTGAATTTCAATTCATGCAAATACTGAAATATCATTACCAAAGTTTTGTTTGATTACCGTTGGATCTAACTCTAGTCAACTATTCTGCTGCAGGGCTCAGCCAACAACAAAGGGAAGGTAAATCAGTAAGATTAAAATTTTTGGATTATGACAGCGTCATTTGAAGTGTAAACAGTGTTCAGCAGTGTATACTCTGAAGTGATTTGACTTTTCGAAATTCTAAAAATCACTTACTAAAAAGGAACTCTTTAATTTTTCTTAAAATAAGTCCTTCACGATGTTTGCCTCACTACAGTAACTGTAACATATCAGCCCTTTATCCACGTGTAAGTACTCATGTCTTCAATTGTTACCCTTTGAATCTAAAATAGTACGAAATAAACTTACCTTGAAGCTGACATCTTGAGCGAATTGACACATCGAACGTTGCTAGGAGAACCAAAACTCGGAAAAGAGAGACAAGTCTTCTTTCTAACCACAATAACAAAGGAAACATCGATCATATAAGCTATTATTTCGAGCACAATGAGAGCCTACGACTTCTATAATCAGGGTAAACTGGGAATCTGTGCCGCGAGAATGTTTGTTAGCTTGGCCACAAACAGGAATCTACTAATTTCGTTCACAACATGCATGACTAAGCTGCAGTGAAGCGAGACAGTTCAATCGATATAGCAATTTCCACGCAATTTCAAATCATTACGTCCCAAAAACAGTTATTTATACCGCAAAGGCAGAAGAAATATCGGAAATCTCGACAGAATTCGTTGCACTAGAGCAAATTAACCGGATATTGTGTACCTTTCTCGCGCCATGGTCTACCAGACTGGCTGGTTTGATACTGGGGGCCTGGACCCTTTGTTTGATGAGGAACTGGGGCAGAGTTGGAGGAGTAGTAGAGAGCCTAAGAAGAGGATTGGATATATTTTGTTGTGACACAGGCAAACTCCTCTGAAGTCTTACCCCCCTCCTCTCCCCGACCTGTCCCTTGATACCATGTTGAAGATGGGCATAGCTTTTTCCTTAAATTAACATATGCTATCCAGCTGAGACTACTAGCAAAGATGATTTTTCAGCCTGAGTGTTTTATTCTTGGGGAATTCAAAGCGCATACATTGTAATCAACGGGAAGAGAACATCGACTAATCTGAAAGATGGAATCCTTTAGACAACACTTTGATTTATAGAGAGAAACTTTCAGCACCTTTAATTATCAAAAGATTAAGGTGGCTTTGAGCCCAAACTGCACATTGTTTTCAAATGTGCTGAAAAAAATTAATCTTTCACTGCTTGATTGTAATCCGAAAAAACAAATCTGAAAAGTTTGAATAAGAGGCATATAAATCCAAAACTGAGGGTTATCTTCAGAGGATTTATTGTTTCTACAGAAATTGGTTGTGTCTTGGAGAACACCTTGAATTGACCAACCATTATGGTTTCTCTTCTATCATTATTGGAGAAAACGAAATCGAGTAATGAACTGGAAAACAAAAGGAAATTGTTGTGAGCCTCCGCGTGGAGAATTCATAACTTGCGCGGAAATAGCTACTGATAACTTTCAATGTTTCATAATTCATACTGGTGGTTATTTGAAAGAAAAGTTTTGGGAAATAAATAATAATGATGCACCGGCAAGTTTTGGAAACTTAGTCGTTTTGCTTACCACTTTGGTAGATGTTCTCTATAATGTCAAAGCGATCGATTTTTCAATATGAATAAAATCCTATGACAACTGCAAATTTAATTACCACCATTTTTACTAGCCACTCTGTTGACTTGAAACCATGTTAAACTTCAAACTGCTGTTAGTTCCCATTAAGTGTATTTTCAAGTACGGCTTACTGCTCCGGCACTTTATAATTGCAACTTTAATACCTTCTTCCTTTGCGTTTGCACAAGCTTTTACAAAAATAATTACCTTCGTCTTAAATCATAACAACAAGTTCGAGTAAATAAATTAGCCACACACACATTTCGTAACCTTTGCACATACATGACCTGTGCACATAGTATATGTGTGTGATGGGCCGTTAATCGGCACTGTTATATAACGAAGCCAGCTTTTAAATAATTTGCTGAATTAGATTACTTTCATATTCATTTATCAATCCACAGTTCACATTCATGATTTTCACATATTCACAGTCACTTATTCTTGACTTAACGAGTTTATTACGAACCAGAAAATTGACCGGCTCTTAGTTGGCCTGTTTGCTCAATTGGTAGAGCACTGCGCCGGTATCAAAGATGGTCATGGCTTCAACTCCCGTTCAAGCCTTAATATATATATGCTTTATTTTGACATTGTTCAGAGTTCATTTCTGTGAAGATAACTCATATTCATTTGTTACTACGTAGCTCACATTTACGTTTTTCATACATTCAAAGTCACTTAAATAAAAATTAACGATCATTAAAAGGTATAGAGATCTCTCGTTGTTGCAGTGTTGTTGGCTGGTAACAAAAAATTAAAATTAAATAAAGTTAAATAAATTGTGCGCATGATCTCTTAAATGACTAATTTTAGAAAAACCAACTCCGTATACTTGTTTCTCACCTAGAATGACATCCCATACAGAGGCATCATTATCATCTAACATTCGCTCTATATTAATTATACTCGTACCAAAATTTAAGAAACGTGCTGGATATTCAGGTGAAGTACTGAGAAATAAGCACTTTTTTGATGCCGGCAGTAACGTAGTTCATCATCACCCCATGCATTTATAGACAAACCAAAAACTCTAATTAACGATGGTTAAGTTAAAACCAAATCCTTAACATAGAGAACCACAGAAAACGTCACACTATTTTAATACTGATATACTAGCCTAACGGTAGTTATATAGAGAAGGACTAGAGAAAGCAGCGCTGCCTCTCACAGATTTGTTTCATGCAGTATGTCTGTGAACTCGTCAAGATCGCTGTCATCATCAAACGTGGCCAGCGGTGCCTTTGGAGATTCTCGCCCTGAGGCTTCTGGGAAGTTGTCGTCCTTTTTGTCTTCTATTGGACAAAAGAAAAAATTGGAAACGTTGGTCTCTTTCTGCGATTCAACAAATTAAAACTTTGTTTTAGGAATAAATGAATAAAGAATGATTAACGTTTCCTTTTTCAGAGGTGACAGATAATGATCTAATTTATCTTTATCAATGATTAGCTGCTCACGTTCTTCTGGTTTATCAACCGTGCCTTCTTCAGTTTTCTGTTTAGATTCCCCTTGTATTCGTCGGATTTTTTCTCTTCTTTAACTTCAACCTGCTGCTTTCCAAGTTTCCCGAGATCCCCTTATGGGTCTTCTTTCTGTTTAAGTTCAACTTTCTGCTGTTTGCATTCGTTAGGGTCTACCTTTGGTTTTCTTTGATCAATCTCAACGTGAAACTCTGATCTTGTTCATGATCTCACTTTTGTACTTCTTGATCAGGTTTACCTTCCTTTTCTCTAGCCTCTTGGTGATCTTCTTTTGGTTCGTCGTTTCCTTCAGTTTCACCTCCCTTGTGTACAGAGGGTTCAGAGTGTTCACCACTTAGTTCTGCGAGTTTCTGAGGCTCTCCCTGCTCTTGTTCCGACTCTCCGTCATTGTAACCGCTTTCCACGTCTTCCTGGTTTCGGACTGTGGAAAAAAAGCCGAAACAACTTAGGATGGTGTAAGACAAGCAGATATAAACTAATTCCCTTGGTGTTATTCACATGATATCAGTTGTGTCCAGAGGATTTCATCACAGTGTTTTGATGAACTTGTTTATAGTTGTGTAACAAGGGACCGAAAGAGAGAGCAACAATTTCCATCGTCGACTTTCACAGAAAACTTAATGCAAGTCAGTGCGACGTTTGGATCTTACTGCAATCTGACTCAAACGGCCTTACTCTAGTTCTACAAATTTTCATGTAATTTATAATGGCGAAACTTTTGCGTACCTTCCTCAGTAACATTATTTTCCATGCCCAGATCCTGACCATAGGGGAAGCAGAAATGAAATTTGTTAACTCAAAGAGATGAATAAAAATGTGTACCTTACATTGCTATGCATTGGGAAAACTTGATTAAAATCGTTTAAAGCGATAATATGCATAAACAAATATGTTTTAAAAATAACACAGTTTTTCTGCAATTCCTTCAACTGCCGTTTACCTGTAAGTATCTGTTTTTTTTGTCGTATCATCCACAGGTCCAAACATGATTAATTCAATCAGTATATTTGAGATAAAACAAGCTACATTTTTAAATGCGGGTTGATGCGCGTATTCATGACGTAGAAGCAAAGACAAGCCTTTTGACTTTGAAGGGAAGACAAGAATTAGAATTATGAAGTGAAGCTGGCTATGAGTAAACAGGACACGAGACTTTTCTCCCTAAATATGTGTTCTCTATGTGTATAACCAATTTATGTAAAGTATGTATAGAACTTAATCTGCTAGAAGTTGCGACTGAAGTCTTTACCCTTACTTTTGTGCGAGGGGAAGTCATTGATCTATGCCTCTTGGTACATGTGTTTTACAGAGTATCGAGTTTCTCCGTAATGTCGGTGGTCGAAATGTTCTCTAGAAAGGTAAAGTCAACTTACGAACCAGAAAGTTCATACTTTTGGAGCTTATCTCGGTTTTAACGGCATGAGGTAACGTAGAGTTTGCCACTTCCCCCTGAACGGAAAGCTAGTGCATAGCAGAGTTACCTTCCAGCTTCTCTTAAAGATTCCCTGAAAGCAATGCGGTACTCGTTTTTACTTCGGGGTGGAGATAGGAAATTTGAGAGTTTTTAAAGTGTCAAGTTCCTGGACACCTCAAATCGAAATGGGAGCAGACGAAAATAATAGATATCACATTAAAGTACTACTCTTCTTTTTAATATGCTCGTAATATTCAAAGAGTTGACTGTGTCATGTATTCGGTATCGAATTCAAGAAGAATTTAAACCATATGGCCTCTTTCTTTGTTATTGTACGAAATGGGGATCGAGTTTTTTTCATATGCACCTCATAAATCGACTATGCATTATCCCAAAGGAAGAATTTATTTTGATTGGTTTGCACCTTTTCTGTGACCTAAAAAGCCTTAACTTTCACTACTACAGTGCATATAAATGAACCAATATTTCGATCAGAGCTTTGTTCAAAGCAAGCAATTTTTACAGACTTGTTTGACAATAACTGGCTCTTGAAGAGCAACGAATACGGATAAGCGGCCAAAAGTGCCTGAATGATCTTTCTTAGGCTTTATCAAAACACATTTGTTGAGCATGATAACAGCCTGAAGATATCTCTCCTCAGTACTTGTTTCTAAGATGTTTCACTACTACAATAATTTTCAGTAACATGTTTTTCCTGATCCACTCATTGCTATTTTATTATCGCTTTTACATCGATAAAGTAGAGCATTTAAAATTTTTTTCCATTAGTAATATCAGTCATTGTAGAGTAGAGGTGAAATTTCTTGTTGTTCAGCTGAGAGACAATTGCTACCGGAAATTCTAATTTCATCATCACCACAAATAATTCAGCAGTAACTTAGCTTGCTCATACTCATATTTTGATGACTTTCACATCAAATGACTTCACTCATTTCAGTTTAAATATAAAAACTAAAAAAACCAAAAAGATTAAAATTACCTGACTGCCGATTATCTCACTTTATCCTCCACTATTCTGTTATGCCACAGTTGCATCAACCAACACAAAAAATAAATTTCATTCACGCATACATATATGAATCCCTCACAGATGTTTGAAGCTGGTCAGTTCCAACGAGTAAGAACGATTTCATTAATTCATTCAGGCAACTTATGAATTTGCAAGTTAGTTTTTCTGCAGGTTTCTGAGCGTCTTAGCTCAAATTTCTGTTTGTAAAAACATTATATAGTAGGAAAAAAAAAGAAGAAAACTTTGGAATTTAACTTTCCTCGAAAGAGAGTCCACACAGTGAAACTTTCCTTTTTATCTTTGTGATCATACATACTTTTTCTATTTTCGGAAAGAATTTCTTATGCCTGATGATTTTCACGCTACATGCAACATATGCATCCAGCTTTGGAAATTCAAGGTGCGATTTCAATAAGCGTCTTAGTTTGTGTATTCACTGGTAGATTTAATTCAGAACATTATGTCAGAAAGACGCTTCAAGGATGTTCCCGTTTGGTTTGAACATAATGCTCGTTGAACAGGTTTCTGGTGGATATAATGCAGTGTAATCCTGCACACAAATGAGGACATAATTTTGAATAAAATAAAAAAAATTAGCAGAAACGCGTTTGTCATAGAATTATAACACTGCAGTCCAGATCAAGCGTTCCTGTCTCGAGTGGCGTCCAGGCCCTTTGTCTTGTTCGTCTTTCCACCCTGATGGTCATGCCACATCGTTACATAGAGAATAATACATGGGCGCGCGTAGATATGGGATTTCTCTTCCACTCGTTCGTTGCACTCACTCGTGAGCTATCGAGTTGAACACGAGAAGAATATTTCCATATCTACATGCAACCATGTATTATTCTGTTTATCATATAGACACAATAGCTCTTTACTGACAAGAAAAGCCGACTTTATTGATGAATGAAAATAAAAGAATCGACAATCCCCGAATAAAAATCGCCAATGCGTTGGCGCTAAGGCTCAAGATGGAAAAATGCGTTTCGCTACAGTCCAGTTTATTTTAATGGTCTATGTTTCCTTTTCGGTTTACTCGAAAATTCAAGACGAATACACTCTGCGTTGTCACTCTCTTTAGTTATCTTTAAGTGTTAACGCTGCATGTATATGCAAATTATGTTCAAACCTATATAACATATCTCGCCTATTCCTGTTCGAAACACAAGACCCTAAGTATCATACACCGGTATCAAGGCAGATGTGTCTCTGGGGCAAGACTTATAAGCATGCAGTTTTCTTAGTGTTATGCTACTGTTTTGTCCACGGTGCCGTCGCGTTTATTATTCAACAAACATTGTACAACTTCATCACACTTATTTCAACGAAACCTTCACAGATGTTCGAAGCAGGTTGGACTGTCCGGCAGTACATCCATTGGTCTAGATAAAAAAAATTATTTTGAAAGTTCATGCTAGAAAGGGGCCGGAAATATTGAGAAAAGCCATGATCAGTTTATTAGTTACAAGACTGAGCATTTTTTCTTGTTCCCAGCAGGGGCAGAAGGCGCACCAGCAAGTTCATCATCACTCAAGTTTCCCTTCTTACAGTTGTTAAAAAATCCTCTGAACACCTTCACTGAAGGACTCTGAGCATAACAGCGAAATCTCGAAGATAAAATTGACCTTGTAATCAGACTCTGAGTATTGTTGTCAGAATCATACAATTCAATTAGTTTGTGATCAAACCTCCTTCCATTGTGACGCTTTTCTTCTTTACAGAAAGCATGGATCTTCCCGTCAATGATTAACAGCTTTGTGAAAGAACCAGGTCTAATTTTCAAAGTTTTGATGAAGTGCCATTCATCTGTTGTTTCATCGTACAATTCACACTGGCAGTTTTGTGACACCTGATGATATTTGCTGACATCCCCTCCAAAAATAACAATTTTTCCATTTGTTGCAGCCCCCGAGGCCCACTCCCTCGCTACTTGAATATTTGCTAGTTTCCTCCACTGGTTTTTGTCAAAATCGTACCTGTCAACTTCATTAAGGTATTTGCGCTGGTCTCCATCCAACACAAAACCACTAACGAAGTAGATGAAGTTTCCTTGAGCCACAAGGCAAAAACCTTGTCTTAAATCCAGATAATCAAATGACGCAATGTCATGCCATGAGTTTGATTCTGGTTTGTATTTGGTAATGTAGGAGAGATGTTTGTTCTTGGGACAAAGAGGGTGTGCTCCACTTACTCGTCCACAACAAAGAGGTTCGTGGGACAGAAAGCATGGCACTGAAAGCAGAGCATATATTTCGTCTCCATTTGCAACAAATATTTCTCGGACGTATCTGTTTTCGTGGGTCGATACCGGTGATGTCCAAGTGTTACAGTATGGGTTGTAGCCGACGGTAACTAGTTCCCAGGAATCTTGTGCAGTCGGTCTGACTTTCGTGCTGTACAATTTACCATGGCAAGGAAAAAGATTACGCAAAGTGCCAAATTCTCCACAACGAATCTTGCCCAGCGTAACCCAGTCATTCTCAACAGGAAAATAACACATCAATTTGTTCTTATCACTTATCACTATAGCAGAAGTCTCAAGAGACTTTCTGGGCTTGAAAGGGAGATTCTCAAACTTTTTACAGTCAATCATATTGATAGCCTCATTAACCAGTTCTAAACAGTCTCTGTTGCTTTTCACCAAATCATGTGTCACTACATCATTGCATAGAAAGTCACGTGATATGTAAACCAATCGAACGTGACGAAATATCTCAGCGAAATATCTTTCTCGATTACCTCTATCAAATTCGATCCACGTCAGAACAAAGTTAAAAACATCTTCTTCGGCGCCAACGCAAAGCTCGTCACTTGAAAGCAAATTTGCAATTTCTGTGTGAGCCATACTCAAAACAACTTCACGTTTAGCATTGTAGATGGCGGGAAAGTTATTATGGATGAAATGCTTGGTTTTGGAAACAAGTTCGCCGCAGTGATATCCTTCAGCAAACCGAAGAGTTGAGATACAATTCGAAATATTCATTTCCGTTTTCTTTAGTAGAGCCCGCGCAGCAAATGTTTTCAGGTTCTCAAGGAATAAAAAATCTGCAATCACAACCAGGTTTCGGGCATCGTCTTCCTTTAAAATCTGAACCCCACCGGTGTAAATAAACTTTAGTGTGTTTCTCATTACAGACTCGGTGAACATCTCCAACCGAACTACTCCTTCTTTAGCCTCTTTCATGTCGCTATTCAGCAGCTTTTCAAAGAAAGGACTTGCTTTTGAAAGAATGTCTTTATGAGCTTCAAGCTCTCCATCTTCGACTATCAAGACAACATCACACGCCTGATCCAATGTTTCTTTTGGCATAAACATTGTATTATTAGTACTTTCTTGATTTAAACGTGCGCGTAGAAATACAAATATTCCCCAGAACGTAAAACAGTTTGCCACTTAAATATATTCACACCGAGCTCAGTATATGCTGACTAATTTCTACACTGCGGAATATTTGTGTCAGTAGCTTTCAGCTAATCAGAGAGGATTTTTTCAACAGCCCTTGTAAGACTTTTAATGACCTCTTTAGTATTTTGGAATCAACGTTCAATAACTGAAACGACCCGTCGATCGCCTTCCTTTGTTCAAAAAAAAAGACTCAGTAACACAAATTAGTCATGTTATCGTAACAAAGAATTGGATGAGAAGGTCTAGGCTTCCCACCAAATCTGTATAGGTTCCCTTTTCGAGAAATTATTACAAAATCTAAAACTACCAAACTGTGGTGGGGCTATTAAAGTTTTGTATTGTGACATACAAGAATATCCTTCCACTTCTTTTAATGAATTCTACCACAAGTCATTAGTAGTATCAATATGGCCAAGACGATGTGTAGTATTTTAACCTAGATTGAATATATATATATATAAAAGTAACAACCTGAAATACTGAGCATTGGATTTAAATCGAATGATCGTGCTCATCCACAGCTTGATCAGTTGAGAAAAGCGGGAGATGCAGTTATACTGTCTGCCAATACGGTTTTAAATAACTTCACTCTGGCGTTTTTTATGTTACGAATAGTGTTTAACGTGTTCTAAATTATGTTCGCAAAAACGTCGTCGTTGTTTTGTTGCTTCTGTATTCGATTCTTCGTGCTTCGAAGTATGTGTCTTCAGAAAGCTCGACCGCTATAGCGCATGCGATACATTAAGTGCCGCTCTCGCTGAGAGCAGTCCTCTTGGCCTCCCGTCGAAAAAAAAGTTTTACTTTACATTTTGTCCATAAAGAGGGTTTAGGACACATGTTTCATAAATAGTTTGCCTGTTCTTCAATCTTCCTCTTTTGCGTCGCCACAAGCCAATAATTATTTTTGGCTAAACCACCTGTGAACAGCGATCGAAAGTGGAAATTTCAAAGATTTTATCAAGCGCACTGCAAATGCAATCATATAGCTCACGGCCAGTTCTCTCTTGCTACAAGTTACAAGATGTATTCAGTCAGTTCACCGACAAAATATGGAAACTTCACCGGAAATCTTATTCATATCAGCGTGATCAGGAGACTCTTCTCATTGACCTTATTTCGCAAATTAAAAATTCACCAATTTGTAAGAAAGAATTCTCAAGATGCAGGCGTAAATCGGGCTAAAAAAGGATATCATTGCATTATTTTTTTTTACACCAAAGAGGTCACAGATTGCCCCTTGATTGTCTCAAACCCGCGGGTATCTCTCTAGCTTTCAACTACCAACATCTTGAATACAACGTAAATGATTGTGCATGCTCAGTTTGCGCTCGAGTCGAAGTCATTTGCATAATTCTAAAAGCATTATCATTACAATCATTTGATGATATACTACGAGCAACAAATATCATCATTTAAATCATTTGCGGATTTATTTTATGCAATTAATATCACCATTATCATCATTTGATGATTTATTGTGAGCAATTAATATCATCATAAAAATAATTTGAGGATTTATTTTAAGCGACTGTCACCATTATCATCATTCGATGATTCATTGTGAGCAATAAATATCGCCATTACAATCATTTGATGATTTGTTGCGACCATTAATATATAATTTATTCTTGAAGAATCATCAATAAAATCATATGATGATCCGTTGAGAGCGCAACTTGAGATACCAAGAGGTGTTTTTATTTTTCTTTCAGCCAAGAAATTATGTCATTCATCTAATAAAAGAAACTCGACGAAGAATAGCCAAAAAAACCCTCATGGAAACAGATTAAGGCTTGTGATTTAAGCAGTACTGATTCGCTGCTCGCACTCGATCAACAACCGTCAACGATTTCTCAGGTGAACCTAAGCCGCTAAAAAACCTTGAAGTCGGAATAGAGTCAACTGAGACTACATGGAACGCCTCAGGGTTTCTATTGGCGGGTGGATTTCCAGTTTTCGAAGAGTCGATATAACATGACAAGTGGTCACTCGAAGGCGTGAATCGACAACTTTGGCAACATATGCATCAATTTGTCATAAAACTTCAACATGCCTCTTCAACAAATGATTTATTCAAAACATTGACAAAAACCATGATTTCTTTAGACACCAAGGGAAAACAAATCAGTCTTGGAGATGGCTGCAAACTATGGCAGCTCGTCAAAATCGTCGAAAATAACGAGAACACTTCTTTTAAACCGCTATCTACAAATATTTCCGGGATCTGTTCGTTCCGAAAATACTCACTGAGGGAGTACAAGTTATAAGTCCGATACATGCATATCACAAATCACAGCTGCTCCATATCTAATGCAACCAATGTATTCAAGTCTGCTATCGCTCCTAGAGAATGAAGAAAGGAATAATCGGAATGAATATATATGTTATTTATCTGCCCTTTAGATTTCACAGGGACGATTAAGTGCGACAGATTTTTATTACAAAGTGCGACAAAACAGGGACGAGCTCGCTTAAAGCTTAATTTGACTACCCAAGGTAAATGACTTTCAAAATGGAGACATCAAAGATAATAATTAAAAGGAACGTGCTTGGGGACAAAATTTCAACTGAATAAATCTTCGAATCATTAAGGGACCTAGCAATTTTTCGCGAAGCATGCAATAACTTGAAAATAAAATCTGATTAGTACATCTTAATATTTGTTTGTTTCGTTGCAGAACAAGGGAGTATTACGACAACAATTCTCTTATGCGAAAGGCTTTGGTTTAAGTGGGCAGACGCCAGGTAACATGACGCGTTTGACAAAGAATCACAGTTCCTCGTTCAAGCAATGTAACGAGAGATTAAATGACCCCCGCTAAACATTACCTTCTATTCTGGCCATTTCATCTAAAGTTTTTGTAAGGTCTACTTTCTCGGCAGTTCCGTTTACACCTACAGGCTCTGCGTGAGGAAACTGTTTTACCTCTTGCTGCTCTCTATTTTATTGAAAAAAAAAGTGACAGAATTTATGTGGCTGGAAACTTACCTATTAACAATAAGCTTGAATACGCGAATAAACTAAGAAAGAAATCCCTTTTTCTGGCAAGCAGTGAACCGTCCAGAATCGGGTGAATACGCCAGAAAGGACAGACCCATCCGAAATCTGACGTAAACGTTTCGAAATCGGACGGAACCGTCCGAAATCCGACGTAATCGGATCCCGTCCAAAATCAAACGGATCTCGTCCGGAATCAGACGGAACCATCTCACTGAAAAGTCAGAAATAAGATGGAACCGACTCGAAACGTTAGTCCCACAGCGTATAAACTAGTTTGGACTAGAGGGAGCCGACTATTGTATAAGCACCGAACTCTGGCGACTTCATTTTTTGTTGCATAACTCTGGTAGCACTGTCACTGTCATTTATCTGATACCATTTACGTTTAAGCTGTAAAAGTGGTCTGCTTTACGGTGTGTTAGAAATAATGCGAAAAGAAGACGTAGGACATTTACAGAAGTTTCGGAGAGCGCGAGGTGATAGAATGAGATTCTCTAGTATAATAAAAATACTTCTAACCTGCTCTTAGAGAGTGCATCGCCTTCTTGAAGAGAAACAAAAGGGTACATAAGTTTAATCTTACAAACATCACTTTCTCGAAATTTTACAGCTTAGGCAAATTCTGTTCAACTACTTTTGTATGTAGTAATAACTTTTGTATGTAGTAATAACTTTTTGCATGTAGTAATAACTGCATGTAATATCTATTCCGTGTTTTACACTTAGTTAGCAGGGTCACACATTGTAAATTATATTTAGCATGCAAATAAAAACTGTTTCTCTCTCGATCTTTTTTAGTTAATGCAGCTCGACTGGAACGCCTTCACCTCCAGGTGATGGACGACGTTTCACCGAGCAATCGCTGTTAAAAATAAAAATAACTTTTGAAACTGGAGCACAATAATCGGCATAAGGTATCTTGCTCAAAAATAATATGGGCTTCGACAGAGAACGACGACATTAATAGTCATCATAATCGTTGAGACTGTTCCTATTTCCCTTCACCCCATCCTACCTCTCCCTACGTTATGCCAAGACAACAACGAAATCACCATACCGTTCAATACTTTAAAATCATGCATGGCACGGGTGGGGTCAGTATACTTACCTGTCCGGGGGTAAAGTGAGGGCTCAAGAGTCAACACCCTTTGTAATGGCGTATGTATAAACGAGCTAATATACTGAAAATAAGACTAACGTTTGAAAATTGGGCGCAGTGTATGACATGGTGCTGCTTGGCCATGAGTAACATGGAATTGGAGAGAACCAGAATATCAACCTTCCCTATGGACTGTAGTTGACTGTCCTTATTTTCCCTCGCCCCTTCATACCTTTACTTATGCTTTGGAACGACAACACCGTACAATGCTCATAACTCGCGCATGACACGGGTAGGGGGAGTACACTGACCTGTCTGAGGGTAAAGGGAGGGTTCAAGCGACAACAGTAATCTCTCCAGCTGTTGAAGTTCTCGCTCCGCTGCTTCGCAAGTGGAACTTGTGCTTTCGTCGTCTGTTTTTTAAATGTACAAATAGTCAGTTTACGATACACTATGAGAGTTGAACATTAAAATAATACACAACGCGGTCTCTCCTAACACCTGGGTTATCCACGGTCAGACCGAACTTTCTAGAAATAAAGGGAATCGTACAAAATTTGTCGGACCTATCCACGATCTTATAGCACCGACCGAGATTATACGGAACGATCAAAATTCGGATGGAACTATCCAAAGTCTACTTATCTATCTAAAATTAAACGAAACCATTGAAACAATTTCACGCTTTACTGGGGTAAGCCTGGTTTCTATGAAATACCGGAAACAACAACAAAACTGGAACATTTTGTATGGGTACAGTGCTTAGGGTTATTAATTTATTCAAGATATATTTTTGTTCATAACGACCACCGAGAGAAAAAAAAGAAAAAAACACAAAAGCAAAGTCTGCAAACAGACATAAATACAACAGCTGACGTAAGTAACAACAGAAAAAAAACAAACGAAAAAAGGAACAGACTTAACCTCGGAGAAAAGAGTGGCTGTATAGGAACTTCAGAAGCATCTTTGTTTTATTATCCTCCAGAATCAGTAGATCTCGATTGTCATATCAGCCGAACAATTTTTTCCGTTTTTCTAATTAATACTTTCCATTTTTTATACAAAAAAATATCAACGAGAAAAGTGAATACAAAAATGGACCCCAAATGCACACTAGAAAAAAAAGCAAAACAAAGAAACAGACAAAACCAACAGAAAATCGATAAGAGCAATGATCAATCGATCTCATAAATTATGACCACATTTTAACCGCGCTGGAAAAATCATCCATCTAATGATTTATCTCGCAAACAAATTGCTTACCATCGCTATCAAAAGAACAGCCACCAAACGACTGGTGAGGGGAATCTGGGTTCGAACTGGGAACCTCATCCTGACCCGCCTCCCTTGTTAAAAGTGTGCATGATTGGAAAGCTGCAAAGAATTAAAAAACAAAACAAAACAAAACAAAAAACAAAACAAAAAACAAAACAAAAAACAAAACAAAAAACAAAACAAAAAAAAAAAAAAAAAAAACCAAAACCAAAAAAAACGAAAATGTAAGGATTACTATCAAACAAGATCATATCACGGCTTAACACAGGAATAAATTCGCAAAATTCCTATCGGCAAGTAGTCCTTGTACAGGTCCTGAATGAGCATGTTGTTTTGGTTTTTGGTCCAGAAACTTTACTCTCTTTTTTAACCGCCTCACCCAACGGAGAACTGTCAAGGAAACCTGATGAAATGCTGTGAGGTTTATCCCCTCAACCCGGGAGTGTAAATGGGTAACAGAGAACTGCCAGGGAAACCTGATGAAATGTCGTGGGGTTTATCCCCTCACCCCGGGATTGTAAATGGGTAACAGAGAACTGCCAAGGAAACCTGATGAAATGCTGTGAGGTTTATCCACCTCAACCCGGGAGTGTAAATGGGTAACAGAGAACTGCCAGGGAAACCTGATGAAATGCCGTAAGGTTTATCCACCTCAACCCGGGAGTATAAATGAGTAACAGAGAACTGTCAGGGAAACCTGATGAAATGGCGTGGGGTTTATCCCCCTCAACCCGGGAGTATAAATGGGTAACAGAGGATTGTCAGGGAAACCTGATGAAATATCGTGGGGCTTATCCCCCTCAACCGAAGAGTGTAAATGGGTATCAGAGAACTGCCAGGGAAACCTGATGAAATGGCGTGGAGTTTATCCCCCTCAACCAGAGAGTATAAATATGTAACAGAGAACTGTCTGGGAAACCTGATGAAATGGCGTGGCGTGGGGTTTATCCCCCTCGACTTGGGAGTATAAATGGGTAACATAAAATATGGAATTGAAATAACTTACCCCTATTTACCATTGCGTTGTTCGCATTTTCACGATTGTCAAGATGTTTCGTCGAATCTGCGTTTTGTTTGTGAGTTGCATGGGTATTCTGAGGCACCATCTGTTCGCCTGGAGAGAGAGTAACAACAAATTGGATGTCACGGTTTTGAATCTTGAAAAAAATGAGTTCATCAATGGAAACCCGCTTTAATCTTTCCCATATTAGAATTAAGCCATCTCTTTTCTGTTTTGGTTCGTACTCAACTTCTTTTTTTCTTATAAGGTTATTGTAGACCTTTAGAGGCCGAATGAATAGAGCATCTTAATTTAACGGATCATTACAAAATTTAGCCAAAACGTTAATTGGTTATTAATGCGCCAAAATTAGTGAGGCTTTTTCGATATTCCAAGTACTTTTTCCTTTACGCCTCCTTAAGTAATGAAGATCGGGAAATGATTCATTCACAGAGTTTAAAGGAAATTCTCTAAGGGGAATATCGAAAAAGTCAAACTCCCTTTTGCAGAACAGCTGATTTCACTGCGCGGTTTATTGGTCGTGCGTGCAAACAGGAAGGCAGGTAATTCAATTTAGTGCACAAATTTGTGTTTAAGGGCTTACGTGCGCTAACAAATCGTTAAAATAAGAATTAATTCTGATCATAAATTTATTTTCCTTTACCATGACAGACAATTTTCAAAAACATACCCCTAGTGGTCGACAGTAATCTTAACAAGAGACGAAAATTTACTCAAAATATGGTGTTGCAGTCCCTTCACAGCAACGTACCTTCGTCCACAGCTGACGAGCAGGAAGTCCTTCTCCACTGGCAGACTGGTTTACAGGTTGGCCACTTAGCCTGAGATGGCGGTCTGGTTACATCGTCTGAGACAAATTGGAACTCTTGAGAAATTCAAACAGATAAGACAAAAACCGAACGTGGTGAATGGGCGTCAGTCGAAGTCAAGTTGATAAGAGGTCAGAGTTGAATCACAAAACCAAAAACAAAAAAAAGAAAAGAAAAGAAAAGAAAATGAAATAAATAAATTAAATGAGATGAGATAAAAATTTGCGTACCACTTGTCTTTTGATTTCTAAGATGATGCTCAAAAGGCATCAGATATCTATAAACAAAAAAGATCTAGGTGTTAAAATCGTCAACGCAGTATTAACAACAGAAGTAGAGTCTATTCCTTTATCAATCATGATAACATGTACATCTACTGTGTTTCCTCGTTGATTTGTGTGCTTGATCGCCTAATTTGGCTCGATCATCGTTCGGTCGTTTTTCGTATGTCCACCCTTTAGTTCCCTGGTTCCCGTCTTGCTGTTCGTGTGTTTTCGTTCGTCCATCCCCTGGTTCTTATTGAATAAACGAGGGGAAGAATTCAAGGATGGAAGGAAGACGAACAAAAAAATCAAGAACGGCGAACTGAGGGGGAGACAAAGATCGAATGAGCCAACGATCAAATAAATGAACGAAAGAATGGACGTAAAAAATGCACAAGGGAAGGAGTGCGGGGAAACAAATGAATAAGAGCAAGAAGGAACGAAGTTTCGAATAGACAGACCGGCGGGGGGCTGACAAACTGTAGAACGAACGAAAGGTAAGTGGTCTAAGATTTCATTTACTTACTTTTGGTAGAAAACTTGTGTAGGCGTGCTTATTCCTTCATATATCTCATTCAACTCTACCAACTCGTTATACAATTCGTCCCACAATCTGCGTTGACAGACCTGAATGTTATTGCAGATAATGAGTCATAAATACAAAACAGACAAACAGAACAAAAAAGCAACAATAAATCCCCTGACTTATTCCTGATCTCAAATAATTTTATCTTTCTCTGACTTTCTCCAGAACTGTGACAACCATGATTATTTTAAATTACGATCCTTAGTTTCCTCCTTGAGAAAAATGAAAAATAAATAAACCAATAAATTTATTACGTTCAATTGTAGGTTCTGAGCACTTTGCATGCATAGACGTGTCGTGTCACCTCGTCAACCGGGAGAGAAAAATCGCACGGTGCGAACCGATGACCTTATAAAAAGTGTTGGGAAGTGCAATTATTTTAAAGCCACTTTCGTTTAAATGCGATTTCGCGCAACTGTTTCAATTTTTTAGAAAATCAATAATCGTTGTTCAGAAATATTGCAATTTAATCAGCATTAGTCGTCTCAAACTTGGAAATGTTGATCATTTGATCACGCTTACTCCACTTTTGGAGTCTTTTCGCATCACGACCCTTTCTTATCAGTTGAAAAGTAAACAAGGTGACATAACATGTTTATGCACACCGCCTACTAGTTTACTTTTTCAAATCCACCACGTTGCTGAACCAAGTTGTAGAATCTAAACAGATTGATGCTTTTTCCTCGCCAGACTGGTGCTCTGGGTAAAGTGACTCCTCGCTCTGATGAAAACGCCTGCAGACGCTCCAGGAATTCTTTTTCCTACAGTCAGAAAACAGTAAAATTGAGAAAAAAATACTTTTTACCCAAAGACATCAGCTTACGAGCCAGAAGAAGCCATCTTGCTGGAGCTGCTCTCTCTACATCTCCAGACTGCTCTATTTTTGTAGCAATGGCTGCTTCACTCTAGGTTCTTAACCCTTGCACCCCATTCTGTTTCTAGACTGTCCTTCACCACGTCTCGCGTGGTCGTCCTCATATTGATTCACTTCATAAGCGGTCACAAAAAGACAAGTCTCTTATCTCACATTACTTTCACGGGAAGTTAAGAAGTAAGCTTCGACTTGGAGTAATTGATTCACGTTTCCTGACTACCGTTTTAAAATATGCAACAAGTGCCATGGCCCACAAGCGCCAGGTTTGAACTTTTAGGCGGGGTTGTTCGAAGCTGGATTAAGATAACCCAGGATTGGTGTGAAATCTGATCTCAGATCTGAAAGCTTTAACAAAAAATTCAGTATAATTCTTTTTGTTTAGGATATTGTTATTGGATGCTCTTTAAAGAATAGAGAAAATTTTCCCAAAAAGGCTTTTGATCAAGGGAATAAAATGACCCGGAATTAAAATTTAACCTTGGGTTTGCGCTAATCGGCCTCCGAACAACTAGGCCTTAGGACTAGTTCTTGATATTTTGTGGAAAAATATTTTGATATTTTCTGCAACGTGCAAAAATTCTTTCCCCGCAAGGGAATTCAAATATGTATTACATTTTTGAGATAGATGAAAACAAAAGAGGAACGAAAAATTCATTGAAAGAGCAAGGGTGACTTAATATGGAGAAAATTGGCATGACATTATTATAAATCTGTTATCCTTCGTCGCAATCATTACATACCTTCAACTCTGGATTTGCCAAGCATTCTTGCTCGACACCAAAGTGCTCACTCGCCATTAAAGGAATCGTCGGAGAGTTCAACGGAGTATCGGTTTTGCGGCGTGCGGGAATTTTGGCGGGTACCTTGACTCTTTCAGCTGGAGCTGTTCTCTCCAAGCTAACTGCAACAGGGCTGGGTTTGTCTTCCTCTGTAAAATGCGTTCAAGGAAAACGAAATATGAGATGACCTTTTACCTCGAGAGCCCTCAGTAATGCTCGAACCAACTAAGTTGCGAGCTCGTTTCCAACGTCCTCTCTTTTCTGCTGGAGAGAGTGAACCCTGGAAACGAAGTTGACATCAGAAGCAGGTAAATTGTAGGCTCAAACGTTTAAAGGAGCTCCGCGAGATCACAGATTCTAATCCAGTTGAAGTCCATAATTTTTTCCCCTGCTTGCTTACGCAGTTGCAAAATATGACTGCTGGGATCGTTTCATCATCCCACTAAATTGCTACAATTCATGTGGATTCCTCTATGTTCATGATTTTAATCATGATCAAGCCCAATTTTCTCTTTGCTGAATGTCATAACACGTTCAAAACTTATTGCAAAAATTTAGATAATAAAAATATCTCTTAACTTAAAAGTATTGATTTCTCAAAAAGATTACAGAAAGAAAATCTTCACTACAATACGGTCTGACACATTAGTTTTCGATACCTTTATGAGAAGATCGTCATTGAGGAGAAGTGTGCTCCAAAAATCACACAACTTTTATCCCCACCATTAAGTACAGCAAAAAGCGTACATGACACTGACCTTGTTTTGAGGGGTCCAAAGAGGAACCGAACCGTTAGAAAATTCTAATCAAATGTGTAAACATCCTGCTTTGGAGGCTAGTATGAAGAAATCAAGTCCCACTATTCCTTTTCCAAATCTTGACAAACTGTTTGAACAATAAGCTACTCAAAAAGGCATTCTGGACTCAAATGGCGTTTTTTTGGCACTAACCATAACAAAGGCTTTTGGTGAAGCACGCGTTAAAGTTTTGTTTTATGGTTTAAAGTCTTATGCAATCAGGTTACTGTGTAGTTTTTTTTTTAATGGCGGTATCTATAGTCGCATTTTTAGGAGATTTGACGACAATTTCCGATTGCCTAGGTTACTCTTTGAATTCTTACAAAGTTTTCACAGCGATGATAAAAATTGCTCCAGTCTACAGGTTCCTGGGCTGTATTCTCTCCTCAACATCAAAGCAAAATTTTAGGCATATCACTTCAGTGACTCACCCTCAACATATTTGAAGTGACACGTCTCTATCCTCTCCTCTGCAGTCGTGTTAAGGGAGCTCTGTGCTTCCTTGAGCGCAAACTCGTACGACTTTTTGAGTTCAATCAATTGCCTTCCCTGAATCTTTCTGAATTGAGGAACCATCTTAGTCTCGTTCATGGAGCGCAGCGGATGCACGCGGGCTGGCACTAGCCATGCACGTGAACGAGGCTGACCAAAAAATTCTACGTGATAATGGGTGATTTCATTCTCTTTGTCCAGCGGTGCGTCGTAGTACTCGCCGCAAGTTGGATCACGGGTTAGTATTCCTGGCCAACTTGTTAAAAAGAAAATTAAATAATGAGCTGGACGAACAAGAAATCTCCGAAAATTACGAAACAAAGAAAGGGTGATAGATATCATAGACAGGAACAAGAAGTTGGTTCACTCAAAGACTCTACACCAGGCCTCCAATACCACAACCTACTAGCCAGTGGCTCATTAACAACATTCAAATTTGTGAGAGCACTTCCTTCGGACCGCTGGGGCTAGATTTCGATTTCCCGACCTGGGGTTTGTATGTTTGAGAACACGTAGTCGTTGAATCTCGTCCTTGCTGAGAGAATTTCCACCAGGTTCTCCAGTTTTCCTTTCCCTCTTAAGAAAATCAGGTCCCAGTTGTTCGAAGGTTGGATAGCGCTATCCACTTGATAAAAGTCTATCCGGCGGATAACACCATACGTTTTGCAATCACTTATCCGCTGGATAGCGATTGATTCGTTGGATAGCGTTAACTACCCTTTATACAAATGGGCCCAGAACTGGTACCAGAACATTTCAATTCGACCTAGAATCAGGTACTAGGCTTTCGTCTAGTTGAAGAAGCTTACTCACTTCTCGTCGCTTCTCGCTGAGCTTTTGCGTTCAATGCAAGTTCAATCAGTTAAAGGAACAATAATAGTTGTAAGCAAATCAGTTAGACACTTACGGCGGGTAACCCGACAATTTAGCCATGACCACTTCTCCCTGGGGAAGCAGACTGTATATAAATTTCATATGCTTGGGTTTCTTGGCTTTCTGTTCCACGGCGGAGCAGTTGTTATAACGCGTGTCACGATTGAGCCAGCAATACCACGCGCTGTCCCCTAAGCCCTCGGCTTCTTCGGCTGAAATTTGGCGCCATTTTTGACAGCTCTCGCTCTCGCACTGGACCCAGATGGACACCGCGTCTTCGTCGTCTCTAGGCTTCACAAAAGCAGTGGACGAGGGAACCCTATTTGGGTTACACGAAGACCGCTTCCACACTCCGCGCTTTCTTTTCGGCATTTCACCCAGGAGAGTTCAAGTTGTGCTGTAGGAAAAGAGCAAAGCTTAATCGGATTTTGGAGCAATTCGGGATTTCTGTGGTTTTGCTTGACTTAGTTCTTTGATGGGTCTCCAAATTTCGCGCCACTTTCGCAACCAATCAGATTCATAAAATCAAATTTGGTCACCCGTGTTTTCCCGCGCTTGTTTCTATTTTGAGTTCCTATTGGCTCCTTAAGACTTTGCTTTTACGATGTCACGTATTCTAATTACCTCATAAATATAACAACTGGAATCTCGGACATTCCCAGATATTTGTCTCATCCTTCAATCTCTTGGTAAATTGTTAAAAATAAGTTTCATTCGTGTTCAAGCTCATGGAATTGGTTCAGAGATTTTTCTGATCCGTCCCGAAAAGCTCACGAACTGCTCTCCGAACAGGTACCGAACTCAATCCGAATAGTTTCCGACCTATTCCGAGGCAGTTAGTTATATGATGACCCTAAAAATTAATGTAGTATTGAATTTTTGGAATACGACAACGTGCAGGGGCAATTAAGAGGCCAATGATATTCATAAATGCAGCGTAAAAGGAAAACGGCGCTATTTTAGCGGAAGAAAATACCAAACGCATGAGTCAAGTATCTGATAACGGATACATGATTTGAATGCTAAACAAACTCTTGCAGAGCTCGTTAAGTATTAGAAAATTAAGCCCTTTCAGGAAGGGCCCTAACATCGCGTCACACATCTAGATTTAAATGTTAAAATAAACTCGATATTACTTCAGCGAAATCATACCTCAAAGCAATGCAATGTAGAGTAACGTGATCAAAAGCCAATTTGCGTACCAGTTTGGTAAGATCAAAAACCTCCGTAATTGTTATGATATGACATAAAGGAGCGAAGGCGATTAAGGATGGAGAAATTTGACACAGATTGCGAATTGCAAATTTCAGAAACTTAGATGCACACTAAAGCCTTTGTTCCCTTGGTTTAGGAAGCATTATTCTGAGCTAAAGCTGACGGCATTCGAAAGGGAAAGGGCATCACGATATTTGATCAACAGGATTCATTTTCTCTTAGGTCGTGCCACTACAGACGTTTTGCCTGATGATCCAGTCAGAACAATACTAAATGTCACTCGCAAGATATCATGCTGCATTGTGCATAACATTACGGAATCTAAGAGCGTCTTGATACAGCAAACGAACGTACAGATAACCGGGGTTTCAATTTGCACAAACAGGAACATCAATGCGGTTTCCGCTTTAAAACAATCTAATCCAAGCTCTAACCGGTAAATGCTTATTTTCCTGCCTTTTGCAAGAAATCTGAAATCGAAACGCAAATGAACTTTATTGCCATTAATTATGTTCAGTTGTTCCTTCCTTGAAAGCAGGAACAGGACGTCGAATGTTCCTCCATTGTCCGTCGCCAGGCACTGTCACCAAGATTAGTTTGTTGAGGAACAAACTGCTATATTTAGATAATGGTACTATTTATAGAGATTTGGCGCACGAAACCTCTTAGTGAAAACTTCAAGACATTCGAAACAAAAAATTGCAGTCAAGATTAATAACAAGATAAATGCAAACAGCCTCTTTCGCGGAAATTATTCAAGGTTACCCAAAGAGATTCAATTTCACCTCCGTAATATAAGCGGGTTACAGAAGAATCTATTTTCAAACTTAAAAATATCACAAAAAAGAGATTTTACTAATAAATAAAAACAAAGATTAGCACATGAAGGAACTACTTGGCAGCTTTTATCTAAATGGTGACGCTGTATTTCACCCTCTGGAAAAACTCCTTAAAAAACCGCCCTTAACGGCATAATAAAGATAAATATATCGACATTCAAAGTGATGCTCGCGGGGTTAAAGTTGACAATCCATGCAAGACAATAGTAATAAAGCGACAAATAAAAATTGATTTAAATACAGGACCGCGGAATTCTGTCCACGAAAATGAGAAGAAAAAAAAAAAACGAAAACAACACGAATTTTATAATGAAATTGACGTAAATATCTGTATGCAGCAGAACTTTGAGGCGTAGCGGACTCCCACGCAAAAGCCAAAGCCGTGTCACTCGCACACGTCGACAATAAATAACTAAATTACATCCCCCGTGAGTAGTGTGTGCTTTAAAAGTGAATCGCAATATTTATTGCGACTACAGAATGAACATTTCAAGCACTTTTATTGTTATTCCCTGACAGAAAACAAATAATACCGCATTGTACAGTCGTGATGAACTCGCTGAAGCGAAGCCGGCAGTAGTAGGTATATTTCACATTGGACGTGCTTCAGAGAGCAGATTACGTGTTTCCTGCGAAGGAGGATATTACGTCTTCCAAACTGAACGTGTTTTGAATTTTCTATACTTTACAGTAAAATTACTGCGACACAGATAACATAAGAATGTGGGTTTTTTGACTTATGGATTTGAAAATATTTTCGAATAGTTCTGCGTTAGGCAATGTCTTTTTAGTAGAGCAACAATTCAAAAGTTCTAAAAATATCTTGAGTAAAAATGTAGTAATACGAATTTTGAAGAAAACACTTTCGCGTTTCTGTTCAATAGAATGGTTAAAAAATGAAGCTTTCGATCGTCATAACAGTTATGAAATGGGATTAGACTCGATAAATTTCTATTGCTAACAAAAAGTCATGACAGTTTCCAACACGAGGTCATATTTACAGCGAGTACACATTTTGCAAATGAGTAGCGGTTCATGCAATATACCGTGCAATCCTGTTGTCTAGGGCTCGCACCTGCAAATCATTCATTCTATACCCTTTAACATTTCAGTAGAACATACAATTAACCAAGCATTGTCAAACAACATTGTCTTCTAGTTCCATAGTTTTCATTTCCGCGACCGGAAACAACTATGTTCCCTTGGATCTCCGCGACGACAACAAAAGGTTCTCGACTTTCGTAACGAAAAAAATAAAACTTGTGCCTTTAAGAAGCTAGACGTAATCTTCCACATACACTGTCCCTCAGAAAAAAACAGGCGATGCATTGACGCAGGAAATACTCGCTTTATCATCGTTGTATTCGGGAAACAATTGATTATGTTTTGGTTGTTATAAAACTTTTGTCTCGTCATCGTACCTACACGAGGTCTGAAGTGTTCGTAGACAGGAAGCCAACTTACTCAACTTCTCCGCCTTTAGTCGCGTATTTCTCATCGAAATCTAAAAAATTATAACATAGGTGTACTTACCTTACATTCTGATAAACACGACGGGTATCCTGTTTTGTTCAAAGGTGCGAATAATCCTGAAGTGTCTCGCATGCAAATGTACAAAGAGTGACAAGTTACACGTTATTTCCTCTTGATTTTCCCGCTTACTGGGGGCAGCCGCTGGACGGATACGCAGAAAGGGCTCATGCAACGCATGCTTTATGGTGTTAAAATGCTGACCGGACTAAGTTTGTTAGGTTAGCTTTCTATCGTTATAATTTCAATTTTTATTGATGCAGATTTTTTGACATCTTTTTATACAAACTATGTTGCCAGTTCATACTTTAAATAATGGACAACAAATACCGGGGATTGGATGTAAGTTTGTTATGTACATTAATGATGTAATATGAGATTCCACCCATTTATCAATTTATTAATCCTTTAACCCCAAAGAATGACTAGCACCTAATTTCTCCTTACAATATCACCCCCATATCACACATTAAGGTCATGAGAATAAAGGAAATGGTCACTAACCAGAGCAGTTCTGGATTATGAAACAAATTCTCCTCATTAGCACCTTAGGGATGTATAGGGAAGGGTATGAAGAATATGCAGGCTAATGTTAGTGTAGAAAGGGTTAAGTATTCATTTTAATGAAGAAGGTAATTAAATAATCACACATTTGTAGAAGTTATTCAAAACATTTAGCTAGGGAGTATGAACCTAATTTGCTCAAGTTAAAATCTGTACATGAAACTTCACATTGTGTACTAAATGTTCAAACATGTTCACATGCAGTATAAGTATATCTCACAAATAACTTGCTGTACTGTTAAGTGGGAACATTTCAGATGAAACAAGTGTCAGGGGAAGATTTAATTCACAGAACTATTGATACAGCAATCCACTGTGGCTACAGGCTCATTGGTAAGATCAAAATAATCATGCATTTATTGTTAACCCTTTCATTCCCAAGATTTCTTTAGTAATTCTCTATACTGTCTGCCAACCAGTTCTTGTGAAGTTAGTTGGGAGAATTTGGTATTGGTTTTAGACCTTTTGATGTCTTGTGGTAGATTGAGACACTTGACCCTCAGTTTGACTCACACACCTTTTACTGGTATAGGTACCACAGTGAACTATGAGAGAAACCTGTGATGCACATTATATTCTGAAGGATTTGTCTTGACATTGTTTAGCATCCCATCCAGGAAAAATTGCAATTCCCCTAATAATTAAATGCGGCTGAAATCATATTCACCCTTTAATCCCTTGGAGTGATGGCGCCTCATTTCTCCTTACACCATCACCCTTGAATCAAACATTAAGTCCATGAGAATGACAGAAATGATCACCCACTGGGGAAGTTCTTGATTATACTCCATACTATACTCCATGTCAGTATCATAGGAAATGTATAAAGAACAGTGTGGAGAATTTGCAGAATGATCTTAGGTTTAAGCTGTTTCTGCTAGTGTGCGATTCAGTCACCAAACTATTGCTAATCATTTACCCCCATAATTCAGCATTGGTCTAAGGCTTGATAGCCCACCTTTTGTTATTTTTTTGAATCAGATACTGCTGCTGTATACCAGAATGAGGCAGATATTGGGGAGTCACTGAAAAACCTTTTGCCCAAGTATGGTCTCTCCAGATCTGATATTTTTCTGACAAGTAAACTGTGTAAGTGTTGTGCTGTTATTTAAGATGTAAGATTTTTGATCAGTGCTAACCTTAAGAATCTCATAATATTAAAAAATGCCAATATTCCCTTTGTATTTCTGTGACCCAGTTTACTTTTTATATGGTCAACTGTTTCCTTTTTATATGGTCAACTTTTTACTTTTATATTGGTCAGTGTAAAACACAGACTGCAGACTGCAGACTGCAGACTTCAGACTGCAGACTGCAGACTGCAGACTGGAGGTAAAGTACAGACTGAGGGTAAAATGCAGACTGAAGACTGCAGACCAGGGGTAAAATGCAGACTTGGTTCCGTTTATGACTGCAGTATTGACCTGATTGTGAAGCACAAGAGCGAAGTGTTGAACATCTTGAAGCTTCTGATACAAAGCACCATTCCAAGATCACACTTACCTTTTCAGCACAAAACAAAGGTACGAGAAACAGGTTTTTATTGTCCAAGTAATCGAAATTGCCGATGTGTGATGAACGTCTGTCGCTACTACTTTTAAGGCCGAACAAAGTATGCATGAGCTACATGTATGTTAAAGCTACCTAATGTTGCTCATCAGAACTCTTTATTTCTTATATGAATAAGGAAAATGTATTTAGCTGGCTGTAAACTGCATATTCAAACAGTTACATTTCTAATTGTTCTTACCTTAAAACAATATGTTAATGCCAAGACCATCTGAGGACTTGAAGTTTGAAACATTAATCACCATGATGATTATTGTCAGCCTCTCACAACTCACACAGCCTCAATCCTAGGTCACTCTTGAAGTTTTTCCGGGGAAGCAGGTTGTTTTTGAACCAAGTCTGTCTTTTACCCCTGGCAGTCTTCAGTCTGCATTTTACCCTTGGTCTGCACTTAACTCCCAGTCTGCAGTCTGCAGTCTGAAATCTGCAGTCTGCCTTAACACTGACTGATATAAAAAGTAGAAAGTTGACCATATAAAAACTCGACTTGACCATATAAAAAGTAAAAAGTTGACCATATAAAAACTCGACTTGACCATATAAAAAGTAAAAATTTATCTTATTAAAAGAAAAGTTGATCATACAAAAAGTAAAAGTTGACCATATAAAAAGTAAACTGCGTCACAGAAATACAAAGGGAATATTGACTGGTTTGGTGCCCCATACACATACCCAATTTGTTAATTTTTGTATTGGAGCCAGTCTTCATTAAAACTATACAGCTTTGAATGAAATTGATTTTACCCTGCACAATTTGTTCTTTTGTGATCAATGGTAGCGGCCGAAAAAAAAAAAAAGATTATAAAATGATAAATAACTGGACACTGAACATGACATCTGACAAAATGATTTTAAAAAGACCATTCAGCATTCAGTAATACCTCCATAGAGAAATTACATGTATCATTGAGCTTATGGGGATTTTCCTGTGATTGATTTGATGTGTTCATTTAATTTCCTTTTTGGTAGCTCCCAGAGATCATGGTTTTGATAGCACAGAAAAGGCTTTTATGAAGTCATTGAAGGTACTAGACTGTGCATATCTTGACCTGTATCTTATACATTGGCCTGGTGTTCAAAAACTCAAGAGTGATGATCCTAGGAATGCGGAGCTGAGACAAGGAAGTTGGAAAGCTTTAGAGAAACTTTATAGCACTGGTTAGTGACTTTTAAATATCACTTAAAGCCTTATCTTACAGAGCCTGGTTGCAACTGTAGTATTTGCTAGGCTACCTGTGGCTGCCTGTTAGAAATATGACAGGATAGGCATCAGTATGGAACAAACATATGCGCATGACAATGGCTGAAAGGTGTTATTGCAGCTTGAATGCAAATAAAGAAAGTTTTACAACAACCACAAACAGAGGCACAAAAACAGCTGATCATACAGCATACAATTATTTGGATTATGACAGTAGGAATGAGTGCAATTAATCGAGAATCATTTTCCAAATGAAGATGAAGAAGTACAAGGAGATACAGTGCAGCTGAGACATAATCTTCTACAAAGACATAGCCTTGAATCAGAAATATTTGGAAGAGGAAAATGTTTTGTTGCCAGAAAAAAGAAATTGAGAAAGAGAGCTTTTGCAATATTTCATGAGTTCCCAGACTAGGATTTAAGCAAGATAGCCATAATGAATCAAAGCAATTGATAATGGAAGGTCATACAATGTTGTCATGGCCAGCAAAGGAGAAAAAAAAAATGTATAAAAGTCAGCGACAGAACTTCAACTTTTTCACATTATTTTCTGTAGTCACCATGACACCCAAAACAGTTTGCAGCTTGAGGCACAGTACAAGTATTCACAATGTGTCTGTACATTCTGTTTTACAGAAGGATCATCAGTCAACTAGTTTTAAATGTGTGTTAATGTTTGCAGGTTTAGTCAAGTCAATTGGAGTATCAAACTACACTGTAGATCATCTGGAAGAACTTCTTCAGTATTCAACAGTCACACCTGCTGTTCTTCAGGTACTTAGCCCTTCACACCTTAACATCAGTATGCATCTTCTCTGTGCTGTTTTCCATACATTTCCAAGTGTGGTGATAAGGAGAAAATGTTCAACAAATCAAGAGCTTCTTAGTTAAAGATCGTTTCTCTATATTCTCAAAATTAGATGCAAGCCACTCTAAGGGTTAGGGGTTAAAGGGTAAAACTCATAGACTCCTAGGTCTGATGTAAATCATTAAAAACAATTTAGTGTTGTATTAAGATTACTCATTTTCTATCTAAAATATCCATACCTTATTCAGTGTAAAGCACTATTGATCTGTACATGTAAATAGGGCTATACAACTAATAAATTATTAAATTATTATTATTACCTTATCAAAGAAACTACAGAGATGAAGATACTAACTGATCGTCTGGAATGAGTAATCTTAATGCGACACTAAATTTTTTTTAATGATTTACAACAAATTATATTGAACAGCAAGAAGGGGAACTTACTAGTTATATCTTAGGAGTTGTCAAGGTTAAGCTTTGAGCTATGTGACAATGATTGTAGTTGGCATTATGTTTAATCTGATGCCTCAATCATATGCAACCAAATTTGTTGTTACTGAAATATATAATTATCATTATTTATTTTTTCTGGTCAACTCAATAGACTTTCCATGTCACACTGTACAGAAAGAAAATTTGAAGGTTTGAATAACTTTTAAGACCTGCCCAAATTCTCTTAATCATGTGACATGATTGTGAACATGGTATAGCCCACAAAGTGAGCCCAACTGGAGAAGTGGGTATGGGGGGGAACATGACCTTCTAGTGGTCTCAGAAGAAGTGTATGTGTTTCCTTAAATGATGAGCATCATCCTAGTCACTGGTAGGTTGTAACAGATAAACACATGGTATTTTACTTGACTTTTTAACTTGATTAATTTTCTGTTAACAAGACTACTTAGAATTTGTCCTTCTGTACAGAGCTCCATTGCACCAGAATTTTACATCCTTACCCCTACCACCACCCCCCCCCCCAAAAAAAAAACAAAACAAAACAAAACAAAACAAAGCAAAACAAAGGAAAATTAAAAACAGAGTATGATGATAATTGTTAAAAATATTTTTACCTTTTTCAATAGTTTACCTCTTTTAATCTTCCGGAATTCTTGGACACTCTTTAGTATAATTGCCATGTCGCTTTTATTCTGTCTAAATTTCTTCAATGAAGAAATTAATGGTAATTAAAACAACATGTTTTGATTTTACACAGGTTGAATTCCATCCCATGCTTTACCAGAAAGATTTGCTTGAATACTGCAAGAGTAAAGGAATTCAGTTGCAAGCATACACCTCTTTGGGTCAAGGAAAAGTATGTGAAGTGGTCTTATTTGTTCTGTCTCTAGGATGGCCCATCAGCCAACATAAACTTTGATGAACATCAATGGAAGAGAACCCTTCAACACCTTTCCTTTTGAATGCTCTGCCAATATAATATGAACACTTAGTGTTCACTCACCACACGTTCTATATGTTATTTTTTTGCCTTCTCTCTTTCCGTATAAATTCTAGCCCAAAATGATAATTCGGTTTTTAATTTGATAATTTAGTGAAGTTGGATTTAAAACATCAGTTTTATTGACCAAATTTTTCACTATTAATTGTTTTTAGCTTTTGGAGGAACCAACTGTGTGTACCCTGGCCGCAGAGTACAGAAAATCAACAGCTCAGGTGCTTCTGAAATGGGCTCTTCAGCACGATGTTGGTGAGCAACTAAAGTCTGTTTATTTATTTCGTACATACTGAGATTTACAGTGTGAAGTACTACCGTTCGTGTCTATGATTGGACGAAGGATGTATTTTCACAGCCTTTCGCTTCGTACTTCACAATTTAAATCTCAGTTTGTATGAAATAAAGACATCATACCATGGAAAGTGCTTGTGATGCTGGCGTTGGCAATGCATCAAAATGCTCACTCGTTGGTTTTTTTGATGTATCGCAATTCGTGAATATAACTCTTTCGCGTGCCCTTTCCATGGAATGATCTCTACCGAGTGGTCTCATTTGTTATCATTTGTTTACTGAACCACTTCCTAATAAGCGTAGCCGTTGGTTTTGTGTGCGGTTGAGATAGGCGAGCGAGGGAGCCTCGAAAAAGACCAACGGACAAATGCGAAAAATACAGACGGAGCCGCGAAAGGGACTAGCGAGCCGAAAAAATGACCGGCGGAGTCGCGAAAACGAGTTACGAAGGTGCGATAGGCGTGAAACAGAAAATGCCTGTTTCTGCACTCGAAGCTTCGATGCCCGTTTCACGGCCTTACTGGCTTTCTTTTAACGAGCCATTCAGACTTATAAGCTCATGTCGATGTCTTGATTTCTGAGGTTGGGAGAGGTTGGTTTTCAGGAATTATGAAACACATTCCTTAGAAAAATACGAGAAACTCCTTCGTAGACGGATTCTGAATTGATTTGTTTCAAAAAGGGAAATAACAATCCATTGCCACGCATAGGACAAATTAGAACTAACATATACACATGTCCTCAAGGATTCCATGTTCAGTCCTGTGAATTTAAATGCTTTTAGTGTTGAAAGCTTTTAAGAAATACGAACGTCAGAAAGAGAAAAGGTCATTTCACTTAAAAAGAAAAAGACGAAAAAGCTAAGAAAATTTCCTTTTTCTCCAGAGGTTATTCCACTAATATAAAGAGACGAAAAAGCTAGGAAATTTGTTTTTTCTCCAGGGGTTATTCCAAAATCTGTTAAGGCTCAACATATTAAAGACAACATCTCCCTCACCGACTTTCATCTTTCTGAACATGACATGGAGGTGCTTGGCCGGATGCACTCCAACACCCGTTTTTGCTGGGATCCTACGAGAGTGAAATGACTTCGGTTAGACCTGGAGTTTGCAAATTTTGGTATAACTACGTTATACAATGGACTGTGAGCGGTTAGCTTGCATTAAATAAAGGCGGTACGGAGGACGGAAGGACCGAACTGAGCGAGGAAAAATTCATCCAATGCCAAGCGCCGGTGATCACCTTGCTACCATCGTGGGATAATGTGCAGCAAGTGCCAAGCGCGGAGAAGCATTCAACAGGCGCTGTACACGGGAAACGAAACTACTACCAACACGTTGCAGATACACAAGTACTCGGCGAAAAACGCAGGAAAACATTGAGCTTAAGGACATCTGGCGAAGTTTGAATAAGTCGCAAGAGTTAAAAATCAACAAATAACTAGGATATACAGTTTATCTGTTCCAACTTATAATGAGTTGAATGCAATGGTTTAACTTTTGAAGAAGAAGCTCTATTTCATAGTATGTTTTACCAGGTAATTAACTGAAATATCGCGCCAAGGAGAAAGCTGTTAATCGGGAGCAACTGGAAAAACGAAAAAAATCGCAGAGTGCTCTTTGACCAGGCAGTGGAAAGGCGAGAAAAGAGTTAAGAGCATTCCTTTCAATATTTTCCGGGATTTAAGTCCCTTAATCGACTAAAATAATTATGTCTGTCTACTGGCTTGGGACAATATTAACTGAGAACGTTTGCCTAAATATGTTATGCCAGATTTGATAAAAGTGAGTCAAGCGCTTCGGTGAATTATGAAAGCTGGTGTTTCCGATCGCTAACTTTCTGTTGGACTTAAAGAAAAGTTATTTTGTGTTAACATCGTGATTACATGATTAGTGGGAACGTCAACTTTTCAAATTTCGCTACCGTGGGTTACTTACTTTTATCGAAATATAGTAAGCTGAAACAAACCTACTGTTTGACATGCCAGCCGACGCGGAATTACAGTTTCTCTAGAAACCATATTACAGTTTATAGTAGATTTGCAGTTTTTCTTTGGCCTTTAAAATATAAAAATTGTGGCGTGTTTCTTATAAAGTCAAAGGTTAAGATTAGTACACGTAATTCATTATTTTTTTATAAGTGACATTTACATGATAGTTGTGTATCGTTTATTTACCTCAGCCTACAATATAGATTTAAAACTCCAATGATCAAAAAGCTTCATGGATTGCCGAGACAAACATAGGCTATTTTTATGAATAACTTTAGGAATTTAAGGTGGCTGGAGACAGTTTTCCGAGACATCTACCGACTGTATTAAAAGCGCTCAAAAACTAATTTTCCCTCTTCGCAGTCAAACTAATTCCACACATGTGTTGACTAAAGGATGGAAGTTTGAAATAGTGGGCGGGCATAGCAATCGATTCTATTATACCAATGTTATGGGAAAATCCCGTTAAACAATTTTGGGACGGAAAATAAAAAGGCGAACGTGAGTTAGTTTTAAATCAAGAAGTCGTAGTTTGTCCTTCCCTTTTGGAGGCCTATTGTGTACAAATGGGGAACAACGAGCTTCTGCATACTTTTTAATCAGCAGGTTTATGTGAAACACTTTCTAGAAAGAAAAGTCACTGAAAGCCTGCTCTAAAAAGGAAGAGCTCGGACAGGTGGAAGATGTGAGAGAGTCCATTGATAAAGCAGCTTCTTGGGCTTTTATGACAGCTTTCCAATTTTGTATTGTGGACTGAATGTTCATTTTCAAAAGAAGTACTTGAACTTCTTCTTAGCATTTCCAGCATCAGAAAAGTAAATCAACAAAAATCAGTTGTGAAACCAGACAGGACGTTAAAAAGAAGATGTCAGGAGGGACTATGATTAAGCGGCTGGTAACTTTGCAATGAAAGCTTTGTACAGTATAGATTGAGTGTCCATTCTTGTAATGAATACCTGAACCTCTTACTTTTCTGGCCCTTATATATCACTTCCTTTTCCTAATTGCTTTTTAAGAAGAATTATAATCATTACCATACGATCTTAATTAACGTTTGATCATTATCAAGATAACTAAATAAGATCTACGAGGTACTGCTTTCCGAAAATCTTTGACTCTAAGGCTTGATTACCTTTGAAAGATTTTGGTTGGCCTCTGAAATATAAACGAAATTGATGGTCCGTTTCAGTGAGCACATTATTTTATTGCTATGACATTATGGAAAGGTCATATTAACTTCAATTGACGACATGCGTGGTAGTGACACATGAAAATTCGATGAAAGAGGGAAATTCACCGAAAGAAAAAAAAAGCACACATTGGAATATGAAAAGAAGGAAAACGATATATTGCCTCTTAACGTTGCTGAATAAGATAGTCTTAATTGTTTTTAATAGGACAGGCAAAAATTGCGAAGAAACTTCTTTAATGTCAGAAAAAGCTTTTGAAATAATTTTTACTAAGTGCTGTCAAGTGAATGTAAATGGCAACGTTGACAATCAAATAGTTAAATAGAGAATAAAATTTTTTTGTATTGGCAGACTGGTTTTCCAGAAAGTAGATCTTGTAACTCAGTAAACGTCGGTTGTCCAGCTGCCAAACCTTGGACGTTCGCGCTGTTTAATTTACCTTGTAACAGAAACTGCTGAAAGGTTTACGCATAAACTTCCAATTTTGTTAAACAAAGCCTTAGCCTCTTAGAGAGTTAATTTATTTTTTTCTTTTGTCAAAGAAGCATAGACATCGTGGGGTACGAGGTGAAAGAGAAATCTTGCCCAGATGGTCATTGTAATCCTGGCAAAATTTAAGGAAGCAAACCACCCTTACTGAATAGCTAGCCTCTTATCGAACCACTGAAATAAACGCGTACTTCGTTCAAATAGATCCATTTGAGGTTTGCTTTCATTCATCGAACAACCAAAATTGACCATATTTTACCTCGAAATTCTAAAATAACTATTAAAACAATATTTCAACAGCCAACATTTTGTAGTATTGGTGTCTCACAATTAGTTTATGAACAAACCTTATTCAACCACGGCAAACCAGAAAAAATTCCTGAAGTTAGAAAATGATGTGGTGAAAGGAAAAGTTCGGCAATTTGCACTATTTTTTCAGCACAGAACTATAAGTAAATATGCCTTTGAGGCCCAAGAGGTTAATCTTATAAATATATTTTACAACACGTACAAATTTTAGGTCATTTGATGACTAGTTTTTCAATAACGTGGATGAAATGGCAAATTTGAGATTAATCCATTGTTCTTGCCAAAACGAACGCGTTGAGTGTAATAACATTATTGTTAGTTATTAAACAATTCTGAAACAATAAATCAACTGTTAAGAGAGGCTTGATCTGAATGTGAGAGGACATCAAGAGGAAACATTTGCAGATACATTTGGTAGGATTAATCTTAAAGGCCTTGAGGCCTATGAGATTAATCTTGTAAAATATGTCTTTGATCTATTCAGAATTTGAAGTAATTTTATTTCTTTAACATCTGTGTTAAATAGAAGACTTCAAGAAATACAATAATAGTTCTTGCCAACACGGAAGTTTAGAAGGCGATCAATTGTAGCTGACCATTACTCAGTTGAGAGAGGATGTCTGACTTAAGTGGGAGAAAACGTCAAGATGATACATTTTCGTATCGAAGTCGGTTACGAGATAGATCAGTGTGAATCGCGTATCTCGCGAGCTCTAACAGTCGAAATTTTGTAACGAACGAAGTGAGTCAGGTCAAATGTCGTCCGAGGCTATATATACATTTTTCAGTCTCAGTATCTTTCGATGAATTTTCGAAAAATCATCCCATGAAGCCTTCGTTTCTGCATAATACTGGTGTATAAATGTATGTGCAACTTTCGGCAACTATATGAAGTCTAACTTATAACATAATGATATGATAGAATCGATGGTCAAACTGTGATAACCATTCAGTGAAAGCTGGCCTGTAATGATGTTCATCTTGTGGAAGTTACCTCCACTGCCCAGGAAAAATGCAACGTCAGCGAATTGTCAAGAATGATACGTTTTGGCATGGCTTGCCAAAAACCCAGGTTTCTGATTCTTTTTATTAATCTGAAGACAGCGGTAATTCAATGAAGGGCAGGAATCGGGAGGTAGGAGGAGGGGCCAAAAAAAGAAAAGCGGGAAAACTTAAGTAGTGGGAGGCTGTGACTCTCCCCCCCTTTCCTAATGATAAGTGACAAAGCTTTCAGTATGAAGTCGCGAATAGCTTCCAATAAAAGATTCCGAAATAAAACTAGCCTCTGTGGGCTCCGTGATGAGAGCAGACTTTCTTCGGACATTTCTTTACCGCATTGTTCTTAAAATTTCTGTCGAGGACAACAACAACATTCGAGTATATATGGCCACGTCGAGATATGTTCTTTAAACCAACACCAGCAACGTTGTTCACATGTGGCGCATCTTCAATACTTGTTGGAAAAATTCAGATTAGGCTGTTGAAAGCTTTGTCACGTCACTCGTCTATGGAGTACCGTATGAAACTGTATTGCTTACTGATTAATTAGTCCGCGATAGATTAGTCATTGCCAAGTATTGGAGAACTATTACTTGAAAACGAAATAAACATTTTTAGCGCGAAAAGAAGCTTCCAGCTTGTGGCATATTGATCTAGGCACCGAAAAGTCATGACCATGCTACTTTCGTCAAAAGATCTGGAGGAACCATAAATTCTCAAATTATTGCGATTATATTCGAGACGTTATGCTAAATCTGTTACCATCAGCTGTATGTTTGGTTTCTTGAACGTTGAGCAGAGCTGAGAACTACATGTATATATAGTATATACCCAATTGAAAAAAATTAATACTATCGCATTTATTCGCTCTGAAAACCAAGTTTAATGCGGGATCGATTAGGAGTGGTTTTGCGCGCCAAAGAGGCTGGGGATTGTTAACTAAATATATAACCTCCTAGCTTGTGAATTGTCCTCTGTTCGGACGGGTTCCATTAAGAGCCAGGCCTCTCTAGTAATTAAAGTGCCACGACCTGCTTTCTTTTTCTAAATATAAACTTCCTCATTTCTCTTTGTCTAGAACAGTAAATCAGTGGATTAACAAGCGAGTTTATCGTGGCAAAGGTATATCTCCATGGTTTCCAGCTTCTACATTTATCCTTATGCCCTGCAAAAATCAGAAAAATACAAAAACCAACAGGAAGAAGGCAGACAAGAATAGCATCAGCTACAAGCACAGTTGTCTTAAGGGCCTTGTTCCCTTTGAAAATTTTTTCTACTTCCTCTTTGGGTAGTTGCTGTGCTCTTATCTTCCTTTGGTGACGGAGGGTCTCATCATACAAAATAACATATGCGAAGGCAACGAAGACGATAGAAGAAATTGCGATAAGGCTCGCTAAAGGATGAAGTGCTTGATCTAATTTTATCATCCTTAAAATTCCAATTGTTAAGGCAATGATCCCAACTACTAACACTGCTATTTTAAGCATATTTTCAGTTATAACGTTTGAGTATTGCATTGTAAATTTGATCGCTATGAGCCTCTCGGAAGTAACCAACATCAGATGAAGGCATGAAGCAGTCATTAATATGACCATAACATTAAGATGAACATTTTCAACTGTTTTACTGCTACTAAGACCCAGTAGTTGGATTATCCTTCATAGAACATACGATGGCTGGTTAAGGACACCTGTCAATGCGTCAATCACCGCTAGACAGGCTAGGAAGTTGTTGCTGTTGGTTGGGAGTCGAAGTCTTGTTTTCACGGCATGTATCACGAGGACGTTGAGCAGAACTGTGAAAGGACAAGTGATAATGTTGATGATGTTAGTGATAATAAAGCTAAGCTCAAGTGGGACATTTGCAGAACTAGTCATCTTTGAAGCGTTTCCTTGCCAAGAAAAGTTTGATATTTTTAGTTAAATGACTCGCTTATGAAGATCAATTGAAAATTTTGATCAATATTTGGATTTTTGGAGGCTTTGATTGTCTTGCTGGCGTGCAAGTGTTCCCTCTCAACTTTTTCTTGCACATTAAGTACAATAATTCCTAATTCATGAGGCTGTCACTTTATTTCGCTATGGTGAGTTGAAGAGTAATTCAATTTCAGAGATCGACCGGTTGGATATTATCTTTTATTCGGGCCATTTGATCGATCGCCACTTTCAAGTTCATATGCTTCCACTTGACTTTTTCTCGCGGATGTATCAATTGTTTAATTGTTGATCGTAATTAATTGGTTAGAAATCACAAAATCTAAAGTCTGGGTTGATTAGAAGAAAGATAAAGTAAGCAAAAGACACGGAAAGAAGAAGAGTTTTTGAACATCAAGTTATTGACTGATGGATACTAACGCGACTTTTCGGTTTGTTTCGTTCTAAATGATCTTAAATGAACTCTTAATTAGTGTTAAGCATATATGACGATTTTCTTTGAAATAATGAGATACCAAATGGAATTCTGCTGGATCTCTTCCAACATAACAGCTTTCGAATTAAGCTTACTTATGACTTTATACAGTGCAACGCCAATCATCAAATCACACTTACATATATTCTGAAAATGTTATTTTCACCATCAATACTTCATAAACACTACAGTAATTTACAGTTTTTTTTTCCGTTAGCATTTCTCTCGGCTGAGAATGAAAATCGACAACTGGAAGATTTGCCACTGGCCGATTTTGGCCGTTTACCTGAAAGACCTCCTCTGTCGATAAGGACAAATTCAATAAAAGAGAATTTTGTAAATTGAAAATTACGACTATTGTTGTTTTTGTAATCATTATTCGACGCATTTTTCCATCTTAAGAGTTAGCGCTAACGCACTCTACTATTGTTATTCGGGGATTGTCGATTCATTTATTTTCATTTATTAATGAAGTTGGGTTTTCTTCTCAGTGAAGGGCTATTGTGTTTATATGATAAACAAAATAATACACGGTTGATATGAATTTTCTCTTCTCGTGTTCAACTCGATAGCTCATGAGTGAGCGCAGCGAACGAATGAGCTATCGAGTTGAACACGAGAAGAGAAATTCCATATCTATACGCGCGCCCATGTATTATTCTCTATATAATAGACTTACTGTGAAGACTCTGACTCTGAGCATAAAGTTTTTAGACAAGAGTGTGTAAAGCAGACATGATAGCCCAATATTATTCTCTATATAATAGACTTACTGTGAAGACTCTGGCTCTGAGCATAAAGTTTTTAGACAAGAGTGTGTAAAGCAGACATGATATCCCAATATCTGCGGCAGATATTGGGTTATCATGTAGAGTTCAAAGTCTACTACTTTCTAAGCCCCTCGTCTATGAAGTGTTCTCAAAATTTTAGCAAACTCAGAGAGAAGAGTCTCCATTTGCTAACTGTTTTGAAAGAAAATGTATAATAGAACAATAATTGAATTCGGTTTCGCGCGATATCGTAAATGATCAAACCTCGTGTCTGTGTTTTGTATTCCTCGGCCTTCGGCTTCGGCAGATACTTCAGACCTCGGTATTACTAATTCATGATATCATGCTAAAACTCATCCAATAATTGCTTATTATGTGGGTTACCAGCATGTCAGCTAGAAAAATTCCAGAGAGTTCTGAACTCGACTGCTCCTCTTGTGTTTAAAAAAGGAAAATTTTGCCATATGACACCTTATTATGAAATTCTGCATTGGTTACCTGTTAAGATGGTAATAGATCTCAAGGTTTTATTGCTCTCGTTTAAGGCCACTCACGGCTTTGCTCTGACACACAAGACTTTGTACATAGTAAACCGAGTTGCTCATTAATTAATTCTCAATTATTAATACTTCTAAATGTCATCACTTGTACTATTACTAAAATGGATAATTTTAACTAGCTTAGCTTTATTTTTTAACATTATGGTGCACAGCTGAAAATGGTAAAATGATATCTTCGCTTTGTAAATTAATAAATATAATTATATGATAATGATTTGGCTAACAAAGGGCATGTGCCTGTATCTGATGCTTTGATCTTTTCCAACATTACAGCTTTCTAGTTTAACATGCATATGACTTTAAACAATGCAACATCAATCATCAAATTACACTTACAAAAATTGAGAATACAAGGTGATGTAACCAAACGAAAATTAAAGAAGCAAGAAGTCGGAAAGCGCATGTTTCAAATTAGTCATTTGCAGTCTGATACATGGAATAATAATCAGGCCTTTTGTTGTGCGAAACATTGACGATTGCTTCTCTATCACTCTAAAAAACTCACAAATTAGAGCTATCATCTGAATTACTTTCCTTCATTTCTTTATGATAACATTTGTTTTAATTCTTAAGTTCTGCATCATAAATGTGATCGCCATGAGCCTCTGGAAAGTAACCAACATCTACTAAAGCGATGCAGCAATTATAGATACAAGTGCATGTGAAATGGAAATGTTCAAGTCTCTCAATACACGATAAGAGGAATATTTACATGAAACGATGAAAAAAGCGCATAGTTATTAAGATTTTTTTCATCGTATGACTTATTGTCCTATCAAATCAGTTTACAAGATTTATTAAGATTGATTTTCTCTGCCAAATTACCCCCTTTTACTCAGTAGCTGGATGCACAAGCTGGGTTCTTAGTCCAAATACAAACGTCCTCATTTCTCTTTGCCTGCAACAGTAAATAATTGGATTGACAAGAGAGTTTAACATTACGCACGTTTGCCTCGATCTTCTGCTGATGGGGCAATTATTAAGAATGCCTGAAATTGAACCGATAGAACAGAAACTAAGAGGAAGAAGGCAGATAATGACAGCACCAACCACTAGCACAGTTGTCTTTAGCGCCTTGTTCTCTTTGGTAAATCTTTCTACTTCTTCTTGGGGCAATTGCTGTACTTTTATCTTCCTTTGGTGGCGACGGGTTTCATGATACAAAATCATATAGGTGAAGGCGACGAAAACGATACATGAAAAAATGACAAGGACTAACATAGAAATGAAAACTACACGAAGTTTTACTGTTCTTAAAATTGCAATTGCAAAAGCAGCTAACCAACATACTGTCACGGCTATCTTTATATTATTGTGAGTTATTACGTTTGAGTATTGCATCGCAAACTTGATCGCTATGAGCCTCTCGAAAGTAACCAATATCAGATGAAGGCATGAGACAATCAGTAACACAGACATGACATCGATATGGAAACCTTCCACTGTTTCGCTGCTTTTGAGATTAAATAACTCAAATAACCTCCACAGGATATACAAAGATTGGCCAAAGAGACCAGTCAATGCGTCAGTCACCGCTAAACAGGCCAGCAAGATGTTGCTGTTGGTTTGGAGTCGAGGTCTTGTTTTCACGGCCTTTATTACGAGGACGTTAAGCAGAACTGTGAAGGGAACACTGATGCTGTTGATGATGATAATGATAATGTGACCAGCCTCCCATGAAAAATTTGCTGTACTAGCCATTGCTGGAGCGTTTGTAGCGTCTGTTTTGAGGCTCTGATCGACCCACTTTTATCTCGAATGCACATGTTAGCCATTCTTGCGCCTGAAGTGCAGTAATTCCTAATTGAATGATAAATTGGGTTGTCAAAGTTGTTTGACATGGCTAACTTAAAGTGTAATGAGAATCAACTCAAAAGCATAGATCGACTCTTTCAGAATTAGCTTATTAAGTGCGATTTGATGTTCATGTACATGTGTTTCCACTTGACTTTTTCTCGCGTATGTATCCATTGTATAGTCGACGAAGTTGTTCGTTTCGTTGGAAATCACAAAATATAAGTTTGGGTTGATTAGAGGAAAAATGAAATAAGCAATATCGGGCAGACGAAGTTGCAATGGGAGAATATGAAGAAGAATCTTATCTATGATGAATTGCCTGAATCTTTAAGATAATTCAATTGAATTGAACTGTGGTTGTTTTGTTTTCTTTTGTATGGCTTTTGAAAGTTTTTGTATCCATTTAGTCTTCTCTGCGGGGAATTTTTTAACGATTTTGAAAGTTATCTTAAACTAAATTTGTCTTGTACCTGACAGTCTGAACCTGATGAGAAAGTACTCAATTTTTCGAATAACTTGACAAATTTTTTTTGTGATTACGACTTTGATGTACCACTGAGACCATCAGTTGCTGATGTTTCCACTTGAGTTTTTCTCATGCATCAGGATAAAAATCAATTGAATCTTTATACAGTTATTCCCACAAGATACTTAAAAATAAACTTCTCATCAATGTCTTCCCCCTTTTCCAAAGTCAGTTCAACACACGCAAACCAGTAAACTCATTTAGAAACAATCAAGCATAACCCTAACAGTGTATTCGGGTAAAAATTTTAAATAAAAATCTGTGAGTTCTATGCATTTTCTCAACAGCATTACAATTATAAAGCTAACATCGTAGCATTAGAAGCTGAAAGTGCTCTTTTTAAAAAGTGTTCCTTTTCCGACCCTTTCGCTCTAAACGTGAACTAATCCTTCGAATACTTTGATGTTGAGATCGGTTTCATTTTCATAAATTTTCTTGCTCTGAATTGTTACTTCAACCGACACTATGATGAATACTTAGCTCAATATAAAGCAAAGTTCATTATACCGTCGAGAAGTTAAAAAAAAAACCTGAAAGGCGTCGAGAAGACTGATTGTAAGTGCCCCTAAGGCACGGGTTTATCCCTTGTTTTGATTTAGTAATCGTTTAATTAATAATCTGTAAAAGTCACACTAGGTGCCTCGTCACGCGTTCCGTAAGTGGTATCGCATTTCCAAACAGAACGGATTTATTGTGCAATTCAATAATTCGATCGATTTCGCAAGCACTCGTGGTTTAATAGAAAGAAATTGTCTGTCGTTTTTATCGAAGGAAGGAAAGGTCCTTTTTGTGTCAACTCTCGCCAGATCCGGCAACAATGTAAGTTTAATTTACCTCGAGTGTTTCTATAGCTAATTTCTTGTCCCTAATTTTGTGAATCAATTATTTTTAGCTTCACGGTCAAATACGACATTTAATAAAGGAGGCGTTTAACAGAAAGAAATTGGGGCGATATTTGTTGTGTCGATCAGTGAGATTCGTACGGTCCAGCTAGCGGCGATCAAGCGTCGCTATACTGATGTCAGCGGACAAACATCCGTGAATACTTTCGCGCCAAATAGAGGTTATTGTCTAGTGATCGCTTCTACAAAAATTGGGCTTGCGAAGGCTGTAAAGATTTTCGACTAATAAAAACACATTTGGCGAGACCTGTTATTTTTTTCATGATTTTACATTATGGGATTAACTCTGAGCAGAGCTTGAAAGAAGTCCGTTTGATTATGATGCACTAATCATTTTCATGGCAGATTTGCTTTGTTTTATTGTTTCGTAAATATGGACTGAAAAGTTATTCTTAGGAAATGCTTAACTTTAAACCAAATGAAGCATCGGTTTTCCACCGCATATCCTCCCTCCGCTCTCGTGCATTTCATGGTTACGCTCTTACGATTATTTAGGCGGGAGATCAAAGCCAAGAGAGCAATTAGAAATTGACATATTCCACAACACAGGGTTGACTTAAAGTATAGGAGAGAATGCTGGCTAGGAAGGGGTTTTTCGCACAATATTTTCTGAGAAAATTCTATTACTTTTCATAGTTGGCGAATCAAACTTGTTTTTGTGATGGCTGACAATCACTCACACCTCCCCTTTTTACTGGCTCACCGAGATACGATCAGTAAGATTATAAGCTGACTGAAAAAAGGGAGAGAAAAAACCAAGAAAACAAAAAACAACAACGACGCCATTCGGTTCTAAGTGTGCGGTGGATCGGACGCAAGAAACACGCACTAAGCACAATCAAGATGACTTTTGTATCAACCCTTTCGACAAGTTAGGTGTCAAATGCTGACTTTACAAGAACAGAAAAAATGTGACATAGTATGACAATGGAATAGAGAAATTGTTATAAAGGGAAAAAAAACTTAATTGAATTAATTGAATTTCCTCTACTCTTCCGTGTTGACACCACAAGTTACCAATTTTAGAGTTGCCTATTAAAGAGATCGCGTTCCATAATTAATGATCTTCAAATGTCAAATTATTAAGTTTCCCTAAAAATTAATGTCATAAATGGAAGGCAATTAAAAGCGTTTAAAGGCGATGACAATAGCATGGAATAAACAAGATCACTTTGAAATATAAATAACATTCGTCATAAAAATTTGGGGAGGTTGGGAAAAATCATTCAAAGGTCTTTTAAGAAGTCAATTAAAATTTAAAATCAGGGAGGACTTCATAAATTTTGTTGAGGAGTGTAATTGGTTTTATAATCATATACTCGTATCAGAATTTCCTGGCCTTAAGCTTCATGAAACAAAAAACGAAATATTTTGTCGACAAAATAACACCTATTTTGTATGGCGGCCATTAAACAGGAACTAATATTTCCATTTATATGATACAAACAAAGCGATAACATTCAGTTGCAAACATTGCTTACATAGAACTGTGAAGAACTGGATTCATGTAAGGTAGCTTTGTTTGATAAAAAAAAAGAAAGGTTGAGGCTTATTACCAATCAAATACGTCAGAATTTATAGTACAGAACTTGTAGTAATACTTTCGAGAATGTGGCATGTGGTAAATGAATCAATTCTATTAAAATATAGTTTTCCTGTGAAACGTCAACAAAGGAGATTATAAAATTAGTGAGCAAAGTGTGCAAATAAAATTATGAGGATTTTTAGTTCTTCTTTATTTCTCTTCTTTACTGGATGGCTAGATTAACGATCTGGGTTCTTCTTCTAAATACGAGCTCTCTCTCATTTCTTTTTGTTTCCAGCAGTAGATCCGTGGATTAGCAAGCGAGTTTAACATGCTGCAAGTTTGTATCACTTGTTCTTTGATGGGGCAAATACTATAAAGGCCCGTATCTAAAAAGAATAGACATAAAATGTTGGAAAAAGGCAGACAATAACAGCATCAACTACAGACACAGTTCGCCCTGTTCTCTTTGGTAAATCTTACCACTTCTCGAGTTCAGGCAGTTGCTGTGCTTTTACCTTTTGATGAAATCATACGAGTGAAGGCAACGAAAACAATACACAAAATAGTGGCAAAGCCAGCCATAGAAAGTAGAATTAAATACATCATTAACGCATGAAAATGCCACATGTGAAATTGGTTTTCCAAACTACAATTCGGCTCTGCCATCCATATGTTATCATCAATGACTAAGTTTGAGCATTGCATAATAATTTTGATGGTAAAAAGTCTCTCAAGAGTAACCAACAACCAACATTATGTGAATTCATAAAACTATCACTAATGTAGCCATAACACTGAAATGCAAAATTTGAACTGTTTCACTGCTGTTGAGACCTGATGATTGGAGTATTCTCCTCAGAATATACGATAGCTGACCAAGAGGAGCATTTCATGCGTCAGTCACCGCTTAAGAGGCCAGCAAAATGTTGCTGTTAGTTTGGAGTCGAGGTCTTAATTTCACGGGCAATATGACCAGCACGTTCAGGGGAACTGTGAGGGAGAAAACGACGATGATAATGATGATACTGATCAGTACAAACGTCCAGAGGAATATTTGCTGTGTCGCCTTTTGCGCTGGCCATCTTTTTTCAGCATGACATATCGCGGGTGCAATTCTTATCTATTTCCTTAGGAGCTTCTATGCTTAAAATTCTCATGTACGCAAGGCTGAGCATCCATAACATTCTTCGCTATAAATGGCCATGTTTGCTTTTCTTTCTCGGTTATCTAAAGCTCAGTCGAAATGCATACTAGTTAGAAGCTATTGCCATAATGATAACATAAGCAATAACAAATGAGTTTCGTTTATCGGGTCAATTTCAATGCATAAGTTTACATAAATGATAAGCAAGAATTTCGGTCTTTCTCTTCTTCACTGGATAGGTGGATACACAACCTGTTTCCTTACTTTCAATATAAGCTTTTCACTTCTTTTTGTCTCCAGCAGTAAATTAGCGGATTAACCAGCGAGTTCAACATCGCAAAGGTTTGCCAGAGTGGCTCGTTGATGGGGCAAATATCAGAAAGGCCTGTTGTTAAAACGACCAGACAGAAACCAAGTGGGAGAAGGCGGACAATAAAAGCACCAACTACAAACACAGTTGTTCTGAGTGCTTTGTTCTCTTTGGAAAATCTTTCCACTTCCTCTTGGGGCAGTTGCTGTGCTTTTATCTTCCTTTGTTGACGTCAGGTCTCACAATACAAAATCACAAATGAGAAGACGACGAAAAAGACGCATGAAATTGTGATAAGACTTCCTATCGAAATTGTTACAAGATAAATTTTTAACACAACAGAAATCCTACACATAAAAGAAATAATCCAAATTAATAACACTGTTATCTTCAGCTTGTAATCATTTATAACGTTAGAGTACTGCATTGTAAATTTGATCGCTATGAGCCTCTCGAAAGTAATCAACATCAGATGAAGGCACGAAGCATACGCAAGTGCGGTCATAACGACGACATTGACCTTTTTCATTGCTACTGAGGCCAAATATTAGGAATATCCTCCACAAGACATATGACGGTTGGCCAAAGAGACCAGTGAATGCGTCAGCTACCGCTAAACAGACAAGCAAGATGTTGCTGTTGGTTCGGAGCCGAGGTCTTCTTTTCACGGCCATTATCACCAACATGTTAAGCAGAACTGTAAAGGGACAAGAGACACTGTTGATGATGATACTGATGATGTAACTAGCCTTCAGTGGGACGTATGTATCGCCTGCGATGTTCGTCATCCTTATACCGTTTGTAAATTGAATTGAATTCCTAGTGAAGATCAGCGAAACCGTTTGGTATTATAGAGGGTTAGATCGACCCGTTCTACTCAAGTGTGCATATGTTTCCATTTGACTTTTTCTCAATCATTAATCAAAGTGGTTCCTAAATGGCCATGGTGAGTTCAAAACCTAATGGAGATCAATTCAATCCAACAGAGCGACTCCTTGAGTTATTTTCTTTTTCCGGGCGATTTGATGGAACGCTACTTATTTCTGGTATAGTTTTCACTTGAATTTTACTTGTGCATGAATAAGAGTACATTCCAATTGGATAGATAATGAGAATCTTGCCTAATGAAGGTCAATTCAATCTGTAGATCTTACTGTTGAATTTTCATCGTTTTTGTGGGGGATTTGAAAACTACGTACATTTTCAAGTGTTTCCTTTAGACTTTTTCTTTAGCATGAATTATTGTAATTGGTGAACCACAGGTTTCTATTTCGAGTTTTGTCAACACTGGTTTCTTTTTAATTTTTTCTCTTATCAGTTTCCTTAAACAAAGTATTGAAAACAAATAATTATAAGTCAAATAAAATGGATATTTCACATGGGTGGCTTACTGAATCTGTAGGATCAAGATTGACAACATGTTTCTTTTCTTTGAATTATAATGTGTTATAAATCGTAATATAAGTAATGATAAAAATGATGAAAATGACATAAACGCTTACAGACTCTAAAAACAGGTATGACACATGTCTTCTTGATGCAAAAATGTACATGGTTATCTGGGTAGCTTTACTCGACCTATCCCGCTTTAGTTGATTCAAATGACGAAATGTGTCGTGGAAGAAGTGGGACTTAAGCGTGCTACCACCACGAAAATCATAACACAGAGATGAGATAATTTGATATTTTAATAAAAATCTTGATTTCATACCCAAATTAGTGAGCTTTAAAATGAAAAAGCCGTAGAGCAAATAATTGACTACAATCACATGACGACGAAGCAAGCTAGATGATAAAGCAATATATGTTTTCTTTTTCTTCTTATGGAAATCTCAGCAAACAAACGACAAATGCTTTACGGACAAGAAATTTTTATTCGGTCATAGAGGGCGAAAAATATTCAGGATTTGGAATGTGCTTTGTGCAGAGACGAGCAAGCTATATCTAGTTATCGTGACTATTAAAATTTGGCTCGCTAGGGCTGTCGGTAACAATTTGTGACCTGTAGATACACATTTGACGATATCTAAATATCATTCATTATTTCTATCAGTGTTGGATTAACCTATATTAGAGAGCAAAACTTGAAGGATATTCATTTGGTTCGCCTGCCTTAAGCATTTTCATGGCAGCTTTGTAATTTTTTGTTGTTTTGTAAAGGTGGACTGAAAACCTTTTTTACGAGAAGTTTAATGTACATACCATTCGAGGCATCTGATTTCCGTTGTATCTCCGCCCTCCGTTTTTTCGAAAGAGGAAAAACATTTTATGGTAACATTTCCACCTAATTCTTGCCGTAGACCATAGTCAAAACATCGAGTCGAGGATTTGAGTTTAACTGAGACATTTGTGTTTGTTCAATGGTCTGGAAAAAACTACGATGTTATGGAAATTTTTCGACGGCAGAAACAAGATAAGATTTGGCCCCTTACGTGTTGCGCCGTGTAAGTGCCACTTTAGCAAGTCAAGAACACGTTTCTTGCGAAGTCGCTCACTCACTCACAGATCATTCAAGAGAAGTTTAATGTTTAAAGAAAAAGCTTCTGATGCAGTGTCTTCATTGTTATTGTCACACGTTCTCAATGTAAGGAGGTAGTTAACCTTTAATCAGTCTAACCAGACAAAAATTCAAAATTTATTTAAGAACTGACTGAACGTGGCAAATAGTAGCTGCATCAACAGCAACATCAATAAATCTAGTTTTGATAATACAACAACCTATTGTTTCCATAGCAAATCCAATAAACAAAGGGGAAGATTGCTCCTTAACACGTATTTCTAAATGAATATTCGCTTACTTCTCTCAAAAATTGCTCTAAATTATCAAAACACAATTTTCTGAGCAATGAATCACTAACTTTTTGTTTCTTTCAATCCCACACACCATCATCATCAGTTCATCGATAAACACACAAGAAAAACGGTTGTCCTCCCTGTATTCCTCTGGAGCCTTCTAAAATATACACCAGGTACCTTCAGCTTTGTGGCTCAGCATAGTTGCTCCTGTAGTTTGGTCGAATCATCCGTTTTATCATGTGACGATAAATTGCCCAGACACTGTTCTTCATTTCTTGCAAATCACCTATATCTCCGCGTATGAGATAGAAAGTTATTAAATTATTTGCCGATCTTCTTTGCAAACCTTCGTCACATAAGAAGGCGTAAAAAGAGAACTATTTAGAATGTTAAAAAAAAGCCTCACACTATTTGGCGCGTCAGTAACTAGTTTCTTCGTTTCGAGCGTTAGCCCTTCGTCAGAGTGAAACTTATATAATCATTTGCGGATCTTTTTTGCCAATCTTCTTTATATAAGAAGGCGTAAAAGGAGAAGTATTTGGAATATTGAATAAAGCCTCACGCAATTTGGCGCGTCAGTAATTAATATCTTCGTTTCGAGCGTTAGCGCCTCGTCAGAGCGAAACTTATTTAATTATTTGTGGATCTTCTTTGTCAATCTTCTGCGCATAGGAAGGCGTAAAAGGAAAAGTATTTGGAATATTGAATAAGGCCTCAAGCAATTTGGCGCGTCAACAACCATGCAGTGAACATTTTAACACGTTTTGTAACAATCCTTGTAATATACCCGCTCGAAGCAAGGGAATCCACATAAATACATACCCTGAATATTCGGCTCTTAAAATTTTGCCAGTTTATCCGCTTCTGACCCCTACAAACTCCAAACAAGAAATACCTCTTCAAATTCATGGAAGATGTTTTATTCTGCCGTTAAATCAACTACAAATTAGATTTGTTGGGGCAGTCTACTTGCCCCTTTACAAATCAAACTAGTAACAAGTGAAACAACTTGTTTCCAACTTTATCTAACTTTCTGCAATAGTGGAGCTCGCAAAGAATAGCTCTGTATTTATGAAAATTTGATAACCCATAAGGACACGATGATTCGGTTATCACATGTCTGTGCGATCAACCCTACATACAAGATGTTTCTTCAAGCATGCCCGGCCAGTGGTATTGTGGAAAACTATAAAAAATTGCGTTACTCACGTTCAGCGGAGACTCAGTTTATTCTTCCAGGAGACGGAGGTAGGAAAATGCCAGGAAAACTGAAGCCTCACTTTTTTTAAACGTAAGGATCTCTTAAGAATAACTTCTTAGTCTACATTTTCAAAAGAACAAAGCAACGCGGCTGCCATGGAGACGCTTAGTGCAGTCTAAATGAAAGGATTTCCTCCATGCTCCACTCACAAGTCAATGTTAATCTAAATTATAGAGAATTTTCAGGATTTAGCTAAACGTATTTTTGCAGGTCCGAAATAGTTACAACCCTCGCGAGCCCAGTTTTAGTGCTCGCGATAACTAGACATGGCTTAGTTGTCTCTTCGTTTAGCATATCCTGACGCTAGGAAACGTTTTCAATTTCCGATGCTGGATGGTTATTTCGTTTAACGTTACAAATGAATTCAGAACGCAATAGTCGTAAACTCGATCCATACATACCTATTCAAACAGTTTAGGTTTATTTAATCGATACATCTTTAACACGCTTAAAATCCCACAAATGACCGCAGTCATTAAACAATATTTAAAGTTTGACTTTGCATTGCCTTCGCTCAAAGATAATATACACTAGCATACAAAAGTGGTGTTCCAGAAAATCCTACGCAAAAAGAAACAAATCAAGGAGTCGATCTATGAGATTGAGCTGATTTTCATTGGGCTGTGAAAATGCCATGGTCATTGGATCAATAGGAATCTGTAATTTATGCGCGAGTAAAAGTTATTGCACCCACGAATGACAAATTGAAATTTAGAGACGGCAAATTTTGTCGAGATTTTCTTTGTGGTGCAAAGCAAATTTTGTTAGCCAAGGGCGCCCCGGCCCTATGCAAGCTCCTATATAGCAAGCTTTCTCTATAGAACAACACCTTTTGGACATGTTAACACTTAAAATATTATTTACTACAATATTTACCGTTCTAAAGAATTGTCCTCTACGTCGCAAAGCCTCACATGAAGTCAGAAAGATCACTTTGTTCTTTTCTAGCCATAACGCGCATCGCGGTTGGGGATGAGGTATCATTAACTTCAAAGCTAAGAAGAACCACATTCTCTTTTTTTCGAATCAAGTATTGTTTAACACATTTACTTTTCAATTTGAGCTCCAAAAGGTCGGAATGCAACAGAAAAACAATGTTGAAGGGTTTGATACTTCGCGGCTTAACTCGACGGGAACTTGCAACTGAATTGAAACTGCACACATCATGTTAAGGAGGCACAACAGTGCGTACATATTAAAATATTATTTACTACAATATTTACCGTTCTAAAGAATTGTCCTCTACGTCGCAAAGCCTCACATGAAGTCAGAAAGATCACTTTGTTCTTTTCTAGCCATAACGCGCATCAACATTAACTTCAAAGTTCTCTTTTTTTCGAATCAAGTATTGTTTAACACATTTACAATTTGAGCTCCAAAAGGTCGGAATTTTGACTTTGATGGTAACTCGACGGGAACTTCAACTAATTGAAACTGAAATATGTTAGGGCACAACAGTGCGCCTATGGTAGCTTCTAAGATATATGTTATAAATGTAACTCAATTCAATTGATAATAATTTGAGTGCACTCTGTTGGCCTAAAATTAGCTTAACATAGGAGATTGTCGATATTCGCCCATTCCAACTCCTAATCTTTTTTTTTTCTTACTTTACCCATTCTGCAGTCCTATCATACCTTTGTTCCTGATTTCCAACAAAATTAACCATCGCTTTAATTATACAATTAAAAGTTACTGTCGTTACGGCGCTGGTAAAAAAGGGGAAACGCTTGAAAACGATAGTGGTGCGACATCTAATTGCCTGCCAGAAGGAGTCTATCTTTATTAGGCTTTGGACTCACTTTAGGTTAGAAAAATTAACAACTTCATTGTTTATACAATTAGAGATCATGTGCGAGTGTGATTCAAGTGAAAACACCAGTCAAAAGTAGAGTTCCATCAAATTGCCGAAAAAAGAAAAAAAAATTCATTTTAAATGCAATGCCGGAATCAGTCTATGAGTTGAGTTCATCTTCATCAGAATTTCAACTCATCAAAGCCAATACAGTTATCAACCTCAATGTTTGAAGAATTTGGAACTACTGTCATTCATGCGCGAGAAAAATTCAAGTGGAAACACATGAACACGAGTGGAACGGGTCGATTAAAACCTGAAATCCAACATACAACATCACTATCATCATCAACATCGTCACATGCCCCTTCACAGTTCTGCTGAACGTGCTAATGATAATAGCCCTGAAAACGAGACCTTCAGTCCGAACCAACAGCAACATCCTACTGGCCTGTCTAGCCGTGACTGTGTGCTTGGCCAGCCATCGTATATCCTGTGGAAGGTATTCCAATTATTAGGTCTTTGTAGCAGCAAAAAGTTTTCATATTTTTACTTTGACTTTATGATTGTATTCTCCACTGCTTCATCCGTTCATCTGAGGTTGATTACTTTCCAAAGGCTCATAGCGATCAAATTTACTATGCAATACTCAAACAAAATAGCTAATAACAACCTAAAGGTAGCAGTGGCAGCAATTTGGGTCAATGCATTCATTTGTGGGATTTTAAATTTGCTGAAAATTTATGTAATAATACATTAACCAGGAAGCGTTTTATGTATCGTCTTCGTTGTCGTTACTTACGTGATTCTGTACCGTGAAACCCGTCTCCATCAAAGGAAGATAAAAGCGCAATAACTGCCCAAGAGTCACCAAAGAGAATAAAGTGCTCAAGGCAACTGTGTTTGCAGTTGGTGCTGTTTTTGTTTGCTTTCTTCCAGTTTGTTTTTGTTTCATCTTTTTAGCTACAGGCCTATATCCTATTTGCCCCGTCAGTGGAAAACTCTAGCAGACCTATATACTGTTGAACTCGCTGGATAAGAACACCGGTCGTCCATCCAGATATCGAGTAAAAAAGGGTAAAATGGAATGTGGCAGAAAGACTAAAAACTCAATAATCACTCGCGTACACTTTGCCCACACATCTAACACCAACCCAATTAACAAATTCCTTTGTTGCTGTTTTATGTGACAGTTGCATATTTTTAGCGGAGCTCGCAGCGCGCGAAGCGTAGCCCCATAATTATACAAAATAGTATTAACCCATCAAGCCGAAAAAAATTTGGACGTGCGACCGTACGACCGACCATACAAGGTGCTACTTTTAGCATGCGCGGCCAACTGTACTACGGGCACTATCTTAGCCATTACGCAATGGAATATTTACAAACTACCTATAATTTAAGAAGGGTGGAATTCTTGGGGATTTCTGGGAATTGAATTTGAGGCAATTTAAATACCCTGAGGTCCACATAAATTCGAATAAATTCTCAATACCTTGAATATGAAGTTTTTAAGAAAAGGAGTAATTTCAGAGGCTTAAAAACTTTGGCTCAATAAAAGGTATGCTATACAAAACTTACCAAGAGATATACATACATGTATATATTTATAACTTAAAGATCATGGAATTTATTATTCAAACTAAGTTTTTGTAAATCTCTACATTAATATGGATTTTCCCATGAACCGACAGTCAAATATGTTAAATGGAAATCGCCAATTAATCCAATGTACTCATATCACAGATTTGCTTTCTAACCTCAAAGAACTCTTGGATTCCATGATCATAAAAAAATTTATTGTGATGCAAATTAATGTCTTATGTTCACTGATGTGCCAAAATCCTCAAACATTCATTAGCTGTTCCTTGGTACACAACTTCCACAATAATTAACAATATTTACATTGTTATCTATACTTAAAGAACTTTGTTAGTTATGAACATAAGTTACTTCCCTAACCTACATTACTGGTTGCCTTTATTCGAAAACCTTGGAACAGTCAAGCTCATTTGCCTCAAACACTGTCAGAGACTTTTTGTTGACATTATTTTTAATAGAAATTTCATGCCTTAGACAGACAAATTCAACACCTAATTAATATTTCTTTTTTCATGGCTGTTGTTGCTGTGTTTTTTTTCTTCAGTTTTTTGCTTTGTTTTCGTGACTGATTGTTGTAATTTGTTTTGCTGTTTTTATTCTTACAAAACATTTTTGTCACAGTTCCAATACTTGTGGATCATCCACATACTTTGCAAACATTTGGCATGCAGACAAGACAGAGGTAGTCAATGTTCCCTTTGAGAAAGAACACCTTTTAAATGACGTCTTCAATTCACTTTATTTGAAACTCTGATCTGAAAATATTTGTCAACAAGACTTGTTAGTAGTGAGAAGTACAAAGCAAGTTTCCTTTCATAACTTAATTTCTTAAATGTCCCAGCCACTGGATCTCCCAAGAAATATTAAATCTTTTTATTTTTGGAGCAAAATACAAGTTCTTCTTTATATGCAAATGAAAAGTGCAAGTCACACTTCAGTAATAACAGCTCTAAAGCTTACTTGATGTTCTTCTCTGTCTGTCAGCTATCAACAAAATTGTTTTATACTTCGGACAGTGCATAACTGTTTGTGGACCAGAGTTCCAACGCACCTCTGTAATCGCATATAGTTACTTCTGTTTCTTCAAATGTACAATTTGTAAGATGCACTCTACTCTGTTGTCACCACTGCTTTAAGTTCAGTGGAAACGACTGACTGAGGAATCGAGATGGCGGTGTTGGAACGTGTTGCTGAACGCTTGCTACGGTCAAGCTTTGTAGATTTAGGTACTGGTATACTGGGATCATCTATGTATCTCTTATACTTCCTAATGTGGTATCCTTCTTTTATAAATACGAGGGTAAAAGACGATTTGTAGTCGCATTCAAAACTGTGATTGGCTTGTGTTATTTCTCACCTTTGCCATGAACACAACTCAAGTGAGTTTCGAGTCTTTGTTCCCTCTACAACTTTCGGCCACAAATCGTGCATTTGTAGTACGATCGATTCTTGTCGATTATTTCTACATAGAGTGAGCTCACATCATTATTTATATCACCAAGGTATCCATCGTCTAGGAGCAGAGAACTTGTCGGAGAAGTCAGAATAAAGTTGTGCGCTTCTCTTAACACTGCAATCGGCAAGCCAGCGGATTCACTTTGCTAGCCAATGACAAGTCCTAAAAGATCCACGTGATCATACCCGTGATCGGAAACAAAAAAGACTCCATTTGGCGCTCATCTTTGAATGTACTTTTCATCGGTTGATCGCTTTTCTCAACTGTTTTGCTTAATATAACATTTCTAAAGATAGCTTTTATTGTGGTTCCATGGGAAAACGAGAACAGCGTGAGTGTTGTAAAAGAAAAGAAAGTCGTTGGCGCCGTGGAGTTAAAAGAAAGGACAACAGTTGACATATTGACTGGTATAAACGAGGGTCGAGTGGCCATCTGTAAAGCTACGATTTTGAAAGTTTGTGGTGAGTAAAAATTGCGATATTCGTTACGTGATCAAAATCTTATAAAAGAATAGATGTAACGGGTTGAATTAAGCTTACATAACGCTCGGCGCAACTGAAACTAGAATAATTCTGAGAATCGAATCGGTCACTTGCATGCCGCAGTTTCTTAAGCTTATGCTTTACAGTGAAATCAATCTATCAGTAAGGTTTCAAGATTCCTTTAGTCACGTTTGGGAACATTCAAGATTCATAATAGGAACTGTTATTAAACAAACCTTATTACATAAAGAAGCCCTCCTTGGTAAAAACAAAATAATGTATTCAGCTCTTTTTTAGTAAAATCTATGAGAGAGATGTATTAACTCCAATATAAAAGTCACTCAATATAACAGAGATTTCTCAATTTGAGAATCCAATGAATGCCCTTTTCCTTATAGCCAGATAACCTCATTCAAGGCCAACTCATTGTGAGCCCAGGGAAAAAAATACAAACAGCAGCTAAGTTTGCAGTTTAGGATAACTTCATTCTAATTTATTGTTACAGTTACAACAAGATTTTAATAAAAAAAACAATTTTATTTATCTGTAATTAACCCCTCCACTCCCAAGAGTGCTTGTTTTCAAATATAATTTAAGATATTGTATTTTATGGAAAAGAATCAACAGATTTTATTCACAATTTGTGTCAAACCAAATTTAAAGATTGATTAGGACTATTTTATATGAATAGCTGTAATTGAGGATTAATCCGTATGAAAAATAAATCAAATTCCATCCTAATATTACCACATGTTGATGTTAATAATTAATCAAAAATATTTTACATGTAAGCCTTAATTAAGCTTGTAAATAAATTTCATTGAATACTTGAATTTTAGCCGGGTTTTTTCAATTTAAAGTATTTATTTTACATCATTAGCCTCAAATTTTTGCTCAAAATTCCCAGTAATTCTTAAACATTCCTAAAAATTCCTGAAAATTCCCAGAAATTCCTAGGAATTTTTTAGATTTACAGCTTTTCAGGGAAAGTCATCGGTTCTTTGAGTTGGAATTCCTAGGAATTCCTCGGAATTCCAAGTCCTGTTGGCTATAAACTTGGAATTTCTGGGAATTTCTAGAGTTGTTATGGTTGGGAATTCCTAGGAATTCCCAGTCCGAATTTACCGTGAAAATTCACACCTTTATTCCTAGGAATTCCTAGGAATTCCAAAATCCATTTCGCAAGGGCAAAGCGATCGAACGTGCCAAAAAGCGAACCAGAAATTAAGAGCATCATTAACAGAACTAAAAGCTTCCTTTTGTTTGACCTTCGCTGTATTCGCTGGTCCGCCATGTTAAATTTGGAAACCAATTCACATTTTCCCTCTTCCAAATTCGCTTGCACCGTACAAGTGTTTTGTCGCAGCAGCAGTGCAGGGGAGGCGACTTGTCGCCGTGATGTGTCGCAGCGATTTGTCGCATAGTGTGTTTCGGCCTTAAGATATGACTGCAACTGAGTTTTTCTTTTTTCCGTTATCACATCACATTAGTCGTTATTTTGTCTACGAAGTAATTCGTTCATTATTACCTGAAATTTGAACTTAGGTAATGCCAATACTTCTATATGATTGTGGAAGTGGTTCCTTTGCTTCCCGCCCTTGCCATATCATTCTACTCCTGTGACTTTGCAACCTAAACTACTTGTATTTACGTGAAAGGGATGACTTCTTTGACCAGCTTGTCTGCGTTTTTTTAGAGTTTGCAATAAATACTGAAAGAATGGTGCTCATATCCACTAAGAATTATACGTCGAGAAATACTGTTTTTACTCTAGTATACCCCTTTCCTAACTACAATCCTCATCCTGTTTAAGTGCTGGATGACTCCGTTTAACACTCGTTGACTTTTAAAATTATTAAATTAAAGTATTTTTTCTTAGATTGCAGAGATCCGAATTGTTTCGAACCGACTGAGGTCACCCATGCGAACGTACTGGCCATAGTTCACAAGATATTGTTTAAAGGGGGGGGAGGCGATAGAAAGCTTGAGTGAACCAGAAAAAATTTTGACCTTGTTCCTTTATTGGAAAATTTGCTAACTATGTTTTGGCAAATAATGCACGGCAGATATGAATTTTTTGGTCTCCCATATGTAATACCGAATACGGTTAACTTCCACTTTGGCACGTCAAGACTACGATTCTGTGAACTTGCTCTCACTCACGTTTACTTTTATCTGCCAAAGAAACCGCAACCACCATCAGGAAAAACACAAAGTATAGCAAGGAACTCAATCAATTGAAATGGTTGCCTATCTATCATCTCTTATTCAACGTTCGCTCGTGGAATAATTGTTTACCAACTAGACATGTTTATATGTCCAACAAAATATCGTTACAGCGATATATCGTTGATATATAGAAGGGTTATAAAAATTGACAATTAAAAGATCCACCAACATTTGGTGAAGAGAAAATTTCAACCATGAGAATGACGGAACCAACCATTATGTAGTAAAACGCGTTATATATATTCGGTAGCGGAAGGTATCGATCAAAACTGCGCTGAATAATCTCAATGCTGACATGTTACACAAACTATTCAAAAATGAGTGACGGTTACTTAATTAAAGCACAGGATTATACAACTTTCAGACTGATAAAAGATGCGAATACGTTTTTCCTTGTACAAACCTTCATAAAATAAAACTTTTACAACACAACACCACCATGTTGAATTCTTAAAGTCAGTTCCTTGGAGAAAAACTAAATGTAAAGGAAGTTATAGCTTAAAGTTAGTAGAATAGTCGTAATTTGCAGTGCTTCACATTTCCAAGCAATATAGGTAAACATCATTTCAGCCTTACATTAATTTTGTTTCAAACTTTAAAATATTTATACCATGTATTTTTAAAATACATCTGAACCCAAGCAAAGTCGAATGTAATTGAAATAGTTACAACACCAGAGGAGCTGACTCCTGTGTTTGCCGCACTGATGCATATCATACGTACCCGCGAAACAATCAGAAACCTTCCTTAGACAATTTTTGAGGATGATATTAGCAATGTTTTAATCTTTGTCACTGTTATCGATATTAATGGAACGTTGTCTCAAGGGCTGGCCGGTTCATTAGTGCGAATGCTTTATTATCTACTTTTCGAATTACTAATGACACTTATTATGAAGATGACCTTAAAAAAAAAAGTCATTGCGGTCCCTTTTAAGATCTTATTTTTATCTTTTGTCCATTTGTTCCCACAAAATATCAAACGATTTTTTAGAAAATTATGAGCGGAATCAGTGATTGAAATAAGAATGGAAACATATGTCAAAATAAGACATGGGAAATAAAGAATAATACATGGGCGCGCGTAAATATGGAATTTCTTTTCGAGTGTTTAACTCGATAGCTCAAGAGTTAGATGTCGAATTGAACACGAGAAGGAAAATTCTATATCTACAAGCAACCATGTTTTATTTTTTTTATTACGGAAACGCAAGAGCCCTTCATTGACAAGAAAAGCCGACTTCATGAAAGAGTGAAAATAAAACGATCGACAATCCTCGAATAAAAATCGTCAAGAGCGTCGGCGCTAAGGCTCAAGATGAAACAATGCGTTAAATGGCCATAAAAACAACAATAGGCGTAATCTTCAATGTAAAAACTTCTCAGGTATTGACTTTGTCCTTACCGAAAGAAGAAATCTTCGAGGTACTTGGCCAAAATTGACCTGCGGCAAATCTTCCAGTTGTCGATTTCCGTTCTCATTACCAAATGCTATCACCAGAGCCAATGAATACGTAACTTTCGGTTTTCCTTTCATCCCCTTCTAGGGAAGTATGAACGTCACTGTCTGTAATACGGATTTTTCAGTGCTTTAGCAGCCATAACCCGAGAAATTTCAACAAAAAACCATGGTTTGAGAATGGTAAAGACTTGGCCATTCATTCATCAATCTGACCAAGTGGCGCCAAAGGCGAGTTACGTGTCAGCAGCTGATTGGCGATATCAAACACAAATAAATAAATAATATATTAAATGTATTAAAATGACGTCACTGTTTGTGGAAAAATCTTCGAAACCCTACCAGCAACTCGTCGAAGTTTCGAAAATTGTAGAGGGGATTCATGTTTCATACACTGCGTATTAATTCTGAATCTATCTTACTCACGGGCTCATATTCAAGCTCATTACTAATGACCTTCACTTGAAAAAATACTTCGGACAATTTTCAGAAATTTTAGGAAATATTTACGAATTCATGTATAGTATTCGAGACTATCCAGTTTTGATCCGGTCAAACAGCAAATGGCACGGAGAGGCGTGTTCAGAAGCAAGTCATTTTTCTTTAATTTTCAAAGCAAACGAAAAGTGTTGAGAGGTGCTCTCGTAGACTCATCTTAAAAAACACTTATCACTAAATTTACTACTAAAAGTAATTTCAAAATAGCCGCTTGTTTGAGTTATACCTTTTCGAGTTCAATACCTACTGACTTAACTAATGTGAAACATTTGAAAGGAATTACGGGAAAAAATAAAACTTGAATTGAAAAAATAAAATCCCTGAGTTGATGTTAGAGAATTAGTTTATATTAGTCCTTTAAAGATTGTCATAGAGGTAGATTTAAGTCAGAGGAGGATCAAAAGAATTGGACGAGTTATCCTAGAAATGCATGCAAATCATTTTAGTTGATATTAATTTTAGCTCATTTTGCTTGCCTACAATAGGACATTTTCGTTCGCAATCAGTGCCATTCCTTTCTATATTCGCCTATTCCAACTCCTCTTGTTCCTTCTATTTTGTGATTTCCGGGCATATTAGAAGCCGCTTTCATGTTACAATTAACAGTTAAGGTAATTAATGTGCGACAACTAGTTATTGCTGCAATTCATGCGCGAGAAAATCTCAAGTGGAAACACGTGAACACCAGCGTGGAGCCAGTCAATCAAAGCCTCCGAAACCTCTTAAATACAACATATTGATCCTAACGGTACAGTTGATCTTGAAAAGTCATCCAACTCAACAAATCAAGTTTATCAGCAATTTTTTTCAAACTCTAGAAAAATGGCAAGCACCGATGGCGACATAGTCCCTCTGGAGGTTAGTTTCATCACCACTATCATCATCAACACCATCACTTGTCCCTTCGTAGTTCTGCTCAACGTACAGGTGATAATCGCAGTGAAAACAAGACCTCGACTCCAAACCAACAGCAACATCTTGCTGGCCTGTTTAGCGGTGACTGACGCATTAACTGGTCTCTTGGGCCAACCGTCATATATCCTGTGGACAATATTCCAATTATCAGGTCTCAGTAGCAGCAAAACAGTTGGAAGGTTTCATTTCAATGTTGCACTTACATTTGCAGTGGCTTCATGCCTTCATCTGATTTTGGTTACTTTCGAGAGGCTTATTGCGATCAAATTTACAGTGCACTACCCAAACATTGTCACTGGTAATAACATGATGATAGCAGTGATAGTTGTTTGGATCATTGCTTTCATATGTAATATTTGTCAGGCGTTAAAGCTTTATCTAGCATTGTATTATATGGTAGGCCTTATCGGTATTTCGTGTATCCTTTTCGTTGCCTTCACATACATGATTTTGTATCATGAAACACGTCGTCACCAAAGGAAGATAAAAGCACAACAAGTGCCTCAAGAAGAGGTGGAAAGATTTACCAAAGAGAACAAGGCTCTTCAGACAACTGTGCTTGTTGTTGGTGGTGTTATCATCTGCCTTCTTCCAGTTTGTTTTTGTCTCATCGTTGTAGCTACAGGCCTTTATAGCTTTTGCCCTATCAACGGATCAATGTGGCAAACTTGTAGCATGTTAAACTCGCTTGTTAATCCACTGATCTACTGCTGGAGACAAAAAGCAATAAGGAAGCTCGTGTTTACACACTGTAGAAGAAGAACCCAGGTCGTGCAGCCAGCCACCCAATGAAGAGGGGGAATATCACAGAGGGAATGAAAAAAGAAACTGCTTAGTTTTTGTTTTATTTGAGAACTACATTTTTGATTAGGAGAGTCGATACTTTTACCACACGCATAATGTGATTCTCGAAAGCATTATCTGAACTAACGGAAAAAAATTTGAAAAGAAGGGTGTTTCTTTATATTCAGGCTCAGCTTTTTTTCGAAGACAAAGCTACCTTTAATGATTCCAGTTCTTCGTTGCTCTAAGTAAGCAATGATTGAGTTTGTTTCAGATAATTGAGTTGAAATGTTTAGTTCCTTTTTAGGGGGTTAACTTGGAAATTAGACCTTAATTTTGTGGACGAAGTAATTCGCATTTTGTTTACCTGAAACTTGAGGCAACTATGTTTAGTAATACATGTACATATGATTATAAAAGTGATTACTTTACTTTATTAGCTCTTGACGCTTCATTCGTCTCTGTGACTTTGCACCTCAGGTCACTCATGTGAAATAACATGGCTCGCACGGGCTTTTCACGGTTTACCTTTCACACGGAAAGAATGGTGTTGACATTTACCAAGAATGACACGTGGAGAAATGCCGGTTTTTTATTTTTTCCGGTTTACAGGTTTCTTAACACCCTTCTCATCCTGTTATCTGGTGTGTTTGGTGTGTTTGAGGACCCCTTTTAACGTTCGAGGACGATTTGTTATTTTTTGGTGTTGCTTGTACATTCAAAGTCACAATTCAGGTATTTTACAGCCCCTGTTTATTTTTCGGTGCAGTCATTTGTAATGAATTAAATGGCAACCAAACTTTTGCTTGATGTTGAAGAAAAGCAAAAACTAAACTTGCACAAAGCTTTTGTTATGGCAACCGGCTTCTATGCATATATTAAGCAAATGTGAATTGGTTTGAAAGCAACATTTAACTCTTAAGAGCCTTCAGTTTAACATGAAAACCCTTGATTTCTTTTTCCCATCATCGTGGAAATCAAAAAATTATACCGTGTATTTTTAAAATGCATTTGAACCCAACCAAAGTCAAATGTAATCGAAATAGTTACAACACCAAAGGGGCTGACTCCTCGTTTCTGCCGCACTGATTCATATCATACATAGCCGCGAATCAATCAGACATTTTTCCTTAGCAATTTTTGAGGATGATATCAGCAATATTTCAATTATTATCACTGTTATCAACATTAGGGGAAAGTTATCTCAACGGCTAGCCGGTTCATTAGTGCGAATGCTTAACAATCTACTTTTCTATTTACTAATGACACTTATTATGAAGACGACAGCAGCCCTTAAAAATGTCATTAAGTTCTCCTTTAAGATCTTATCTAGATCACTTGTTCATTTGTTCCCTCAAAATATCAAACGCTTTTTTAGAAAATTATCAGCGAAATCAGTGATTGAGAGTGGAAACATATATCAAAATAAGACAAGGGAAATAGAGAATAATGTTTGGGCGCGCGTAGAATTTCTTTTCGAGTGATCAACTTGATAGCTTACGAGTGAGATGCCGAGTTGAACACGAGAAGAGAAATTCTTTATCTACAAGCAACCATTTATCATTTTGTATATTATATAAACGCAATAGCCCTTCACTGACAAGAAAAGCCGACTTTATTGACGAATGAAAGTAAAACGATCGACATTCCTCGAATTAAAATCGTAAAGTGCGTCGACGCTAAGGCTCAAGATAAAACAATGCGTTGAATGGCCACAAAAACGACAATAGGCGTAATTTTCAATGTAAAAATTTCCCAGAGATCGACTTTGTCCTTACTGAAAGAAGAAATCTTTCTCAGACTGAAATCCTTGTATAACACCTTAGTTTATAAGATGAGTCTCTTTATCGCTCTCTAACCTCTCTAAGCCAGTAAATAACAATAAAATTCTAGAAATTTCCCCCTGTGTAATTCCAACAACAACGACAACAACAACAACACGAAGTGAAGCAAAAGAAAAATTGTCGTACATTGCATACCCAGAACTGCAAAGAGAAAGCTAAATGAATTTTTACTCTTGAAGTGGATATTTGATTCTCTTCGATTAAGTTGTAAGAGAATCAGATCACTAAGTCAATCTTTCCTGACCAAAAGTACGTTTTCCAAAGTGCCTATTTACTAAGAAATTTCGTTTACTAATTGGAAGGACATCCGTAAGAAATGTGTATATAAATAATCATCAAGGCTTCCCGTCTTTCGCCTTATTTCTCTCTTTCCCTGGATGGCTGGATGCACGACCTGGTTCCTTATTTTAAATTCAAACTTCCTCATTTCTTTATGTCTCCAACAGCACATCAGTAAATTAAAAAGCGAGTTTAACATTGTCTGGATCAATACTTCGTCGATGATACAGATGAAAGGAAAATGAGCAGGCAGAAACCAAGGGGAAGAAGGCAGACTACAAGAGCACCAATCACAAAAACAGTTTTCTTAAGCGTTTTTTTCTCTTGGGGGCGACGTGTTTTATGATACAATATCACACAAAGAAAGGCAACGAAAACGATATCAGAAATAGTGTTTACGAATTCATGTATAATATCTGTATCTGTTTTATTAGGGAGGCTATTCAACTTATTAAATAAGACAAATTTAAACTCGAATTACTTACTATGGAAAATCGAATGATTACTTACAGAAAAACAGAAATTTTTTAAAGTATTTTTTTTGTTACTTACGAATTACTTACAATGGAAAATTGGATAATTACTTACAGGAAAACAGAAATTTCTTAAAGAATTTTTTTGTCAGTTAAAATGCAAATAATACATTTTTTGAAAAAAATACTGCGCGGTATAACGGCATTAAAATCGGATTTTAAGTTTTCAATGATATTTAACCACATTTTACACTTTTACAAAATATCACATTATCATTGTACTGAAGATGTTGATCGTTCAGTGTTGACTGTATAAACTGAAGTATGCCGGTACAATGAGTGAGAGATAGCTGCGTAGCTCAGATACCAGATGCACGATCTACTAATATAAAAATGTTCTTTACCTTCCCTACTTTTCCCCAACGACCAAATCAACAAGAAGAAGCGGAATCCAACCCCCGCCCACGCCCTCGGGGGGGTGCGGTACCCACCCAAGAACGTTCCTGAAAAAGTTCTCCGAACACTAACTGAATTAAATTTACATATAAGCTTACGAATAAGATAGATCAAAGACAAAAATTAGATAGTTCGATGGTTACAATATGAAATCGCCAATTACTGTATGGTGTGAGCCTTAAATTTGTCCAATGCTAAACATGTAACTCAATAACGGAACAAAAGCAGTCAGTTCTTCAGAATATATCTCACCGTTAACCTCGCTCTCTCCTTCCCCGGACAACAGCTACTTTACCTCCAAGTCAAAGTTGATGTTGGGTTGTTATGAAATAATTTTCAGTTTTCTCATTCAGTAATTTCACCAACCGGAACAGTTTCGCATGAAAATACCAAGCTCTGATTAAGTGACCAAGCCGTTGAAATAGAGGACATCATAAAGATTGGGGCTAAAAAATTACAAAGGGGAGTCTAACAGCTTCCGACAGCTTTCAGGACACTTGATATGATCTCAACGCGCTCTCAGTTGTGATCCGGTCAAACAATGGGAATGGCAATGAGAGGCGTGTTCAGAAGCAAGTTACCTTTTTTTTAGCATTCAAGGCAAACGAATAGTGTTGAGAGGTGCTCTCATGGACTCATCTTAAAAAAAATTATTGCTAAATTCATCAACATTCACTTTGGATGTAACTTCAAAATAACCACTCCTTTGAATTATATATATTTTTGAGTTTAATACCTACTGGACTAAACTAATATAAAACATTGGAAAGGAATTAGGTAAAACTCAAATTCACACTATAAAACCCCTTGGTTGATGTTAGAGAATTAGTATATATTAGTCTTTTAAAGAGTGCTTTAGAGGTAGATTTAAGTCAGAAGAGGAACAAAAAAATTGAACGAGTTATCTTAGAGATGCGTGCAAATCATTTCAGTTGACATTAATTTCAGCTCATTGTGCTTGCCTACAATGGGACATTTCCGTTCGCAATCAGTACCATTCTCTTCTATATTCGCCCATTCTAACTCCTCTCGCTCCTTATATTTTGTGATTTCCGGAAATGTTAGCAGCCGTTTTCATGTTACAAATAGCAGTTAAGGTGATTAATGTGCGACAAAACTAAAATAGAAATACTAACAAATTGCCAAAAAAAAAGAAAGACAAAAAAAATGGGGGAGGCGATCTATGAGTTGAACTTTATTAGCTTTCAAATCACCATAATCAACAAAATTTATCACTGCATTATTCGAAAAAACTGGTTATCATTGCAATTCATGCGCGAGAAAATCTTAAGTGGAAACACATGAGTACCAGAGTAGAGCCAGTCAATCAAAGCCTCTGAAACCTCTAAAATCCAACATATTGATCCAAACGGTACAGTTAATCTTCAAAAGTCATCCAACTCAACAGATCAAGTTTATCAGCAATTTTTTCAAACTCTGAAAAATGGCAACCACCGATGGCGACACAGCTAAAGTCCCTCTGGAGGTTAGTTACATCATCGCTATCATCATCAACACTATCACTTGTCCCTTCGTAGTTCTGCTCAACGTGCAAGTGATAATGGCCGTGAAAACAAGACGTCGACTCCGAACCAACAGCAACATCTTGCTGGCCTGTTTAGCGGTGACTAACGCATTAACTGGTCTCTTGGGCCAACCGTCATATATCCTGATGAGAATATTTCAATTATCAGGTCTCAATGGCAGCAAAACAGTTGGAAGGTTTCATTTCAATGTCGCAACTACATTTGCAGTGGCTTCATGCCTTCATCTGATTTTGGTTACTTTCGAGAGGCTTATTGCGATTAAATTTACGACGCACTACCCAAACATTGTCACTGGTAATAACATGACGATGGCAGTGATAGTTGTTTGGATCATTGCTTTCATATGTAATTTTTGTCATGCGTTAAGGCTGTATCTAGTATTATATTATATGGCAGGCCTTGTCGGTATTTCGTGTATCCTTTTCATTGTCTTCACATATGTGATTTTATATCGTGAAACACGTCGGCACCAAAGGAAGATAAAAGCACAACAAGTACCTCAAGATGAAGTGGAAAGATTTACCAAAGAGAACAAGGCTCTTCAGACAACTGTGTTGGTTGTTGGTGGTGTTATCATCTGCCTTCTTCCAGTTTGTTTTTGTCTCATCGTTGTAGTTACAGGCCTTTTTAGCTTTTGCCCTATCAATGGATCAATGTGGCAAACTTGTAATATGTTAAACTCGCTTGTTAATCCACTGATCTATTGCTGGAGACAAAAAGCAATTAGGAAGCTCGTGTTTACACACTGTAGAAGAAGAACCCAGGTCGTGCAGCCAGCCATCCAATGAAGAAGGGGACTATGACAGAGGGACTGAAAAAGGAATCTGCTTAGTTTTTGTATTATATGAGAACTACATTTTTGATTAGGAGAGTCGACTCATTTACCACAGGCAAAATGTGATTCTCGAAAGCATTATTTAAACTAACGGAAAAAAAGACTTTGCAAGGAAGGTATTTCCTAAAATTCAGGTTCAGCCTTTTTTCCCAGACATAGCTACCTTAACTGATTCCAGTTCTTCATTGCTCAAAATGAGCAATGATTGAGTTTATTTCAGATAATTAAGCTTTAGGGTGTCTACATAGGAATTAGACCTTATTTTTGTTGACGAAGTAATTCGCTTGTTTTTTCCTGAAGCTTGAGGTAAGGTAATGCTTGGTAATACGTGCAGATATGATTAAAAGAATTATTACTTTACTTGATTGGCTCTTGACACCTCCTTCCATCACTGTGATTTTGCACCTCAGGCTATTCATATAAGATAGCATGGTTCGCACGACTAGCGTCGTCTAGGGCTTTCACAGTTTACTTTCCACAGTGAAAGAATGGTATTCACATTTACCTGGAATGACACGTCGAGAAATTCTGGTTTTTGTTCCGGTTTATAGTTCTCCCACCATCCTTTTCATCCCGTTGTTTGGTGTGGGTGGTGTGTTTGAAGACCACTTTTAACGTTTCTAGACAATTTGTTAGCTTTTTGGTGTTGCTTGTACAGTTAAATTCACAATTCAAGTGTTTTACAGCCCCTGCTCATTTTTTGTTGCAATCGTTTGTAATAATTCAATTGCAACCAAACTTTTGCTTGATGATGAAGAAAAGCAAAAACTAAAACAACCCTTCTATGCATATGTTAAACCATACAGGTAAGTCGGTGTAAGAGTAATTAAGCAAATGTGACTTGGTTGAAAGCAAGATCTAACTCTTATTAGCCCGCAGTTTGAAATGAAAACCCTTGATTTCTTTTTCCCGTCATTGTGGTGATCTCGAAAAATCAAACAACAGTGCCGAACCCGCCAACGAGTTCAAAGCTACTGCGGTTTTACCTTATGTCAAAGGTCTGTCCGAACAGCTTCGCCGTTTCTCAACAACAAGGCGTACGCGCTGTTTTCAAGTCGGAAACTAGGCTAAGATCTCAGTTAGTACGGCCAAAAGACGCTGTCGACCCGGCTAAACAAGATGGCGTGGTTTAAAGGATTCCCTGTGAATGCAGCAAAGTGTACATCGGAGAGACTGGAAGACCTATGCAAGACATAATTAAGGAGCACGATCGAGACATCCTACTCTCCCGTACCGAGACCTCCGCCGTTTCAGAGCATGCCCACAACACCGGACACAAGCCACTCTGGAACGAAGTAAAGTTTTCTTGATCGTGACCCATATTACTACACGCGCAGGGTCAAAGAGGCAATTCATATAAGATTTCACCCTAACAACATAAACAGGGATAGTGGAATAGAAATTCCAGAAGCGTGGATGCCAACGATCAAAAACACAACAACAGGAGAGCTGTGCGACAGCGGACCGCCGAGGGAGGAAATCAATGAGTAAACAGCAAGGATCGAAATGCACCAATCAGAGCTGCTGAAAAAATAACTAATCACAGCAGAGCATCATGCTTTATAAGATCACACATGACCAGTCGACCTCATCGCCTGAAGAAGATTTAATTCTTAGTATAGATCTGTAAGCCAAGATGAGAACACATATTAATATTTCAGACCAAAAGATTCGATCCTACCTAGCGTGGATATTGAAAACTGACTGGAAAATTAAATAAGAAAGATGGTGAGTTCTAAGCTCGGCAAAGTAATCAGAGAAGGATGTCTTTCTTCTTTTCACGAGCGTGGGATTCTGAGTCCCCATGAGGAATCGAACCTCAGACCTAGTAGAATTGTCAAAATCCAAGCTTTTGCCGATCCACGACATGATCAGGGATAAAATACTGAATGAATGAATAAATCTTTCAATCGAGATTTGTGGGAACTAAGCTTTGTTTGCAGTAGATTTAACGTTTATGAACCAAAATCTGTTTGCCCCTAGCTACTACGAATTTTCGAGTGAAGTATATGGATGGAAAAAGTGAAAAGTTATAACGCGTAGAGCCTTAAATAATATTGATCTGAGTGATCTGACTGAAGAAGTAAGCAGCGTTTGCATCAATTATTATTTTAGAATTATCATGATCTGTTGTCATAACATGATCAAGTTCAGGATTTTTTCAGATTAATTTTTGTGACCAAGTTCCACCCTATTACTCGTTTGCTGGACGCAGAGCCTGAATTCTCATTTTGAATATAAACTTCCTCGTATATTTTTGTCTCCAGCAGTAAATCAGTGGATTGAAAAGCGAGTTTATCAACGATTTTCATCAAGAGTTTTTTGATGAAGCAAACGCCATATTTTTTTCAAGTCTACAACTGAGTTCCTTCGGTCGTATTTCACTCGATTCCGAAGCAACATCTTCCACCTTGCTTTAGCCGTGAATTTATCAGATTCGAGATGTTGAATTTTTCATAAATTAATCAATTACATTATTCTCAAAACACACAACAATGCAAAAAAAATAGAATTTTATTGTATTCCTCAAAGGTCATGAGAACCTCGAATATTTGCCGTATACGATTACTCACTAACTGAATGCACGGCGTGGGTTCTTATTCTAAACACAAACTTTCTCATTTCTTTTTGTCTCCAGCAGTATATTAGTGGATTAACGAACGAATTTATCATGGCAAACGTTTGCATCAAAGCTTCGTTGATTATGCAAACGTCATAAATTCCTGGGGTTAAAAGCATAAAACAGAAACAAACTGGAAGAAAGCAAATAAAAACAGCACCCACTACAAACACAGTCGTCTTCAGCGCCTTGTTCTCTCTAGTGAATGTCTCTAATTCCTCTAGACGGAGTTGTTGTGCTTTCATCTTCTTTTTATGGCGACTTGTTTCGTGATACAAAATCATATAAGAGAAGGTAACAGAAAAGATGCATGAACTAATGACAATGCTGCTTAAAAAAAAAAATATCTGTAAATTTTTTATCATTCTGAAAAACCCAATTATGAGAGACATGATCCAAACTAACAACACTGCTAGATTTATAGTACTATCAGTTACAATTATCAAATAGTACATAGTAAATTTCATCGCTATGAGCCGCTCGAAAGTTACCATCATCAGATGAAAGCATGAAGCTACCAGCAATGTAGACATGACATCGAAATGGAGATTTTTAATTACTACGCTGCTACTGACACCAAGTAAAAGGAATATCTGCCACAGGATAAAGGTTGGCTGCCCAAGGAGACCAGTTGATGCGTCAATTATCGCTAAACGGGTCAGCAAGATGTTGCTGTTGGTTTGCAGACGTGATCTTCTTTTCACGGCCATTATCACTAGCACGTTAAGCAGAACCGTGAACGGACAAGTGATGGCGTTGAGGATGAGAGTAATGACATCACTAACCTCCAGAGAAACATCTGCTGCATTGCTTTCTCCACTAGTTGTGTTTGAAGCGCTCGTTAAGCTAGCCAAGGAGAAGTTTGCCATGTCGACTTGAAATTATACTGCAAATCAGCTATGTCTTTTGGATCTGGTCATTGGTTTATCTTTTCAATTTTAACTTTAATCTACCGCTAAAAGTAATGTGCAAATGCTTGAAAACGGAAGGAGGAAAAGGCAGAGGAAATCTAATGCTTTTTCATTGTAAGTAGTTTAAGCACTCTTAAGAATGACTTCCCAGTCTATTTACACAAAGACAGTACAAGATAAAACTTGCATGGAAACACTTAACGCCTATGAATCATTTTTAATCCAAGAGCGATTGAAATCACTTTAGATTTTTCATCCCATTTTTAGCGGTTGCGATAACTAGAAATAGCTTGCTCGTCTACAGTATATCGTGCTATAAATTTAATAAATTTTTTGCTTTGCAATTCTAGATGTTATGTTTTGTGCCTCTAAAGATCATTTTTCTTTCTTTCGTCAGCAAAGATTTGTATTCAAAGAAAAATTTTGCTATAATTCATTCGAAATTTATTTTCTTTGGCGTCACTGAATTAAAGAGGATTATTTGTGTCGAGGCTTTTTCATGGCCAGTTAAGTTTAAGTCTTAGAATCATTAGTGAGTTAAAAGCTCACTATTTTAGGTTCGTCAACCAAGTTTTGTGTAAAATCTCAATTTATTTGACACCTGTCTCATCTTTGATACCATAGCCATTATTTGCGTGGGGGTAATGTTCAAATCTTCCAAATTTTTCGATTTCGAAATTTGAGCCAAAAAAAACACATGTTAAGTACGTCTGGGCTGCAAATTATGAATGAGGAAACGTTTGCTAAGGAAAAAGAAAAGCGATGTTTACCCGTTACGGAGCCCGGTAAATTTTTTTTTTAGTTGATACGGTATCTCTTTTCTGAATATCACCATACGAAGGTAGGCTTTAGTCTGTCTGTTCAAGACTACCAAAAAAAGTTTATCTCTCTTATTTATTGGCGTTCTTGTTGGTTTTGTTCCTTTTGCGATAGTATCAAAGTGCATTGCTTGGCTTTTTATGGAGTTTATTGAGATTGATATGTAGCCTGAATTACATTAAACAATTAAGCCACACGATAACGCCTATAAATACAGGATTTGTTTCTTAGAACTACATGAAATGGGCAATTATGCGTGTGAGGCGAGAAATCACTTTTCAAAACATGCCGCACGGGAATGAAACTCCATTGAAATGGTTTTGGCCTGTTCCAACCTCTCGCCAAGAGAGGCAAAAAACGGCAATAGCCAGATTACAGTAAATGAGACAAGAACAGGTTACGTATGGTGTACATACAAGTTACCTAAGAAGTTATCCAGAGGGAATTTAAAAACCTTTACCACAATTGCAAGCCGTATAATAACTTTTACGTACGTAAAAAATGCATGTAAGCCCCAGATTTACAACGACGTGGTGTTATCTACTATAAATTAAGTGTAAAAAATTGGGCATTATCATGTGGGGGAAACAGTTAGGACTTGTACTCTATCTAGGAACCGGGTTAAAGAACACCAAAAAAAAAAATCATGGCCATATACGAAATGTAATCGTGTTGCATCAGAGTACTTCATCGCTCCGCATAACGCGAAAGTCACAATTACATAAGGTAAAGGAAGCTACATATATCAAGATCAGACGTTCGTATAAATCCTTGCTCTCAAAACCTAGTTTACTTCATTCAAATGAAAAAATATTGGATGGACGGAGAAGGAGTCTGAATTCAAAACTACTGCACCAAAGATGAGATAGGTATAATTAACATTTTTAACGAAAATCTCAGTTGATGAACCTAAAGAAGAGAGCTTAAGACTAACAAATAACTTCCTTGACAATGAAAAAACTGCGATGCAACTAAATAACCGTTCAAACCTATGGTGCCAAGGCAAAAACACGATAGAGATACGTTAAATAAATAGATAACTTACATCACAGCCACAAAATAAGAAGAAGAGAGGAACGAAGTTTTTTAAGTGATCGCGACCACAAAAAATGGACTTTAGGGGGCAAAAAAACATGTGCTAATATGTGAAAAATCTTGAGCAATTTTTAGCCACTTTTGATTGAGATTGAAGAATGGGCTGAGCTCGAAGGAAATCAATTTGATTAGGCGGCGAAAAATGTTTTCGAAAAAGCTTTCTTTTGTGTTTTTGTTGTATAATGTAGACTGAGAAGCCATTCTTAGGAGATGATTTATATATTTGCCATGGGAGGAATTAGCTTTTCTTTGGCTTCTTCGTCCTTCTCTTTCTGTGAGGGGATAAAAATTTGGTGGAAACATTTGCCAAGTAATTTTAGGAACAGATTAGAGAAAAAACGCCGACCAAGATCAGGATGTAATTCGAAATAGCTGGTTGACTATAGTTTAAGAAATTCTTGGAGACTGTTAAATTAACATCTAAAGTCTAATTTTATATCAAGTATTTTCCTTCCATAATTTCTGGATTCGCTAATGGTTTCCTTAGAAACAGAAAATATTTTTAATAACAGAAAATACGAAAGAGCGAGCTTCTTGAATTGTTGAAATGCTGCTGTCAGCTGACGCTTTTTCTACCCGCTCAATAAACGAGATGTTTTAGAAACTGAGTTCTGGGGAAAACAAATTTTGGGTCAAAGAAGATAGATTTACCGCACACCAAAACTGATCCTCACAAAACTTCATTGGAGCAAAGCAAATATCCTCACTTGGTGTACAATGTATTAAGCTTACTTTTCTGCAATGCCGAACAATTTTATGTTCTATTTTCTTTATTTTAATCACATCAAAGGAAATGCTCAGTTACTACCTTAAGCTTTGTAAAATATCAGTGGTTACTTCAGTTACGGGTAAATTATTTTCATGTTCTGCCAAATATCTTTGAAGCGGTTTATGATTCGCGAAGAATAATTTTTGACAGAGACTGATTGTATGTCTTCTCTTTTCTTAGAAGCATGGTCAATATATTGAAGAACCAAAATGACCAAAAATTAGAATCAGGATCTCGGAGGCGTGCGTCATAAATTGCTGAAAGGGTTTCTGTCAGTTTCATAGTAAGTGTCATTAGTGATAAGGAAAGTAGATTGCAAAGCATTACACTACTAAAGTAGCCTCTCGAGATAATTTTCATTGACAATTGGCAGCAATGACAATAGTGAAATATTGCTAATAGCATTGCCAAAAATGTTTTAACAAAGATTTCTGGTTGTTTCCCAGGTATTTATGAATGAAATGAAATGCAAGTATTACATCTCATGGGAACCCTTATCACTATTTTGAGCATCGTTTTCGTAACCTTCGCTACCGGAAGAAGACAAAGGCACAGCAACTGCCCCAAGGAGAAGTGGAAAGAGTTATCAAAGAGAACCAAAGAGAAATTCTCCCTATCACTGAAACATTGTGGCAAACATTTGTCACGTTTAAGTCTCTTGTTAATCCATCGATTTAATACAGCAGACAAGAAGTTCATATTTGAAATAAGAGCCAAGGTCGTGCATCCAGCCATCCAGTGAAAGAGAGAGATACAGCGGAGAGAAAAGAAAAAATCTTCTTAGTAATTTATGTACATTTTATTAGCGCATTTTCCATCCACTCGATAAACAATTTTTTCATTAACTGTGTTCTGGGGAAGACATATTTTGGGTCAAGAAGGTTAAAATCTACTGTACGCAAAATCTGATTCTCACAAAACTTAGTTGTAGAGATGCAAATATTCTTGCTAGGAGTGCAATTTATTGTGCTTACTTTTTATAGTTTTGGGTATGCATTGCGAACCAATTTTTAATCTGTTTTGTTTGTTTGTTTGTTTTTGATAATTTTAATCATATTAGAGGAAATCGGTTGTTCCTGCCAAATGTTTGTTAAAAATAAAAAACAAAACAAAAAAACCAGAGAGAAAAAGTGACTGTCCCTATTTTACGGGTAGATAATTTTTTGTTACATACTATTTGTGCAGCTGATGGTTTTTCTCCTAGAATATAGCGAGATATCTATTTCTGGCTGACACTGATACACCGATACAAAATGTTTCATTTACGTTGTGGTATGTTTCTTTTTATTTCAACGTCTGTTTCACTGTTAATTTCCTTAAAAACATTGAATATTTTGAGGAAGCCAGAAGACGAAAAATAAGCATCAAGATCTCATAAGCGAGGTTTATAACTTGTTTGTAAGGGCTGCTGTCGTTATAATAATTAAGCAATAAACCTCGCTTGCAATCGGTTTACCGGCTAGGGGGCTTCGCAAAAACATAATCAACAAACAGGCGAAATAAAAGGGCGTAACCACTGTATATAGTTTTATTACGAAAAAATTTATCAAATAGCTCTGGAAAAACAACGATATGAGTTATCTGCAAGACCAATTTCGCACGTAAAGGATTTGAGCTGACAACCCCGTGAATTGACCGCTTTGCAAGCTGTGGGAAACAATCGGTCCCAGATCTCGTCGCTTCCCGTCATCCCTTAACATAAAATTATTTAATAACATTTTTAGACTGCACCACAACAAAAGCGGCAAAGTCGAAAGACAAAAATGTCGAGCCGTGTGCACTGATTCAAATTTGCAAGTGGGTTCTGCTCTCGCGTAAACAATATTTTCAGTAAATATCTACATAAAAATCCAGTTAGTTTGTCGCTTCAATTTTCTTGAAGCAAAAACACGCCAACTTTTTCCTCTCGGCGAGCAGTTTGGGTAATTGTATCAGAGAATTTCTAGGGTTAGAAGCAAATAAAAACGGCTTAAAACGGAGCAACCAGCTCATTAAACTGAATTTTAGATATAAAATTCGATAATGTTGATAAAATAAAATCTTTGTCGTTGTTTTTGGCGTTCAAAGTTTCCTTTTCATTTCTTCCAACCAAAGGCATACAGGCAATTATGCAATAGATCTTTGACCAATCAGAATGACAGTTCAAATTACAGGTCTTACCGCTTGTTCCAGTGTCGTTTTCACTGCCTTCGCTTATGCCATTGTATATCAAGAAACCCGTTGCCACCAAAGGAAGATAAAAACATAGCAACTTCCCTAAGAAGAAGCAGAAAGATTTGCCAAAGAAAGCAAGGCGCCGTTTAGACAACTGTGTTAGTGGTTGGAGCTGTTGTTGCCTGCTATCTTCCAATTCCTTTCTGTCCCTTCACCTTAGGATATAATAACAGCTGCCCTGTCGACGGTCACGTTTGGCAAACATGTGTAATGTTAATCTCGCTTTTTAATCCGCTAATTTATTGTTGAGACAAAGGGAAAGTTTATATTTAGGATGAGAACTCAGGTTGTGCATCCAGCTATCCAGTTAAGGAGGGTCTGCAAAACTTGAAACCTTACATTATGTAAATTTAGCGTTTACTTGATAAATACAAGTAAACGCTAAACACTTTTAATTGGTTGCTTTACATGTCAAATATATATTTGAGCCAAAGATAGTATGATACGTAAGTTTTGAATAAACTATAGTCATTACAGCCAAGAATAAGTGAGGACGGCAACTTACTCAAGAGCGAGTGTAATACAGACTCTAGACTCAGTTCATGTCAAATATATATTTGAGCCAAAGATAGTATGATACGTAAGTTTTGAATAAACTATAGTCATTACAGCCAAGAATAAGTGAGGACGGCAACTTACTCAAGAGCGAGTGTAATACAGACTCTATGCTGATACATGCTGATTTAGATGTTTTAAGCCTTCCGTCTTTAATGTTCCTACGAGTCTTTCGGCCGGCTTAATAACAATCATAATAATAATAAAAAAAATGAGCCCGGTGCCGATTATAATAATAATAAAAAAGGGACTGGTGCCGACCAAGATGGCGGCAAGATGGCAGTTTTAGCAAGTCACTAAATTTTGTGGTTAACGGTCGGAAATAAGCATGAAGTTGAAATATTTGGTACCCTTCTGATAATATTGCATGTTTTCTCTCTGATCGCCATAAAAGTTAGTTCGCTTTTTGGTAAACGTCCATAAACTGTCCTCTTTTGCTCTAAATCCATCAACCATTATGAGACGACAGCAACATCAAGGCCCATTACGTGATCTAGCCACGACTTTGACACGAATTGGCTCGACGGGCCCTAAAATGGTGGAAGCGTGCAACCGAATAGAGACGGTGGAATCGACTCCCCTTTCAAATTTCATCTTTTGTAAAATTTGAACCATGGCTGTCTTTATTTCGAGTTTAGCCAATCTTATTCCAAGGCATTGCTTGGGACCCAGGCCAAATGGTAAATAGGAGAAGGTCGGGCGCTTTTCAGCCACTTCTGGAAGAAAACGATCTGGGTCGAATTTCTCTGGCTACAAAAGAAACGGACATAGACAGTTCATTAGCGTTATACTTTACCTGCTAAATTGATAATTTCTGAGCAGAATTGGCAGCGGCGATAATTTGGATTTTGGTCTAAGGATACTAAGCCTATCCCTCCTTGGGATATTAATTGCGGTCTTTTGTCTTCTGTGGCAACTTTGCGTTTGTTTCAGGACAATTTGCTGCTACTCGCTTCTATCTCTGGGTAGCAAGGAAATAGGAGAGAAAGGAGTCTCATAGTAATTTAATGAATTGTTCAACTGAAAGAGACTATAATGAATTTTTATATTCTATTTTTACCTCGGGCCAGAAATGAGGATCGCGGTGGACACAGTATGACAAAATATACACGCTGACACCAGCAGGGAATTCCACTCCGTTTATTACACAGCTCTCCATGCACTCACGAACATTTACGAAACCAACTGTAAACAATCGTAGAACCTCAGAAAGGACTCGATCGAGATACTCGAGGCCTTGCACGAACTCGTAAGTTGACAAATTACCACGTGTACGTGTAGCTTCGTCAATTTCTTGCAGCAGCTTGTCTTGAACCTCTGGATAAGAAGCGAGATGGTACGCAATCATGGCCAATGTAGACCCTGTTGTTTCTGCGCCCGCCACTAAGAACGTTATGCACTGGGCTACGATCTCCTCTTCCGTCAAAGTTTTGATTTCATTGTTGTTGACCACTTCTTGCGCCTCTAACATGAGCTGGACAAGATCCTTGCGTCCAGATGAACCATTTCGTCGGATCTTCATTATACCCCTTGCTAGTGTCTCGAAGTAGTCCACATGCTGGATAGGATTAAGGTCGATGAATTTTCTTAAATGGCGGTAGAAAGGAAACATGGACAGTGCTCGTACATACACTGGTACGATGAACACTGTCATTGCTTTCTTCAAAAGCTCTGAGTCGGGGTTGGTTTGCACGTCCGACTTAAGCCCAAATCCAGCAGATAGAATTACGTCCAAGGTGAATTGAGAAAAAGGAGTAGACACATCCACACTTCCATCTGCAGAAGATTGTGGCATCTAAATTAAAATCGTGTAAGGTATACTTTCGAAAGTTAGAAACGATCTCTCGTAAAGGTTTTAAAAGCTTTCGATAAGAGTATTATTACCTCTTCTGATTGAGATTCAACTCCGTCGCAAGTTTGCGAGTATGCCGGTACCAATACAGCGGTTGAATGTAGGGTATGCGCATTGGCTTTGTCACGCCAAATAAGCGAAATAAAGCATTAACGACTTCCTCTAAATCCGTAAAAGGGAACAGAAGGAAGGATAAGGAAAAATCGAGACTCTTATGACAGAAATGTTATTTAATTACGGGTTTCCGACTGATTTACCATTTTTTTAGCTTTACGAAAATAGTTATAAGGTTTCAAACACCGCGGTTTCCTTACTTGTGTGGTTGTTTGTGAGAAAACTTGGTTTTGACAATATAAAAGTACGGCACCTAGCCTCTACAAGATCGCACATGCACAGACGTTTGACCACTCTATTACCAGTGATATCGGCGTTATGCACTGACCTTCGTTTGCTAAATTTTCGAACTTTGACGCCATAATTCCGGCTACTTCTTCGATTATAGGTACGATTTCTTTCATCTTAAGCGAGCTGAACGTCGGTGTAAGGATAGAGCGGACTCGTTTCCAATCATTATCTCTTGCACCAAACAAACCTTTGCTGAGCGGTGGTCTTCCGGCTAGAAAATCTGGTCTGTTCCTGAACTTATGAAAATCCTTAACCAAAAGATTCTTCAGAATTTCAGGATCGGCAACGGCTATAATGGGATCTCTGCCCATGTACATCTTGAAAACCTTGCCATATTTCTCGGTATATGCTAAGAAAGCGTTGTGCAGACCATCATATTTTGAAGCATCGAGTAGGTTTCCGACGTAAGGCCAAGGCTTCGGTCCCGGAAGGCAGACATGACTTGTTAGAGTGTATCTAGAGACGCCAAACCAATAAACAGTTGCTGCTAAGAGGAATAAAAGACCTATCCAGTCATAAAAACCGAGGTCTGGTAATCCTAAAACTGAGTCGACCATTTTCTCCCGTTTGGCTAAAAAGCGTAATGGCCAACCTATTTCAAATTGATTTCTAGACACAAATCTGTTTTGTTACCGTTTGAGGCTTCATCTTAATGCGAATTAGGAACAAAAAATGTGTGGGGGTTGGGTAAACACGCCAATCTTTTGTTAATTGGAAGGAATATGAATCAAACTTGACAAGGAGATATATTGAAATCTAATGTGTTTGTCCAATGATGAATGTAGAGTGTAGATTTTAGTGACATTTAGTGACGCGAGTCTTGGTCTTCGTTCAGTTAATGAAAAGGATGCTTTCTTGCTTTTAAAAAATTGAGAATAGTTTATGATCTAGGAAGGCCTATGTAAAACCTAGACCCGGCTGATGAATGATAATTTAGAATTTGCTGAAAGTTTGACGTTTTCCATCACGGGCTAATTAATTCACAACACGAAAGCCTTTAAAAAGGCGTATTTGTAAGCTATTTCGCCCGAAAAAAATAGTGTCATATTCATAACACGCGTGCCCATCCATTCTCCTCATTTCCTGTTTTTCCTTAAAAGATAAGTAAAGAATTTTTGCGCAACTTGAGACTTCACCATTTTCACTCACAGGTATCCCAAGCTCCTTGGGAGCCGTTAAAATTACATGACATTGCGCATAAACATTAGATATCAGAGTCGTAAGGGAACCCAACCATCGTGATATGAAAAGTAAACATTCAAAAGTAACGAGTTACTTTGTCTCTTCTGTGCAACACTTGTGTTTCTGTGCCATCTTGAGTCCGTTTTAAAGCGATTTCAGTGCGTTTTTATATTAACGTTTTTATTCACGAAATTTCACAGGGCTAAAAACAGTTAGCAGGTTAAATTAAAGAAATGCTGGTACCTGTTGAATACTTAGTTTTCTATTTGGTTATGTCACCTGATGGTCTGTGCATAATATCCTGGAACTATTTCATAACACCTTTTAGCTGCTTTTACCCGAGAAATTAAGAATTCGCAATTAAACCATATATTTTAAATTAAAGCTTCATTATTAAAAGAAATCACACTTATTATATTTTAAATTAAAATGTGAGAAAAAGACTAAAGGATGGGAGGAAACCCATGAGAAGTCACAGTGCTCCTACTTGGGGGGCTTCCTGTAGCAAATATTATAATTACAATTTAAATGTACAACAATGACAAATCAATAACAGAGTAGAAATTGAGTAGAATTAACTCGTTATTCAACTTTCTAGATGTATAAAGCATAATTAGTCTAAAAAAATTATAATTTCAATGCTCTGATTGACGCCGATGACTTCTGAGTGTTCATTTCTGATTTTTTTTTTCGCTATAAAAAACTTTACAAATTATGCTTAGTGGGTGGGCTAGATAGAAACAGTGCTTTAAAATTTCATAAGGCGACTGTCTTAATTTGAAACTATAATTTGCCAAAGTTGTTGTTATCATTATTAGTATATCAGACATAACTAGGTACCTTGCAATGCTTATTTAGCATAAACAACACAGTTTTTCTGAATGACTAATTCTGATTTTTTTATGAACTGCGATTGCCAGTTTTGATTTCAATTCGACTCTCTAGTTTTTTATTCCACAGGTGTAGCTATCGTAGGCAGCCCGAACTTTGTTTAAACCCAGCTTAACTTGAGGCTATACCCGAGTTCTATAGCACAACCCTACCCATAAAGCAAATTCGTTTTTAGAACAAATGTCATTGCTGTGTTTGGAAATTTGTCATAAATATTTTTGTCTAAAATTCCATCTACCTGCAATGTTTACACGCTTTTTGCTAGTAGGGGTCGACCGCAAATGGCGGTGGAAACAAAACTAACCAATGGCAAGCCACATTTACCGGCAACTTTGCTTACAGCAAGGGTGTGTCGATAAACTAACAAATCTCAGCAGCTGCTAACTTCGCGCCATCTGAAAACAAAGCAAATCACATTTTTTTTCAGTGATTTCATTCGTTTGCGGCGGTTAACAGAAAGCCAAAGAGCTGGAAAACGCTGAAGTTTAACTGGACCTACACGTTGAAGTTGCAAGGTGTCTGTTTGGGACAAACTGTTTTCTTTTTGTGACCGCAGTCGTATTTTCCAAACGTTTCCACTAATATTGTTCTAAGTTTTGCAACCGGGTTATGTAGCGCCAAACTAACCAAGTTGAGGTAAGACACTAAAGATTCCTTCTGAGGCAATAAGCAAGCAAAAGTGTGGTCGACAGCAACAGTACCACCGAAAAGTTTGATTTCGATAAACAATACCAAGGTTACAAGTATCTCGAAGTTTACACATCGTGTCCTACTTTTACAATGCGGCTATCCTTTATCACGCATTTTGGCGCGTTGGTAATTTTGTTACATTTAATAATTGGCACTGGTGCGGAATGGAAGAATCTTATCGAGGTGAAAGTGCCAGAAGGAAAACCGGAAGATTACGTAGTTTACAGACTACCGTTTCCCACTAAAGGAGAGGAGTACATGCTATTTTACGCACAGAAAGGGGACGCGCTTGACAAGGTCGGTTTATTCAAGGTCTCTAAAATTGGTGTTATCACAACTGTTCAACCTTTGATTTACGAGAAGGGAAAACCAAACGAGTACGATTTGACCGTAGTTCGAAGGTCTTCCAAAGAGACAGATGGAGGCCTGGCGACAACAGTTCGAGTGATGGTAGAAGACGTGAATAACTTCCCGCCAGTTTTCACATACAGTCTCTACAATGGTTACGTCAAAGAAAATTCTCCAGAGGGAACTGTGGTAATGGGCTTGGAAAATTGCTATGCTGATGACCGGGATACCTCAGGTGTAAGAGATTACAAAATAATAAAAGGAAACGAGAAAGGTTATCTTAGGGCTGTGAAATATGACGTTGGTGAGCACAGTTTTTTACAGCTAAAGGCAACCAATCGACCGATCAAGCGAGACGCGAAAAAACCTTTTTTGACGTTGACTGTTGAAGCAGAAGATATGGGCAATCCGCCAAAAACGTCACAAACCACAATCGAAGTGTTAATTGAAGAGGTGAACGATTATGTTCCTGTATTTGATAAAAGCAGCTACAAACGAGAAATAAGCGAAGATACTCCTATTATGATGCAAATTCTCAGTGTGCGAGCAACAGACAAAGACCAAGGAATTAGCGGTCAGGTTTATTATTTCTTCCAAACATTGTCGAGTTATTTTACGGTAAACGCCTTTACAGGTGCCATTACGCTGGTGCGTGAATTGGATTATACACAGGCAGACCAGCGAGTGCACCGGTTGACTGTCATCGCACGGGATGCAGGAACACCCAGTAAACAGTCCACGGCTACTGTTACCATCACTGTTCCCGTGGATATTTCCAACTTCCCTCGCCCGGCTTCCACGACTTCCAACCAAGAAAATGCGGCACCATTTTTTCCTAGAGCACCGTACCACTTTACACTTCACACATCGTTTCCCATCAGGGGTAGTCTTGGTGTTATTTTGGCAGTGGATGAAGATCCACCGGGATCCAACAGTGCTCTTCGTTATGCGCTGCAAAATCCGTCTGGCGATTTCACTCTAGATTCCAACAGCGGTGTTCTGACAGTTAACAAGGAACTCGACGCGAAGACATACATCTTTTCGGTAAAGGCTGAAGACCAGGGTAACCCACCGAAAAGTGCTGAGGCACAAGTTAAAATTGAAGTCGAATCCATAGATAATCCATTCAACCATCCGACCTTCAGCAATCCTATACAAGTAATAACAGTCCAAGAAAATACTAAAATTGGCACATCTGTGTTCACAGCATCGGTAGTCTCCGACGCGAGCACGGACAAAGGAGTAGTATATTCGGCAATCTTCGGTTCTGCGCTGCCATACTTTGAACTGAACGAAGATACGGGTGTATTGAAGACGGCCGCAGCACTCGATCGAGAAAAGCATGGCATGTATGAATTAATGATAGAAGCAAGGAACAAGGAGGAAATTCCACGCCATTGCCATCTGTTTCTGATAATAAAAATCGCAGATGAGGACGACTCATACCCTGATTTCTCCAGGCCAGTTTATAGCGCTAGTGTACCGGAGAATAGCCAAATCGGTACTTTTGTCACAGTCATCCACGCAATTGATCAAGACAATCCTTCAGTATCTTACGACCTGTCCATATCGTCCTTTGAATTTCAAATAGAGGCAGGAACTGGAGTAATCAGGACGAAAAGAAAGCTCGACCGAGCAATTGGAGACAGGAAATTTCTCCTTCATGTGACAGCAAGTGACGAAGGGGGAAAGACTGCGCACGCGAATGTGGACATCAATGTGACCAGCGCACACGATTCTAGTCCAAAGTTTGCTCTGGAAAAGTACCAGGCCTCACTGCGAGAAAAGCAGGGAATGGTTCCTAATTTGTTGTGCATAGCTGCGACTGGAAGTAACGGCCCAGTGACATATTCGATCAAATCGGGAGCCAATGAAAGATTCACCATCAACGAGAATACAGGTAAAAATTTACCATGCCTTGATTAGGTTAACCTAGTTGAGAAACAACCTCTTAAAGATCAACAAATTTCAAAGTCACTAAATCTGCTACAATTTATATCATGTTTCGCGAAAACTCCTCATCTTTCTATTGCCTCCATAGAGCTTAAATTTTTATTTTTATTTTTATAACAATCATTTAACTGTTAACAGACCTACCAACCTTGAATTAGTATAATGTGCATGTGGATTGAATGCCTTAAAACCAAAAGTATGCTAATCGCTAAGGTTACTTACTTAACTAAGTAAACAAGGATTGCTGGCATCAAGCACAAGAAAATGCGAGTGACGAAAATGATAAGCGATTGGTTTGAATTTGGCATCTGATTGATTGAGAAGTTAGCCCGACTGACTTAACTTACCACAAGCGGTTTAGAAGCAAGAAAAATTGAAATAACTTACCACTCAGGTTCACGCTTAACTTAATTAATGAAACTAAAATGAGTCGCAGTGCCCAAATATGATTTTCATAACATAATGGCAAGCTCCTAGTTGACTTGTCAGCTCAGTTGGTAGAGCGCTGCACCGGTATCGCAGTGGTCACGGGTTCAAATCCCGTACGGGCCTAAATCTTTTTCAGGCCTTATTTCAACTACTAGTTCAGTAGTGTTCATAACTGCGAGGATCGCTTATATTCGATGAATCTCAGCTGTTACTCATTATGCCCCACCCAATGAAAACTACAGAATTCTGCAATTAATTGTTGGCTTTTTTATTTTGATTAGAATGACATTGAACATGATCAACCTAAAAGCGATTCCGAAAAAATTCTATCATCTTCTAATTGAGGTATAATTATCGTTTCATATCAGAGACCAAATTTGTATCTTGAGGCAACAAAATGTATCCTAACAATCCGAGAGAGGGGAGCACTTAGACGTTGTAAAAGTAGTCGCCATGAGATTGCGATATTTCAATAACATCCAAAGCACTTGACGAAGAATGTTTTAAGATAAAACAGAAGAACAAATCAAAACCAAATTAGAAAAAAATAGTGACAATTAATATGGTCTTTCTCTTAAGGTACCGCAATAAAAAAGATTAACCTGAAAATATCGCGTGTTACTGAAAAAAGAATGAAATTTAATTCTCGTTGCGACTTTTCAAAATTGGTAGAAATGAGCGCTGATTTCATAAAAAGTTAAGCACTTCACAAGTCAGAAATATCAATGTAAAAAATCCAAGATAACCTAAAAAAAAAAACAAACAACCCAAAGACATTTTACATATGCAAATTGGGTCATAGCTTAGTTCTCATGGACAGTTGGCGTACACTTATATCAAATACAGCAGATGACAAAGTAATCTAGTTAACTGACGCTGATTTGAATAGTGGATTTTGATGAAAAGAAATTACTATGTGCTGCGTGATGAGCCACAGGCGCAATAAACATGGCTAACTTATTGAAAATAACTGCGAATATATTCAAAATTATCGACTTAAAAAGAGAATTCATTCTGCATTTTCTGATAGACAGAGGCCTTTCTTTTCAACCTAAACGCAAAATCTGCCGACACATCCCTTCGTCGAATCGATCCATTGAGTGCAGGAGAACCAACAGATTTTTATAAAACGAATAGCCAAGCAAAAAAAAGATGCCGCAATGCTGACTGTTTTGAATTGACTGTGACTTCACTTCTCATTTATTGTTGAAATTTCCCCTGCAGGTACCTTGTCAGTTCTAGATTCCTTCGATTACAGGACCGAGAAAGGGTATGTTCTTACAGTCGTAGCCAAAGGCGAGAGCTCCTCAAAAACGTCGTCAACTGCAGTGACAGTGTCAATTTCAAACGATGACGGCCCGCCGGTCTTCGTTAAGAAAAGCTATGAAGTTGTAACTCAAGAAAACGTTAATGTTGGAACAGCTCTACTTGTCGCTGGTGATGGATTTCGTTTCTCCACCGACGGTAGGCCCGCAACCGATTTTGTCTGTTCCCTAGATGACATCACGAGTAGGGAAATACTGGATCACTTTCAAGTGGATAGAATAGGTTACGAATGTCACGTAAAAGTGATTAAAAATTTTGTTCAAGTCTCCAACCGAGAATTCACTTTTCAAGTCCGCGTGACAGACATCAATCAAAGGAACCTGTTTGATAAGGCTGGCGTGACGGTAAAAGTAACAGACACGAACGACTATGCCCCCGAGTTCACGCAATCCTCCTACTGGGTTTCCATCGCCAGTGACACTTCCCTGGGAACCAGTCTAGTACAAGTGACTGTCTTTGACAGAGATACCCCAGGAAAAACTGAGTTTGTTTTAGAGCTCTTATCCGAGGGTGCGGATGACAGGTGTGTAACTGTTTTAACATAGACTTACTGGGATAATCAGAATGATACTCCTCAATATCTCTCATAGGTCTCTTCAGAAGTTCTTCTGCATCGAGCTGCAAGTGTCATTTGGTATTTCGCAGCCATTTAACCTTTTACAACCCAAACTCGGTGTGCATATTCTTCACACTGTTCTCTATATGTTTACTTAGGCGCTGACAAGGAGAATTTGTTTAGAAATCACGAGGTTCTTTAGTTGGTGATCATCTTCTTTATTCTCTTTACCTGAATGTTTAGTTCAGGGGTGTTATTTTAAAAAGAAATTAATACTTAGGGTTAAGAGGTTCGGTGCCGTAATATAGTGTAATATGTTTGTCTTCCCTGTCCACCCTTCCTCGCAAAAAAAAAAAATCATTGTTTTTAATTAAACTTTAGGAAGGGATTCCTTCATGTAAAATTTTGGGTGCAATTAATGTGTAATGTAGAAATCCTAAAAAACCGATAACTATAGTCCCGGCTGAATGTTCAAACACCTAATTTAACATCGTGCTAATCGCACACAACATGAGTTGTGAGCCTACAAGAATGATACATTTACGTATATGTATCCAAAATGAGAAGCCATCCAAACGGTCAAACATGCAACACCAGCAGAATCTTGGACGAAAATGTTTAATTATTTAGCCAGGGCTTTAGACATCTCTCTGAATATGGAATTTGAGCATTTAGTTATACTTTTGAAAACAAACAATGCAATTGTAAGCCTTCTTATGTATGCTTCAGAATCAGATTAAAATTTCGATCCCATTTTTATTTCATTTTTTCTATTGGTTGGATAGTCAACTTTTTCTCGTCTACTCTCGACTCCTCTTTGACTCCGTTCTATCTTCTTTCTCGACAGATTTCAAATAGACAGCGATGGCATAGTTCGCACGATTACATCGGGTCTACCTGAAAACAGAATTTTCAACCTCAAAGTCAAGGCGAAAGAAACAGGTAGGTACATAGTTCTGCAGTGACGGTGACTTCTCTGTCTGTCTGTCTTTCATATTACGAATCAGATAGACGTTTCTGATGAAATGCCCTTTTCACGGTCAAGTTTAATGGGAACGCACTGAAGGTATTGAAAAGCTTTTCCGCTGGATTGTATTGTCATCGTAAAAACATTTTTTTGTATTCAGCATCATAAAATATCTGTGATGAAATGAAATAAGATTTTTTTTTAATATGACAAGAATTTAACCTCTGGCTCATTCCACACTTATAAATAATTGCTTCTCGTCTAACTAGCTATTAAAAATGAGACAGACTAAGGAGATGCGGCGTGCTCCCAAAACCTGTTCTGGATAGTGAGTGTAGAAATAAGTATCTAGAAAATTCTGGGAAGAATGCCTAGTCATGCTGACATGCATATCATGAAACTTTCAAGAACATTTTACCAAGTCACGTAATCATAATGTAATGTCAGTGGTGACCTAAGATGTAGACTGTTGTGGGCTTAGGTAAGTGTATTAAAGATAATTACTGTACTGCCTTTGATAAAATTGTTGAGTTTGTAGTATAGCGTTCTTTCTGTTGGTTAGATTGTACCGTAACAAACCATATTTTTTTGCCGCAACTAAAACGTTTTTATAAAATAATGACATTGAAAATGTTTTAATACTGCGCAGGATAACTTGTTTATTCAAGTATTTTTTCAAATATGCTTGAAACTCGATTAAAGAGGAAGCCATTTTAAAATTTGCCTGGGAACATGGGCTCTCGTCTGTAATTTGGCGAGATTTCATTTTATTATCATTTGTTTGGATAAATCGAAAGCTGTTTGATGACATAGAACCAACACGAAAAAGCGCATTTTTGGCTGAAATAATGAGTTCTTGTAAGTGAGAACCAGAGCAGCATCTACTTGTAAACCGCGCGTTGGAGTTTTGAGTGCGAGGCCTAGCTACCAAGCTGTTTCAAGTTGACAGTCTACCGGCAACTATTGAACGGGAAGTTTAAAATCATAATCTTTAGACACGGGGAATACCACATTTTGCTTTAGGTATGCAAGAGCCAAAAAATTCTTCATAATGTCAGGTGGTAAACTCTACGATCATACATGATGAACCAAATGGTTAATCCAAACAATAACATGGGTCGCAAGTGTAGATGGTTAATTTAGCGCTCAAAAGCAACACGAGATGTCATCCAAACTTCGCAGTTTCACTCACATTGGAACAAAGTGGGTCCTAATCTATGTATACTTTCCATCTCACACAGGTACCGATCCCCAACAAGAGAGGGAGGTGTCATTGAAAATCTCCGTGCAAAGGACGCCTTTCGTTCCGGTCGAGTTTAGCAGTAACAGTTACCTTCAATCTCTCACTGAAGACGCAACCGTCGGCGCGTCAGTGTTCACCGTGAGTGCTTCGCGATCAGGTTCAGACTCCGGAACCCTAACATACTCCATAGTAGGCGGAAATCTGGACAATGCTTTCAAAATCGATACCAGCAGCGGTAAGGTGACCTTAGCTAAGAACCTTGACTATGAAACTACCAAGAAGTACAACTTGATCATCCGGGCAACTTTTGATTTCTCCGATGGAAATATTCCGGATGTTGCAGCGGAGGTTACAGGCCAGGTTACTGTGCAGGATGTTAATGACAATAGTCCCAGGTTTCTCCTTTACAACCGACCAACAAAAATTGCGATTGAGAGCTATACACCAAGTGCCACGGAAGTGATGAAGGTAATTCATTATTTATGTTATTGATACAAACGTAGACTCAGGTATTAATAAGTAAAAAGCCATGGGGTAAATTATGACAGGACAGGACAAATTGATGCGGCACTGGATTAAAACACTGGAGCATAGACGAGAACAATTTTTTTTTTTTATATTTAACAATTTTTCGCTGGAGAAGAGAATATTGTTGAATACTATCCGAGAGGAAATATTCACTGAGCCTGAGGTGACTAAATATTTTTGGGTAATTTTCTGCTGTTATTAGAGCAAAGACGTGAATTTTATTTCATTTCTCTGCTTCCAAGTTGTTAGGCATCAGACAACAATACGTATTCACTCTTTCTTGTTATTTAATGACGAGCTGGTCCATCGCCTAATTGATTTTCCATTCAGAAACTATATATGATCGCGGTTCCTTTCTGTTAAAGATACAGTTTAAAATCTATTTTCCCCAGGTGACGGCAACAGATGAGGATACGGGAAACTTTGGCTCTGTGTCGTATAATATTCATGACTCCGCAAGTAATCCATCCGTTGACATTCCATTCTCCATAAACTCTGTCACAGGCTCGCTCAAGACCAACAGAGAAATCAAGTATGGTAGAATATAATTTATATCAATTAACAACCATTTGGCTAATCGTCGGATGAACAGAAAAAATGTACTTAAATGTATTCTGCACGAGATTCTCTTTTTCAAACAATCTGTGATCTCGAGTCTGGTTAGGACCCTTTATTTTTGAGCGCATTCGATATAAAAAGCAAGACCAAAAGCGTTTCTTTCTTTTTACTGATTTTTTAAAGAGTAGAATTCGGGGAAAAGCTTCAGAAATCGTATTCAAATTGGACTTTAGAAGCTGCTTCTCCTTCTCTGACTTAGTACTTCTTTGGTGTATTTAGATTTTCAGAAGGAAGCTTCTATGCGATAGTATTAAGGGCTGTAGATGGAGCCAGCCGAGAAACTGCCATGACCATTGAAATAACAGTCTTGAATATCGGCAAGCCTCCGACATTCAAACAAGAGGAGTACTTGAAAAGCGTTAGTGAGAAAAGTCCCGTTGGTACCAGTGTGATCGACATAAAAGCTGACCATTACGACCACACTGCCCCATTGAAATATGCAATCATCAATGGTGACCCCGAGAACAGATTCTGTATAAACTACTTGGGTGTTATTAGTGTGGCGCAGCCCCTGGATCGCGAGAAGGTGCCATCATATGAGCTCTCAGTAATGGTGTCTCTAAATAACAAAAACAGTACCACCGTTGTCAAAGTTACCTTGCAAGATGTCAACGATCACGCACCGTCTTTTGAGAAGTCAATTTTGGTCATAAATGTCCCTGAAAATGAAGGTTTGTTTTACACTGATGAAGGAGAAACCCCCATGCCATATGTAGTTTAAAAATCATTAATTTTCCGATACTTTCTGACCAACTTTCTTAGAAATGTCCCCAATCTTAAAATGCCATCGTAAGGTATGTAATGCTTTAGTGGAGCCTTCAGATCGTGCTTCATTTTCTAGCTGTGTCACAAAATGAAGAACTCTTTTTGTTTTCGACTTGTTCCTCTTTTGTCAAAAACTCAAAAGACGCAGAAACTTAATAAGGGTACACCACAGAGCGTTTGACTCAATATTTCAGGAAAAAGGGAAAAATTATAACTTTAAACTGTCTTGCATGATCCAAAATGCTTCCAAAACTCAACTAATAGTCTCTGGATAATACTATATGAATCCCTGGAATTCAGAAGTCACAGCAGTATATGGTTCTTTGGCATCACAACCAGTGCTAACGCCCAATTATTTATTTTTTTCACACCAGTCAATCTCAATTTAAAACGTTTGAAGGCAATTGATCAGGACAATGGTGATTACGGAAAAGTAACTTACTCCATCATACAGAGTGTCAGGAGTGACACTAAAGAGCTTTTTGAGGTAGAGCCCGATAGCGGTTGGGTCAAACTGAAAAAGCCTCTGGATCGTGAGAAAGCTGCTGAACATGTGCTGTTCATCAGGGCACAAGACGGTGCACAACCAGAACCACTGAGCGGTAAGTCAATGAAGACTATGTCTTGAAACTGTGAAGTCCCTTACGACCGCCTCACCACTGTCCGTTCCTTAGTATTTGTTATTTAATAGTAGTAGTATTAGTATTATTTATTAATATTTGAGCCATAAATCGATGGGAAACTCTCCGCTAAAAAATATTCTGCTTCAACCATTTTTGATCATGTCATGAGTTGGAGCGGTGGTATGGCTGCCGAGATTTGCGTTATTTTTTTCATGGCTCGCGTGGTTTAATCTCATCAGTCAAATCGGTCAAATCGAGTCAAACTCAAGGTAGAGGCAACAAATTTAACTTATTAATTATTGATGTTTGGGTTTATTTTTTTCAGATATTGTCAAGTTAATTATCCGAGTAACAGACGTAAATGACAACAAACCACGTTTCTCTACTTCTTCTTACCAAGCCTCCATACCTGCCAACCTCAAACATGGAAGTAAAGTAGTCCAATTATCCGCCACAGATCTAGATAGTGGTGCCAACAGACTGTTATATTACACCATAAAGGAGGGCAACAAGGACGGTATTTTTGAGATAAAAAATGACAACGGACTTATCACCCTAGGCAATAAGCCTCTAGCGTCTGCACTCCAGGACACATTCACTTTAATTGTGGAAGCCGCCGATGAAAAGGACAGAAATAAAAAAGACGAAGCAACGTTGTTGATAAATGTGTTTCCTCCTGATGGACCCCCGCGGTATCCAGATCCTTCGTTAAGTTTCGACATACAGGAGGGAATCTTGGCTGGACAGAAGATCGCATCAGCAGCCGCAGCCACCACAGAGTACGTCATTTACACCATACTGTCGGGTAACGAAGATGGTGTGATTCAAATTGATCCTTTCTCGGGGGATCTAGTGACGGCTCAAGAGCTCGATTATGAAAAAGCCGATCGGTATGAATTGCACGTAATGGCGCAAGATATCAAAGGACGGAAAGCTGAAGTCAAAATCACCATCAACGTCATAGATATCAATGACAACAGCCCGTTCTTCATCGATGAGGTCAAAGGGAAGGTCGATCAAAGAGGAACGGCAGGTGCTCGTGCAGGTGACGAAGTGGCCCAAATAGTAGCATACGATCTAGACAATGAGTCTTCCATGAAGTACAAATTATCCCCTGATGCAGAAGCTTACATTGACATTGACGACCAGGGAATTATTCGTGCCAAAAGAACTCTTGACGGTACTATTCCCGGAAAGCGCTCCACTGAACCTTTAAGGACATTAAATTTCAATTTAGAGGCTCGTGATGGTGCCAATCCACCGAATTCTGTAACAACATCTGTGCGCCTGGCATTTACTAATGACCAAGCAGGCCAAAACACTGTGGCCTTAAGGGTTAGGGAGGACACGCCGGTCGGTAAGGTTTTTGCCGTGACTCCCAGATACATTCCTGGTGGAAAGTTCTCCATCTTGTACCCAGAAGAGACCCCTTTCTCTGTCGACGAGGAGGGCAGAATTCAACTCAAAACGTCACTCGATTTTGAAACTCAAGCGGTGTACACTCTGACAGTCCGAGAAGAAGCTTTTACTTCCAGTGGTCCCATCTTCAACGATATAGACTTCGAGATCTCTGTCGTAGATGTCAATGATAACGATCCCCGATTTGAATTGAGGCAAAGGCACGGAACAGTAAACGGTAACGCTCAGGCTGGTGCTTCGGCTTTGAAACTTTACGTATCGGATGCAGATACTGATGCGAATGGACTTGCAGGTTACCAACTTGTCACCAGTGACGCTCCCTTTGGCATTGACCCGTTGGAAGACACTCTAAAGGTTGGCGGCCCTCTAATGAAGTCTCAGTACGACCTAGAGATACGTTCATTTGATTATGGAGTACCTCGACGCCAGAACAGCCCATTAAAACTTCGATTAGATGTTGGACAACTGCCTCCAAGATTTATCGACTTTCACGACGATGGGTACAAGTTTGAGGTGCCCGAAGACGCTAGGGGTGGGACTGTAATAGGAAAGATCCAAGCTTTAAGTGTCTCAGGTAGCAGAGTGGGATATGAGATTTCAGATGGAAACTCAGGTAATAGATTTCGAATCAACAGTGATGGTGAAATCATGCTCAATTTTCTCCTGGATTACGAGACACAAGCAAAGGAATATGAACTGCAGGTGGAGGCTATCGAGATGATTCCTTCCGGTCTGATCTCTTCAATCGATGTCAAAATCTTAGTTTTGAATGCTAATGACCACCATCCTATGTTTGAACAAGGATCGTACACGGCTACAGTGCCAGAAGACACGGCCTTCGGGAGCTCGATATTGACTGTAGCCGCTACAGACTGTGACTGTAGCCAGGATTGCAGTTGCTCTTCAGGGCAGTTGAACTACTCGGTGAAAGATACCGAGTATTTCACAGTGGATCCCGACACTGGAGTTATATCACCAGCACGTTCTTTGGATTACGAACGCATTGTAACACACATATTTCAAGTCCGTGCATCTGATCATCTGAGGAATAAAACGAACGTAGCTTTGGCGTATGTAAAGATCAATGTTACGAACGTGAACGACAATCAACCCAGGTTTGCAAATCCCGAGTATAGTTTCGCCGTCGACGAAGATGCACAAGTTGGAATAGGATTAGCGGTGATTGAAATTCATGACGATGACCACGATGAAATTACATATTCCATAGTCCAAGGGAGCAGCCCTTTCACAATAGATGCTAGAACTGGGGTCATTTCTCTTTCACGAAAACTTCCCAGCAGTCCTTGGGAATATACGTTCACCATTCGAGGAACGGACTCAAACGGAGCCTTCAGCGACGCAAAAGTTTTCATGACCATCAGGGATAAGAACAACAATCGACCAGTGTTCGAAAAGTGCGAGGACTCTACAGTGACAGAGAATCTATCCCCCGGACAAGTAGTTACCCAGATTGTGGCTACAGACGTAGACAGGGGTTTAGGTGGAGAAGTAGAATACAGTCTGGCGTATGGCGATGAATTCTTTGAGATTGATAATACCACTGGTGTGCTAAAAACCACTGTCACCTTCGACCGAGAAGAAAAAGCCGAATATAAAGTCGTTATCAAAGTTGAAGACGGTGGGCATGGTCGAAGCTCCTCTGAACGACTTCTGAGGTATTGCAAGCTGGAGGTCATCATTGGAGATGTAAATGATAACTACCCCTATTTTCCAACGTGGACCTACGAAGGAAGCGTTTGGAATAACGCCGAGATAGGAACCTCAGTCATGAGAGTTCACGCGTTCGATTCGGATGCAGGCGTGAACGCCAATGTAGAATATCATTTGGAACCCGATGACAAGTTCGAGATATCAGAAAGGGGTGTCATATCAACCAAAGTGTCACTGGCATCTTTTACGGGAAAAATGACATTAACTGTCTTACCTTCGAATACGGAGCCGATGACTGCTGGTGCAGATAATAGTGCGGATCGGAGTACAAATATTGAAATCTTTGTCTCAGACCTTCCACCTCCGGAGTTTACGAAGGCAATATATACCGCTTCAGTCCAGGAAAATCAAGTTGCAGGTAAGTGGACAAAACAGAAATCCCATCATTCCCATTTTCCCTGCAATCCTTCAATCATTTCCGTGGAATAAATAAAAATGTATTTTGTTCATTTCTTTATTCTTAAGGTTATTTTACATAGATGGTAAGGAAACTTCAAGAAGTTCATCATCAAGTGCGTTTTGATCTAATGTCACACGAGTTTTCATCTAAGCTGATACTTACTTTTGGCAATTTTTTTCTGTTTAAGGTCGTGATTGTGACCATCAGTAATTGGCCGTTGTGTTTCATTCTGGTTTTCCTTGATTCTCTTAGTGGTCGTGACCTGTAAACAGTTTCAAGCATCTCGTTACCACACGCTCAAAGGCAACCCCTTGATTTGATTTATTTTATTCAGTTGCCGGTGTTACAGACGAATTATCTTTACATCATAAACATGTAACTGAAATGTTTTTAAGTAATTGAAATGTGATTTCAAAGTGTGGCTACTTCTGTAATCGGAAAAGGTCAGAATAATTGTACAAATCACGTTTGGTCGACTATGGTCATTAAGTGTTGGGAGAGTAGGCTTTTTCATAAAAGATTTAAACTTGCATGGCTTAACTTAAACGCAACGTTTTTGTCCTGTAATCTATCTGCAGATACGACAGTCCTAGCAATTCAAGCAGTTTCTAAAAACAACCAACCGTTAACATACACTCCCTTATTCACCTGGCAATTTGCCTCAGAGTTCTTTCACATCAATCCTCAGACTGGAGAGATCAAGACAGGTGGTAAGGCACTTGATTATGAGGAGCTTAAGATATTTCGTATGCAGTTCAAAGCATCCGAGAGCAAGACACTTTTTTCCACTTGCCTCGTGGAGATTCGGATCACTGATGTCAACGACAACACCCCAATATTTGGAACGGAGTTTTACGAGGGTAGGGTTCTCGAGAATTCTCCGCCGAATTCGGAGGTCCTTCGAGTGCATGCGTACGATCCGGACACTGGAGGTGGGGGACTTTTGACTTACTCCATCATTGAAAGCGACACTACCGATGGAAAGTATTTCAGTATTGACTCCAGCACTGGACTTATAAGAACGAAGGAAACATTTGACCGCGAGGTTGCTGATGAAAAGCACTTCACTGTCTTAGTCGAAGCTAGAGATAAAGGAGGCAAGTTTGGGAGGAGCTATGTTGATATCGAAGTCGTCGATGACAATGATGCGGGGCCAGTGTTTGCTACAACTCAGTATTCTCTGAGCGTCAGGGAAGATGCTGAGTTGGGTTGGATTTTGCACTCCTTTACCGTGCAAGATATTGATGTTGGTCTTAACTCTTTAGTAAGTTTTTACATCTCGTCTGGAGATGTAAGACATGCATTTCATCTGGAGACAGTGTACTATCCTCAAAATGTTGGGCAGCTCATTGTCGATGATAAGCTTGATTACGAAACTGATAAGGAGTACAATCTGAAGATCATCTCTACAGACGGAAGAACAACAAGTCAGCCGCCAGCAAGGGTTAGAATCGAGGTATGAGCTTGACCTGTGTTTGACCTTGAAGCAGCTTTCAATTAAGTAGCGTTGAAAGCTGTCGTTGGCAAATAACAAAGAGTATATAAAACAACAACTAAAACCCATGGCCTCTAAAAATCGCTTCAGCCAATCGTTAGACGGTCTCGCCTTTGTTCACATGGAAATAAACAATGAACCACATTCCTGCCATCTAATATTCATTTTTAGTAAAGTAAATTAAGTCTATGAACCACATTCCTACCTTCAAATGTTCATTTTCAGTAAAGTTAAGTAAGTCATTTTCAGTAAAGTAAGTCTTGTGTAGGTAGATAAAGGGAAGCTTTAGGTGCTACGACCTTTGTCTAAGTTAATTTCACTGAACTAATTTTTTACGTTACCACGTTTCCACCACTAACCTAGCTCCATTTTGCTGTATACAAACCACACAAAATATCCACACTGAAACGTCAGCTCTAGAAATTCTTTACGGTGGCCAATTTGAATTATCAACTCAGTTGATACAACCAAATAATCTTGTAATACCTACCACCGGCGCAGCACCACAGTTTCTTTTAATTTAATCCCTTTCATCAAGTTAAATTTGTTCCACGTAGGTACAATGCTGATTAGCTCCAACCTACCTAGACAGAAAATAACAACAATTGAACTTTTTTCCAGGTTATAGACGTTAACGACAATGCCCCGGTGTTCAATCAACTTCGTTATGATGCAACTGTGGTGGAAGGCAGTCCAGGAAGCCTGCTTGTGGTGACAGTAAGTGCTACTGACATCGACACGACTGGCGAGACTATTTCTTACTTCTTAGACAAACAGGGCGAGATGTTCTTCACGATTGGTCCAGAGAATGGGGAGATACGTACTAGTGGGAGACCGCTGGACAGAGAGGAAACGCCTGTGTTGTATTTCAATGTCCAGGCTACTGACGGAATTTTTATTGGATCTGCAGGTGTAAAGGTGTGATGTAATTTAGTTTAATAGGAAAATAGAGATCTAAAACATTACAACAATGCTAAGGAAACAATGAATGACAACCGCCACGACTTGACTATCAATATTTCTATCCCACAATACAATACAAGTTTAATTTTGTCATACGCTCAACTATTCTGATGTGACATAACGTAATGAAATGACACACCAGCTAATTTACAGGTATACCATATGAATTGAAATTGAATTTGAAAGTACATACTTTAACATGGAACAGAATTTTAAAAAGTTTGAGTCAGGATCCTAAAATACGATTTAGAACAATTCCACGTTATGCTAAGAAGTAAAAACGGTAGTCGTACATACAATAATATAAAAATAAGTAAAAAGTTAGGCACATACTGAAATGATGTGCATAAGAATGTTCTTGGCGAATGTAATTGTTTAGGTTAAGTGATAGTTGATAGAGGGCGTAATTCAGTAAATTATCGTGTTTGTGTAGTGTAGTGGAGCTGGTAAACAGGAATCCAGTTTTTTGAAAGCGTACGTTTATTTTTTTTTTTGTGTAATCCCTATCTTGATTCACACCTTTCATTTTCACCCTTTAAATTCGCTTGCAGATCGTTGTTCTCGATATCAATGACAAAGCACCCTACTTTCCAAGTCCTCCATATATTGGTACTATCGAGGAAAACAACCCTCCGGGCACAAGTGTGATTGTCGTACAAGCTATCGACGAAGATGACCCAAAAGAGAATGGGAACACCGACCTAACCTACTCTCTAGATGACGATAGTGACGGGCTCTTTGTGATTGACAGTACAACTGGGCTCATATCCAATACTATGACCTTTGATAAAGAAGGGGACCCGGACGAGTACAACGTCACCGTGAGGGCGACAGACAATGGGACTCCACGACAGCTTAGCGGCACAACAGTGGTAACTATCAGAGTAGTAGACGCCAACGACCATAAACCGATATTTGAACCTTTGGAGTATAGAGCGTCTGTCCCGGAAAACGCATTTCCCGGATTCTTCGTGACACAAGTTAGCGCTACAGATATAGATTTGGGCTTCAACGGTAAATTTGAGTTTACCACGGTGTCTGGCAACGACCCCTATGCGTTTTACATCAACCCTGCTACTGGTGCGATATTGGTGTCGGGAGAGTTAGACTATGAAACACGATCAAGTTACACTCTGAAGATAAACGTATCCGACCTAGGTATCCCCCAACAGACGTCTTCAGAGCTTGCTTCCGTGTTCATCACCATCATAGACGTAAATGACCATCCTCCGATCTTTGTGCCAGATACGTACAGCATATCCATTAACGAAGACGAACCCGTTGGTTCTTCTTTACTAAGTTTGGTGACTAACGATCTTGACAAGGGCATTGAGACAAGGCTGTGGTTCACGGTCGAGTTTGGAGACTCAACTGACAGCTTTGACGTCAGACCTGATCCAAATAATCCTAGTATAGGTATTTTATACATAACTGCTCCCCTAGACCGAGAAACAGTCAGCAGTTACAAGCTGGAGATAAAAGCCGAAGATGCTGATGAACTCTTTGCCATTTGCTTCGTGACAGTAACAGTACTGGATATCAACGACAATGGGCCGCACTTTATCCCTCCTATCTTCTTCGGCAGCATCGTCGAAAAGGTGTCTACAGCGCAGTTTGTTGTGACGCTTAGTGCTTTTGACCCGGATGAACCGTTTAATGGACCACCGTTTGAATACAAGATACTCAATGGAACGGTACAGGGGAATTTTTATATAGAGCCAAGTTCGAAGACCAGTACCACTGCCGATATCTACTCATCGGCTTCATACCAATTCATCTATGAAGAGAAACAAGAATGGAAACTGTGGGTACAAGTAACGGACAATGGCAATCCTGCCATGTCGAACATAACTGTAGTCTACATCGAGGTTAAAGATTCTGTCAATAACAACGCCCCTTTTAATGCCACAATGACGATCATTTTAAACTCGTATCAGGGACGCTTTGCGGGGGGAGTTATAGGAAAAGTTTACTACAGAGACAACGACTTTGAAGTGGATGAAAACGGCTACACAATTACGACGCAGAATCCAGGATCGTTTTTCACTTTGGATACAAACACGGGCCAACTCTCTGCGCCGGAAAATATTCCTGCGGGTAACTACGGACTTTTCGTACGTGTAACAGAAAAAAACAGAAATCAGGCGTTACCACCCAAAGTTGTGTTCTCAGGCATAACTGTTATGGTTCGAAATATTTCACAAGCTGCCGTACTAAAAAGCACCACAATACAGTTCGTGCAAATCCATAAAAAAGCTATTTTCGTTGGTGATTACTACTCGAAGCTTGTAGGAGTACTTCAAGAAATTTTTAGCAACAATGGTGGAGACTTCTTTGTACAATACTACGTTTATATCTTCAGTATACAAATTGATACAAACGACCCACAAGCTATAAATGTACAATTAGCGGTAAACACCCCTAAAAACGAGTATTGGAGTACAACTGATATACTGACGAAGCTGATAGAGAAGAGATCTTCACTTGAAAGTATCGGTAAGATTTAAGTTGAATTCCGTTTTGTTTTGAAATTTTAGCATTGATAAAAGCTATATTTTTGAACATATCTATTTGCTTCAAATGTTACATTCACATTTCGGTTATTTTCAGGGCTAACTGTAAGCACCTTCGGTATTGATACATGCGCAAAAGAATACAACAAAACTGGTATCTGCCGGAACGTGGTGAGCGCCTTCACTACGTTTACAGTGATCAGCGGCGACTATGGTCAATTACCTGCACCTGACACCTCTCTCACGTTTGTATCAATCGATGTGAAACTTGAAGCAAAATACTTTTTCTTTGAGATTAAACCTGTTCTAAGATGCTCAGATAAGCCTTGTTTGAATGGTGGCATATGTCATGACGTTCAACCAGAAGGTAAGTGATACAGTCACATTCATCAAAAATGATCATTGATGGAAGTTTATCCCTGTGCTATGATGTAAGTCCCATGCTTGATAGGGTCGAATAGACGTATGTCGGCCTAGGGAATACCTCCTATGTGAGGACGAAGCTACTCCCTATAATTTTTGGCTACATGAAATTATTTACTGGCTGAAATGTTTGTAAAGAAATAATTGGCAATGAGAAAGCCATATCTCTTTAATTATTGACGATTTCAATGTTGGGGATGGCACTCTTGAGGTCCGACGGGCCCCAAGACACTAACAAAATTGCCAAAACTTCACATCATTTTCGGTTCTTTCCAAATCTGAAAAACATGAAGTTGATATGTTAGCCGATTTTAGAATAAAGCAGACAGCTACTACCCCTAAAGAACAATGATCGTAAGCCTTAGGACAATAAAAGTAACTGAAGCTTATCACATTTGCGGAAAATAAATTTAGATATCTGACACGTAAACTGCGTTTCCCTAGGGATTATTTGCCAATGCAAGCATAAGTTCGCCGGGCTAGTTACTGGGCCTCTTTGCCAAGAAACGACTCGCACGTTCGAGGGAGGCCTGGGAGAATCATACATCTGGCTTGAAAAGCTTGTGGCTTACGACAGGAATGTTGTACAGCTGGAATTCACCACAACAGTTGCAGATGGTCTAATTCTTTACCAAGGGCCATTATTGGAAGGTATGCGCTTTTCGCTTAGTTCTTTTGCAAAACTGGTGCAGAAAAAATCAAATCAACACGTTATAGGTACAAGTAATTCTTGTTCTTTAGCCATTTCAAGTTTATTGAAGCACAAATCATGCCTCAACAAGCATATCCAGCTGTCATCGTCAAGATGATAACAATTATCCTTAAAAGAAGACTATATTACCTGTAACTAAGCACTAATAGATGAACAAAACAAAATTTAAGAAAAACAAATTCATTGGAAAGCGAAAAAAAATACGTTTGCCCTTTGTTTCCAATTTTAATCTGATCTCTTGTTAATTTCAGTTTCATTGCGAGAAAAATTTTTCTAACTTTTTCATAGTGGGCGTCGGTCAGCCTCGTGATTTCCTGGCCATTGTTTTGTTTGGGGGCTTCATTCGTGTCGTCGTATCATTGGGATCACAGCCTTTAACTTTAACGATGTCGCGTGGTCCTCGACTGGATGATAGTCAATGGCATTCTATTGAAGTGCGTCAAGAGTTGAAGGTATAAGATTGCATTTACACTGAAGTACAACATTTCATTACCAAGTTCACTTGGCAGCGAGAATTGCTCCCTGTTTTCTTCCAAGATGAAATAGTTTTTTGAATGATAGTTGTCATGGAATAACTGCAAGTAAAAAATTTTCTTTGACCTTTTCAAATTTTGTTGCCAAGTATTAAGTTCAATCATCTAAATAGGGAAACTTTTAGTTCAAGTAGATTTCCTTGACAACTTTTTTCGCAGTTTAATTAGCAAGATATTACAATTTTTCCTTTTCAAGTTTCGTTGTCCATTATCTGAATCTGGCAGTATTTGAAAAATAATATTTTTCAAGGGCGTTAAGTTATTTCAACTCGATTTGCAATTTGGAATTTCGGAGGAAGGCGAACCCAGGGAAAAAAATAATTGAGGCACGAATCAAAATTAACAACAGTCTCAACCAACGAATGATACAAGGTCCGAAGAATCGGACCGCCACCAATGTCTGAAGCCAGGTTCGAGATTCGAAACAGGGCCACGGGCAAGGCTCTCGTAGCTGCGCCATTGCTGTTCAGCTCAAGTCAGTCTCAATGAGTAACATGTAGTCATGTTTCCACAGACGTTTACAGTCATTATTGACCAATGCAAGAACGCACGTTTGATACAGCTTGGGGATCAGTTGGTGGAGGATGAAAGCGAGTGTAAAATATCAGGAAATGTCAGAGGAACCGATGTGTAAGTATTTTTATGAGAGGGAAAAATTTCTACGAAGATTGCCGAAGAATTCCCGAAGACTGTCGTAAGTCACACTTGTGTTTTGGGATTTAATATTTTCGAAGATCAACAATCTTCCTATAAATCTCCGAAGGTTACTTCTCTTCCAAAGATAAAAATATCATTTTTACTTACTCTCGACTTATAATTTTTGTTCTTTCAGTTTCCTGAACAGTATTTGGCCACTTCAAATTGGAGGGGTGGAAAACCCGCAAGTTTCATATCCAGACCTCAATTACACGGGTTTTGTGGGATGCATACGAAAAATTATCAACAATAAACATATGTACGATCTCAAGAACCCCATCAAAGTGGTCAACTCTCCCGAAGGCTGCACCTTGGCTCTCACCGCTTGTTCGTCTTGTAATAACAATGGATACTGTGAACCGTACTTGGACAAGGAGAGCGTTTGTGTATGTGATGTAGGGTATTCTGGAGACGACTGCTCGGCATGTAAGTTATTTCTGTTATAAAAATTTTTAAAAAATACTTTCTACTCAGTGACGAAAGTAATCTAAGTTGCATTAGACTTTTCTGCACCACGCTCTGACTGATCTAAAAGACTCGCGCATTTATTTATTTACCATTTACTCGTTTTTTCTTCCACCGACTCCTGTTTGCTTATTTACTCTTTGAGTTCCTTTTCCCTGGTGTATGCCTTTTCTTTGTTCTGATTCTGGCTAGTCGTGGTTACGTTATATAATAAGTTTTAAAATTAAAACACCCATTTGAGGTCGCCCTATTTCTATGTTGTACTGAGTCTGTTTTAGAAGCTCAAATGTCACACAGATCATAAAAGCAGAGCTTATTAAATCAATGCCATTATCTCTGGCTAGTCTTTTCAGCATTCTCTGACCCTCCCTTGAAGGAGAAAAGATAGCGATGAGTATTGGTTATAATGTTGAAGATGATGGGATTTTGATACGTATATCTAGCCAAGGAGATTTTTCGAAGAGATAAATTATGATAAAACCGTTTTTAAAACCTTGTAAATAAGAGGAAGCTAACACACTGTCTTCAGGAAATCACCCGGAACTTTTCATTGTTAGGACGGCGACACCGATTGAGCCATCTAGTAATGAACGATTTATAAATTTTTATTACTAAGTGTTGCAAGTGGCTCGATGTTTTACCGTCGTCAATGGGGTCAAAGTTTCTCTTTTGAGGTTTTAGTTTAGTTTCAAGTAGAAAACAAAATAGTTGGTTGTGGGGGTTCCCGTTTCAGAGTACCCAAAATGCGAAGATTTCACGTTCAAATTACATCAGAGAAATATACACCATTTTAAAATAAACTAGTAACACTGCTATTCCGGTTAATGACTTACTTTTTTTTTTCATCACCTTGCCTTTACCGTCACCATTATTGTTTGCATATGGTATCTAATATTTGATACTTATTTTCCTTTTTCCACCGTATCCAGCGGCTGTTGGGAATTACTACTTGGAAAACAGTTACTCCCAGTATTCCCTATCAGCCTGGGATTCAGCAGCAGCATCGTCATCATCATCGTCTTCTTCTTCCTTTTCGTCATCGTCTTCATTTTCATCATCGTCGTCATCGTCATCATCATCTTCGTCGTCATCGTCAACCTCGTCAAGGAGAAGACGAGAGGTTGCTCCAGCGCCCCAATCAGTGACGAGTGAATATTTCACGAACATTGCCTTGAAAGTCAAAGCCTCGACAAGTACCAACACCAGCCTCGTATTCCTGGCCACTAACAGCCTCGGAACCGAATTTGTCAGGATTGGCGTAAGTACTGAATCCATTTCATCCCAAGACTTGCTGCTCACGTAGAAATGCGGGTCTGCCGGCCTATTCAATTTTCTTTGTTTAGTCCCTGATCAGAGAGGAAATGATCCAATCAAGTGTTGTTCCGTATGTGAAAATGGAGAGCAAAGTTTGTGCTTAGGAAAGTGTGCAGCCTCCTATGAATGTACACTAAAAATAAAATTGCGGAAAATCGCGAAACGTTAATAACTTCAGTGCAGTTGATCTACGACACTTTCAATACCAAGAGTTAAAATCCAGAAATCATATGATTTTTTCCTCCCCATTGAAAATGATGATGAACAATTTTCTGTTAAATTCTAGGCTCCAAATAGTCAGTTCTCAACCGTTCGAAAACTGTTTTGAAATATTTAATCGACTGCAAACGCCGCCATTTTGAAAAAATAAAAACAAACCAGGCAACCTGGTCGCAAATACCAGTCCACATATTTAGCGCAATTTACATACAGCTGCTACCCTGTCCATTGCAAAAAGGAATAATCGTTTGGGTCATTAATATGCTTTTGGGTGGCCCATAATTGCTCAAGCGCATTGATAAGAGAAGAAAATCAAAATGACTTAAGTTACACCACAGATAAGTAGCCAGGTTGCAAGGCAAGATTCAAAGTGGCGGCGTATGAAATCGAATTTGAAGACAATTTGCGATTGGGGCAGTTGACAAAATTTGACTCTCTTGTTTATAGATATTGAACCATGTACTTCGTTGTGTGTTCAGACTGGGAAGTAGGACAAAAGTCCTTTCGCTTCCGAACGTAAACATCACCGATGGTAAAACACACATTGTCAAAGTGGAAAGAGTGGGTAACTACGCCACACTACAGGTTGACTACGCGGGGAAGGTGGAAGGAAGTACGGGAGGAAGCAGCAATCTGATGAATTTTGGTGGCGGGGCTCTGTTTTCCGGTGGTACCCGCCGGCTGACCGCGATGCTTGTGATGCGAGCGATTGTGAAAAGCAACGGAAAGGCTATTGTGCAAACGGCAGACGGCGGCCTCATCTCGACTTTTACGTCCTTCTCAGGGTCTTTGTACGGAGTGAGTTTGATAACTATCGGAAAAAAGGGTGGTGTTACGGTCAAAATATTGAAGAATGCGACCCTTATTAGAATGTACCAGAAACACAGCATTCGATCTGTGTATAATTCAAGTGCAGGGAAAGTAGTTTTGGGAAGCGCCGGTGTAAGTGTTTCCGAAATTCGAGTTAGTAACAGCAGCGCGCAGAGTGTTCATCGGATATTACAACGAAGAAATCAACAAAGTTCTGGAGATCCGAGAGCGAAGGCTGGTCCTGGTGCTAATGCGGTGGTCACTGGTGGCAAACTCAGTTCCGTGGGTGACTATGGATCGAGGCTGAAGCTGAGGCAGTCAACAGAAGGAAAGAGAAATAGGTCGGACGTCGATGAATCTTACGCAGGTTAGTATATTTACTAAGGTCAAGGTAGAGACGTTTCCCCTCCCCACCACCCCCGTAAGGTGATTATACATTTACAGTAACTGGTCAAGAGCAATTTTCAAAATCAGTAAATGTGGTTGATACACGTTGGTCGCCATATACATCGGAATTGACACATATTGAGTCAAAAAATCTTTCATAATCTTTGTGTTTCACCGAGGGAATAACTGCAACCTCTTTTACGCTTTAAACCTGGTTTAACTTGAGTTTGCATGGTATACATCCACAAATCAAACTGAAAAAATATATCGAAGATAATAGAATAAAACAATGTTGTGTTCTTGCGCTGGTGAAGAACAGAGAAACAAGTTTGACTTCTCTCAAATTCGCTCGTAAAATTTTCATAGATTCTCTCTCTAAATTTATCTTATCCTTTGTGAACTCTTAGGCTGCATCCCACAAAATCGATTCAATGATATCGACGTAGACCATGAAGGAAGTCCAGTGACAGTCGAGCGGCAAAATGTTATATTTGGATGTCCTTGTGAAAAGGGAGACTGCGCCAATAACGGAACATGTTTAATAGATACCACTTCGCCACTGGTGAATGTATGTAAATGCGCTGAGCCTTGGACTGGACTTCGATGTTATGAAATCGTAGAAGACCCTGGAGGTGGAAAAACTCAACGTGAGTATTTTTCATGTCTATTTTGTGAAACATAGATATAGAATAACTGATTCATCTCGACGAACAGGCGCACTAACTTAAAGGGTAACCAAGAAGAAACGAGCGGTGGAGCAATTGAACAAGCATGTAGAAATGAACGAGCAAACCAAAAAAAAGAACAGTACATATTGAAGAAAGGAATTTTTAGATATAAACAGGTAGTTGGCCTCTATCATGAAGGGAGGAAATAATTAATTATCGTTGCATCTTAGAATGGGTGAAATGCATACCCAGTGCTTAGCGAGCTAGCCTCCGGTTGAAAAGGTTTGGGTTCGGGCTCTGAGGGTTCATTACGTTTTACAGATACTTTGACGGTGAATTTCTCCTCCCAAGGATATTAAAAGGGAATAGTAAACTGTCGGTTGAAGGGGGGGGGGGGCGGTTAGCTTGTAGCCTGTGTCACGCTTGGGTCAGTGGAGAAAAGGGAAAAAGGGGCCGGGAGATAGATAAACATCCCATCAGTGGGATAGCAACTTTTTTAGCCATTTAATACGAGAGAAATTGGTGGTGTGGGATCCCTTTGCTCGGGAGCAGACCTAATTTTACTTTATCATTCACTACTTCAGCGAATACGCCTGCTCCGCCAGCGTGGAACTGGTTAGCCATATTAGCTGTTCTTCTCCTTCTCCTTATCGCACTGATCCTGCTTGGACTTTATCTACTGTGGAAAAGGTGTAGGGAAGATGCCACAGACGCAGGAACAGGACCAGCTAAGGCGGCAGTGGCTCCTACAGGACACGGGACAGTCAGGCCTTACTCTGCTGGGGCGGGGGAGATGGACAGTACTGACTATGATCTACGTCATTTGATGAAGTACATGTACACCGAGAAGACTATAGGAAGCTCGGATCTTGAGCATGTCCATGAGCATGCCAATATTCGCGTGTACAGAGACGATGGTATCCGAGGGACAGACAACCTTCATTTTGACTTAAGGCAATTAACATCTCACAGGTAAGTTGTTGACGTTACAACATTGAAGGGAGACAATTGAACGATAATTAAAACGAGGATATGCATCACAGCGGTTAGTCGGTCCCTTCGGAAACTCAGAAATTTGCTCGTTGAAAATTATTTGAAATATCGCATTTTAGGGCGAACGAAAAGTAAGATGGATAAGTGGGAAAGGTATTAAAGCGGTTTCGGATAGCGATGACAAACGCTGCCTGTGTTCGGCGAAATCCTTTACTTTTTAACCATCATTCCTATTACCTGTGGTTCTCAATCCTTGCACATCGTTGTTTTTATCTCGTATCCACGACAAAAGTTGACTTTGTTCCCCTTTCAATAAGAGAGATACTTCAACAACCATATTCAAGACGACATATAAAATTATGACACTGACCGCGTCTAGAGAAACCTTATCCTTCGAAAGTTGGTTGCCGTTTTCAATTCTGACCTGACTAAGTCTCCCTTCGTCTAGCTCTTACAGCGAATTTTAAGGCAATTAGAGGCTGCACAAACGAGCTTTCAACTCAAATATTAGCCTTTTTTTCATAAAAAATTTGAACCGCGCTTTCGGGTTTTCCATATGAGATCAGGTTACTGAGTTATTTCAAAATGGTGGCGTGCACGATTGAATTGTTTTAGACAATTTTCGAGCTGTTTGGTCACTCATTCGGATCTCGAAAGTGATAAAGCGTGAATTCTTAAATACTCTTTTAACAACTAAGGTAACTGATCTCATCATTCCACTGCAGACATCACGTGATTCAAGGTGGGACGAACGTAAATGACACTCACCTAGGAATCGGTAACCAAGGCTTCCACGGTTCAATGCCCATGGTGACGTCACATCTTCATACAAAAATTACACGACACGTGGTACGCGCCGACAGTAATGTGTCGCTCTCACATGACGAAGTGAACTCCTTTGAAGACGAAGGAGACGATTCTGACGTGGATGACTTAAGTGAGATTGGCAGCGGGGACGACGCAGACTGGGACCTACCGGAGGACTCTTGGGAGCATCATTTTGTACAACTTCGTGACGGAAACTAACATCGACATAATGTTCATTTTTTTATCTGCATTAGATACATTTTGACCTGATTATAAGGTGGTTGACAAAACAGAAAACGTGCAACACATCCTCGAAATACGCAGCAGAATATCGGTCACATTGTGATTTGCTACAAGTTTTGTCCCTGATTCAGTGAACTGTTTCCTGGAATTAAACAATCCGGTCATTAATGATCAATCTCACATTTTTTTTTTCCGTCGAAAAATATGGTGGATTACAATCAAATCTTTGCTCGGTTGATATATTTTGCTCATAAAATTCAATTGAATAATTGCGGTCTTGTTATTTACTTGCTGCGTCGCTTGACAATTTAGCATCTGATCAGCTTATACTGGATTAATTAGACAATTAATAAGTAGAATGTTCAGACTTGGAACTAGAAAAAGGCAGTCTAAGTCAGGTACGTAAAATTATCCGAGTTCAATCGTATAAAGACGAAGTTTCCTCACTTAAGACCAGAAGCTCACCACATAATGGTCAACCGTGATGAGATTTATGTTGTTTATGAATCGATACATATTTCTGTTGCTGATGCATCGTAGGTGGTTATAGACGCGATCTTAAAGGTTTACATTGGAAAGGATTCAATTGTCACTTTTGCTGTAGCTTTTGAGTAAAAGTTTTTTGCGAGCTATCGGTGTCATCGCACATCCTGGGATTAAAGCACTCATAGGATTCGCAACCACATTCTTGATTTTTGTCGTGTTTTTTTCAAATAGGATAATCAGTACGGAATAATTTAGTACAGGTTTCTGCTGTCACCAGCAGCGCTGTCAGCACTAAAAAGAGATGCGATATCGTTGCAAAACTGAAAGCTTTAATAACGTTAAGTTTAGTCTAAAGAGCATGACTGATGTAACCAGTTACACGCAAAAATTTTGCAAAATAAACTTGACTTCTGCAGGTTGCTTACAGATCGACTTAATTTTGCTTCCACAGGCCTCAAGAGATAATGCGGAAATAGACAGAGAGGCTTCAGGCCCAGGTTTAGGGACATGTCAATTTTTTTTTAATTGACGTCCGCATGTTGACTTGTTTCTTTCACTGATGCTTGAAGGGTTTTCTTCTTTGCTACTTATTTTTATATCGAAATTTCCCCTCTCCAAGCTTCTCGCTTTTGACAAAATATGGTCTTTTCCTAAGGGAAAAAACATCTTAGTGATGTAGCGTGTAGTCTTGAACACTGACTTTGCTTCATAGTTCAATATTACACGCGACATTCCTCAGATAATGTCACTGAGCTGATCTGTCGTCAGTTCGACCAGGTTAGTACTGGTAAAAACCCTACAACTCCCCATATGAGGAAAAACATTCATTATAAATGACTAATCTCTATCTGTTAAAATCAAACCATAGGAATCGTCTGATCCATTTTTTCTGTTTCAGGTAAACAAAAGTAATGAATGCTGAAAGGTCCTTGTGGTTTGGGTTGTTTCGCGGGTCATGCTCTCCGCAAAAAGAACACAAAAAAATACGATTATGTTGATAATGACAGCCTAAAAAAATGGAACCGCAAAGAATTGTTCATGGTTACTCGAGTAAAGAGTCACGGGATTATTATCTCCTAAAGCATTAGACAAGAAAAGAACCATTTCCAGCTGTTTTAACGGGTTAATAATGGCTAAAGGAAATGTGAAATATAATGGCAGGTTATCAAAATACCATTTAACTCCTTGAGAAAGCATTTGATGAATTATTTATAAATTCATTGTTTACCTAGACACTTCAAAGCTATGTTAAGCAATCAGTCGTAACCAGTCTAATTTTAATCTTCTTTTGTCTCCTGTCTGCCCCGGGTCAAAATTTCCCTCCAGCAATTTCCAGTTGACGTTTCATTTTTCTTCGCTTTGACGCAGACAACGGATAATTTTTCAGCAACGGTTGGAGAACTTTCCTTATTTGCCGAGAGCTGTCACTGCGTATGACGTCTTTTTTCACGAATTACGTCATAACTGACGATTTTAGATGTTTACAAATGGCATATTGAGCAAAGTTCATTCATCCGGATATCCTGTTTTATTTCGAGAAAGAACTCCCTTAGTTGTATTCATTTCATCCACGATTGAACCGTAGAACAATAAAAGCGCGAGGTAGACTATTTGACTTCAAAATCTGGCCAAATCAAACCAGGAGAGGTAAGAGGTAGATTTTTCTTCTAATTTTTTCAGTTTTAAACACAAATAATTGAGAACCGTTAAAATGGACATGCGCTTTGCATCCTCGATTTGTAAAGCCTCTCTTATATTAAAATATCTTCTGCTCTGAACTGTAATTGACAGAGAGGCGTGAAATTCACAGCCTCTCAATGTTTGTCGGTGATATCTGTTAAAAAAAGTATTAGTTACAAGATACGTAATCAATGTTGTGTTTCCTGTTTAATGACATTCGGACTTGATTTTAAATCTAGATGGCCATCAAGCTTGACTAGCGTGCTCACTTTCGTTCAGTCGCATGGCTATTAATTTTTCTCTGATTGTTAAATGTAACCAGCCGAAAACATGCAAAACTGTGTGACGTTTTGGGATGAAAATTCCGATTTAAGCGATGTTTGCAATTAATGACAAAGTACAATCAAGGAAAGACAATTACGCAGACGAAGTATTCAGGGTCAAGTAAGGATTAATGAGGTTGAATACATGAAGCACACCGCGATTCCTGGAAATGCTAAGAAACCGAACAGTTGTTAAATTTGGACACAAATGAACACTTTTGAATTTGTGGAAAAATTGGGAAAAAAGGGAAAAGTATTTGTCGTAATTCAGCAAGATTTATGGCATATGCACTCTTGGGGAGTGGCAATTGAATTGATCTTGGAGCCAACGACGAAACTGGGTTTTATAATAGTCAAGCTCGACTGAAATAATTGTTTGTCAGGGTGAGCAAACAGTTAACAGGCTAGAAAAAGACAAGAATGAAACAGTGATCGTCATGAATGATAAATATTTACATGGATTGCAAATAACGAGTGACAGATGATTTTTTTTTTGAGAAAGTTACAACTCCATCAAAAGATATTCTGCGATAAAGAGAATCTTGATGCTCGATCACATCGATATATTGTCTCGTTAGAGAGGTTTAAAATACTTTAACAAAAAATATTATAATAAATGATTCATTTTTTTACCATACTATTAAATTCATAAGCTTCATATTCTATCACGCCTGTCCTGTCTGTTAAACTTCGAACTCATTAGCTTGCATGTCAAACCCAGCCAGACATAAATGTGTTTAGCTAGTGGCTGATACAAATTCAGTTTCCATGGTCACTTATTACATGGCCGGAGACTGTACTTGATATCTATTAGACATGCTCCTTTCACTGACATAACGCCCACGACATTATAACAGCCCCTGCGCGAAACATAAATTCAGTAGCACTCAACTGACATCGGGCCCAGCCGTCGCATGGCAGTGTGTGAAATGATTTTTAAAATGTATTTTTGTCTACGTTAAAGGTGGCACACTTCGCTGTAAGTATTGAGTCCATTTTGATTGTATTGTATGGAACAAATACTAGTTTCCTAAGAAATTCAAATGCTGATCGTGTGGTTGTACACAGGATGAGGCAATTATAAGATTCAAGATACATCTGTTGCAAAGGCCATATAAGACCGTCGCAAAATAACAAGCATATTTCAAAATTTTTTAGGGTGGTCCAACTCTCCCTATTTTTAATTCGTAATTAGTATGTTTGCCTGCGTGTTTGTGGAACCCTCGTGAAGTCCTTCCAGATAAAAACTCCATTCATTACCCGGATTACGGTTACGCAAAGCCAAAACGCAAACCTTGATCGTGCAACTAAGCATGAATTTTCCGATTTTAGCTAACTCTGTTTTTTTCTTGTCTAATATCCTAAATGGCTTAGAGACAAATTGAATTGAGTTATCTTCGTAAGATGGTTTCATGAGGATTAAATAGGAATTATAATTTAAGCAAAGAATTATGACAACTTCGAGTCGCAACAGACAGACTTCAACTGAAGTGGAGCAATTCGTCACAATGGTTTTGAAACAATCCGCGCAGACAGTGAAACAATCAGTCATGAAAAAGTTGCCACTTGAATTCCTACGGCAGTTCACTGATTGGAAAGCATCAGATACTCTTTCTCTTCCTTGCAAAGCAGTCTACGAGTTTTTTTGTGCAAGCTCAGCGTTAAAAAAAAATATCTGTTTGCATGGCTCGAGTGAATTGTAAGTAAACCGACAGCGGGGAATGTCCTTAAAGGAGAACTGAAGCCAAAAATTGAGTTAATTTCTTTCGATAGCCAAAGTGACGAAATTCTCGATTTCAAGCGTTATTTGTGCTAAATGTGTCTTACCTTGGAGAAATATTTCTTTAAAGTTTGTATTTTCGCGCTGTTTCGGCTTTCAAACCGTGGGCACCAATTTTAAATCAGCGGTCTTCCAAATGAGCCTGTGACGTATGTTATGGGGATCACATTAGAACGTGTTATCGTTCAGCTAAGTTTTAATACAAATTGCGTCTTCGTCGACCCTTCGTTATGAGCGGAATAGAACCATTTCAGTTCGAACCAGTTTATCAGCCTGGAGAAGAACCACCTCAGGAAGAGAGTGTAGGACAGGAGGTAGAAGCCCACGAAGAAGGCAAAACTTCGAGGATGGGAAACACCGAATGGTGTTTGTGCGGCGCTTGTGCGCTTATGCCGGTGGCAAATGAATGTTACTGCTGCCAAGAACTAGAGGAGCTTAATCAAAAGTTCGACAATTCAGGTTTGTACTTATTATGTGATTATTCTCACGAGTATTTTGTTTGAAGCGACCGCTTCTTTGCTAAGAGTGACAAAAGGTGGACAATTGCAAACTCGATCTTAGTTGTAATTGCAATTACATGGTCTGATGGATGAAAATTATTGAAACAGTGAGGGAAATAAAATGTTAAGACTTTTTTCTTCTTGATAGGTGTTAGATGTATAACAGAACATCCGAAATTTGGTATTGTATGCCTGGACACGGATGTTTTGAGCACGGCATTGGTTGCAATCCACAATGCGCGGCTCAATCCAATTCCCGACCCTATCGTCAACAGGTAAACTGTCTTTTTCTTTCTTATTTTGTACGCGTAATTAAGTCAATCGCTTTTGTGACTTTATATCCTCTTGTTCTCTAGAACTTGGCGTTTGGCAGCCTACAGACAATTTACTTGGTGGGCACATGGGGTATTAGGAAAAAACCGGCGGAGAATCGTGCCAGCATGCGTCGTCACGGCCATACGTAAAACATTTCCAGAAGAGAGTGGTAATTACGTGGGGTTTCGAGA